ATTATTTACGATTTATATACGATATAATAAAAATATATATACCTTAAAAAAATTAAAAATAATATAATAAAAAACCTTATAAAAGTAAAAATAAAACGTATTTTTTTAAAAAAATTATTTAATTATAAAGAATAAGTTTTTTTAAAAATAAAATTATTTCGAATAAAATAATAATAATAATAATACCGAACCGTTAACGGTTTAAAAAAAATAAAAAAATTATAAAATTAAATAAAAATAACGAAACTTATAAAATAAAATAAATATTTTATTTTTTATTATTATAATTATTTAGCGATAATTTTTTTATTTTTTTTATTAAAAAAATAAGTTTTTATAATTATATAATAAAAAATAATGCCGTTACGTAACAATGACGAAAATCGAACGGAACGGGTTAAGTTTTTTCCGGCATACGGTTTTTACCCGAAAATTTACCGAATAATAAAATTATACGTTTATTTAAAAAAAGTTCGAAAATAAAAATAATCGGCGTAAAATTTAATAATAATAATAATAATAATAATATTAAATTTTATTTTAAAAATTTAATATTTTTTAATTAACGATTATTATTTATTAATTAATTTAATTTTAAACTTTCCCGGGAAAAAACTTTATAAATTTTAAATTAAAAAATTAATTTAATAATTAATTATAAAATTTCATTATTTATATAAATAAATAATATTAATATATTTATATATTTTTTAAAAATAAATAAATAAATATTTTTAAATTTTTATTTTTAAATTAATTATAACGATTTTAATTTAAGTTTCGTTATTATTTAAATATATTATATAATAAAACCGCGTTTTTTATAATTATTATTTTTTAAAATCCCGGCATTTTATATTATATTTATAACGGTTTTTAAATAAATAAAAAATTTTATTAATAAATAAACTTTTAATTTATTATAAATATATATAATTTTAATTTAATTTATACGTATTCGTTATTTAATTTAAAAATTAATTTATTTTTTAATTACGTTAATATATTTTTAAATAATTAACGATTTATATTAATTAATAAATAATAAACTTTTAATATAATTTAATATTATTTTATATAAATAATATTTAAGAAATTAAAAAAAATAAACGTTTATATATAAAATAAATAAATTAAAAATAATATTAAACGGTTATAAATAAAAAAATAAAATAACGTAAAAAATTATTTAAACTTTAAAATTTCTTTAAAATATTTATTTATTTAATTATAATTTATTAATATAATTATTTTAATTTTTTTATAATAAATATTTTTTATATATTTATTTTTTTTATTTATTTATAAATATATAAATTTAATATATATTTTTATTTATTTTAAAAAGTAATATTAACCGCGTAGTATAAAAACCCGATTTTTCCCGCGTAGTATCCCGTTAAAATTAAAAGTACTTTTCCCCGCGTATAAATCGCCGTATAATTATTTATATTCGCGATAATAAAATTGTTAATTTTCGAAACTTTAATCGTATTTTATTATACTTGTATATTTTTAATTTTAATTTATTTTCTTTTTATAAAATAAATTAATAAAAATATAAACTTAATTTTAATTAAAAAAGTTTTCGAAAAAAATTCGATCGAAATAAGTTACATTATTTAAAATAAATAATTAATTAAATTAAAAATGGTTAAAGTTAAGTTTATATATTAATTATTTAATAAGTTTTTAATTTAAAGTTTTTAATTTTATATATTAAATATATTAAACATTTTTAACTTAATTATTTAATTAAATAAAAATAATAATTTCATGTAATTTAAATTAATCGATTTAATTCTTTAAGGCTTTTTATATAAACTTAATTATAAAAACTTTCGATTCGAATTAATTATAAAAAAATAAATTAAATTAAAACGTATACTTTAATAATAAATTTAATAATTTTTATTTAATATTTAATAATTTTTAATTTTAAAGGAAATTTTAACTTTATTATCGAAATATATTTTTTATTTTATTTATTTATATTTTTATTAATTTATAATTAATATAAATGCATTTTATATTAATTAAATTATAATTAATTAAATTTTTAATTAAAAAAGCTTTTATATTTTTATTAATTTATTTCGTTAAGAAAAAACAAATTAAAATTAAAGGTATATAATTAAAATAAGGTTTTTGTTTTATATTAATTAAGTTATCGCGAATATAAATAATTATACGGCGATTTATATGCGGGGAAAAATACCTTTTATTTTAACGGGGTATTACGCGGGAAAAATTCGGCTTTCGTACTACGCGGCTAGTATTACTCATTTTAAATAATTAATATTTAAAAATTAAAATTTTTTATAAAAATTTTTTTTTAATATTTATTTTTTTAAAACGGTTTTAATATTAAAAAAATAAATTAAATTTAATTATTTTAATTTTATTATTTATAATTTTTTCATTTATTATTTATTTTTTACGTTTTAAAAAATTACGAAATTTAAATAAAAAATGTATATAAATTTAACGACGAAAATATATTCGAAATTAATTTTTTTTTTAAAATATATTTTAAATTAATAATAATAACGTTTTAAATTTAAACGAATTTATTTATATATTTAATTAAATTTTAAATAACGAAAATTAATATAATTATTATAATTTTAAATTTAATATTATTTTTTTTTATAATTTATTTTAAAACGTTTTTTTTCGAAAATATTAATATATAAATAAATTAAAATATATATAATTATTTTTATGTAAATTTTCGGTTTTTATTATTTATTATTAATAATAAATATAATTTTTACGATTAATTAAATATTTAAAACCGTAAAAATTAAATTTATTTCGTTTATTTAAAATTTCGTTAATATAAATATAATTAACTTATTTATTAAAACCGAAATATTAACATTTAATAATATTAATTAAAACTCGTTAATAAAAAAAAACTTTTTAACGCGATTTTAAAAATTTATATATTTTTACGAAATATAAATACGCGGCGAACGAAAATAATAATCGTTAATTTTATCGATAATAATATTAATAAAATATAAAAAACATTAAATATAAATATTTTATTTAAATATTTAATTTATAAATGTTACGTTTATTAAAAAAATAAATATTTACATTAATAAATTAATATTTTATTAATTAAATAACTTTTTAAATTATATTAAATATTTATTTATATATTATATATTATATATTAATTTATAATCGTTTTTTTTAATAACCGAACTTATATTATATTAACGACGTTTAAAAAAATAAAGTTTTTTTTTATTTTTATTTTTAAAATATATTTATATATTAAATATTTACTTAAATATTTAATAATTATTTTATTTTTAACATTTTAATTTAAATTTAAAATTATATATATGTTTTTTATAAAAGTTAAAAATGACGACGTGGAAATATATTTCATTATAAAAATAAAACATTTACGGTTATTAAAAAATTTTTACATTTTCGAAAATGATAATATTTTACGTTAATAAATTAACGAAATTAATAAAAATAAAATATAAAAAGTTATTATTTTTAATTTTCGATCGTTATAACTTTACCGTATAATAAAATTATAAATTAAGTTTATTAAAAAATAAAATAATATAATAAATTTTAACGATAAAATAACCGGTGTTAAATTTAACGTTAAAAGTAATTAAAAAAAAAACAATTAATTAACGAATTATTATAAAAATACGGTAAATTAATAATAATATTTTAATAAAATATTTTAATAATAATAAAAATAATTTAATATATTTCGTACCGGGAAAAAAAAATAATTATAACGCGTTAAAATAAAAATTAATTATTATTAAATTAAAAATAATTTAAACCGTATTAATAATTATAACATTTAAAAGTATTTTTTTATATAAATTAAATAAAAAAATATAAAGTTATAATAATAACGTTTATTAAAATTTAAAACCGTTAAAATAATTAAAATTATTTTTATTAAACGTTAAAATAATTAAAATTTTATAATTATTATAATTTATTTATTATCGTTAAAATTATTATAATAATTTCGTAATTATTATTATTATTATATAAAAACTTTATAATAATTATAATAATTTTTACGAATTTTAATTATAATATTTATAAATAATTTTAACGTAATAAAATAAACTTTAAAATTATTATTATTATAATAATTATAATAATTCGTAATAATTATATTTAATTATTTATTTATTTATTTATTTATTTATTTATTTATAATAAAACTTAAATATTTACTTTTTATTTAATTATATAATATTTATTAAATATTTAATAATTTTTTATTTTTTTTTAATTAATAAACTTTTTAAACTTAAATATATAATAAAATAAATTTAATTTTATTTAAATATTTAAAAAATTATTAATTTATTTTTTTAATAATATATTTAATAAATTTTTAAATATTTAAAATTTAATAAAATTAAATAAATTTAATTTTTTTATATTAAATTAAATTAATTAAATTAATAAAATTAATAATAATAATAATAATAATAATTTAATCGTATTAAATAAATATCGTTAAATTAACGCGTTAAAATAAAATTAATTAAATTAATTAAATAAATATTATATAAATATTATTACGTTAAATTAAATTAATATTTAATTTTTTTAAAATAAAAAATAATTAATTAATTTTTAAAATTATTAATAAAACTTAAAACTTTTAAATTTAAATTTTAAACTTAATATTTTAAATTTTTTTATAAATAATTAAATAATTAATTAAATATTAATAATAAAATATAATATAACGATTATAATTATTTTTTAACGTTTAAAATTTTTTAAAAACTTAAAATTAATTTTACTTTTTTTATATATATAATTATTATATATTTTCAATTATTAAACATACGGAAAACGTAAAATTAATTTTAAGCTTTTAAAAATTTTCAAGCGTTAAAGCTTATTTATAACCGTTGCATTTAGTCCCCTTTTCCGGTTAGGTTTTTTTATAACGTAATTACTTAATTACTTACTTACTATATTCAGCGAACGCTGTTAGAAACTACGAGACATTAGCGCAAACTATCAATTTCGATGAGAATATATCCTATGAGTTTCTTGGCGGAAGACAGGAGTTTAGGGTCATAAAACGGACCAATAATACTCACTGGAACGTGCCGTTATGGCTAGCTGGATCTCTCCCTCCAGCCGCAACCCTTACCCGATATTCGATTGGACCTCTTGGATTCCGTGAGCTTGACAGGGGAAGGCTATCCCAGAGGTACATCCTAGAAAGAATCAAGTCACGGTTGCACATGGCAGTTTTCGGGGGTACAGCTCTCCTTGCACCGGTAATATTCATGACCCTCAAGCCGACGCTTATCGGAAATTTAGTGACGGCGTCAGTATCCATGGCAATCTTCGCCATGATCATGGTGATATTTGCCACCGATGCAAATGGGAAGGACGTGCTTGCTTCTACAGCAGCATATGCAGCAGTGATGGTTGTTTTCATAGGGACTAGTTTACAAATATGTGTATAATGTTATTATCTGGCTATCATCGGCTTCATTGGGGTGCCTAGGTAGGCAGTTGATGCATTTTACTCAATTCACTATATATTCGTGCACTTATCAAGGTTCCACGATGAGTACTGGTGTTGGAGGCGGCGTCAAATGGCTGAATCACAAGGCTGTGATTAGTTAAAGCTGGGTAGGGAGGATGACAGATTAAGTATAACAGCCTGTTCAATATGTATATCTCGGTATGTCTGCATGCAGCGCATCACACCTACCTAGGTATTTATTGTGACTGCATACCGATAAGGGTCGGTATGTATGATGAAGGAGTCAGTATTACCTAGTTACTCATCTCAGCCTGATATTTCATCGGAAAGGCTTCGGTCACAAGTCATAAATGGTGCCACATCCGAAGATAGATGCAAGTCTAGTCCCAGAAAAGGACCGTGGGCGGCGTGCTTTGTGAAGGCTGGCGAGAAGCAGGCTTCGTAATGTCTGTAAGCCGTCGGCTAGACCGGGGATGAGACCCTATAAACTCTGCAGTTTCCGCTAGTAAGGGTTTATAAGGGTTAATAGATCCATCACCTCACACCCATCGATAAACTTCTATCTTCCATTTCTAAACGTTTGTTACGTATCGAGCAAGGACTTCTGGTTTTACACTCATAAACTAAGAACTGTCTTTCTTTGATCTATATCTAACTCGGGTTATTACAATATTAACATTGATTTGAGAAACAATACTCGATATGGACCCAGCAACAAGCATTAGGGCCCTGGAGCAACCCAATGATAATACTGGCCCAAGTCCTTATGTTTACGGGATAGGTGACCTCCGGAACATCTGGACGAGATTCGACTTCGAACTCCTTGTAGGTAAAGGCCATGTCTTTACCGAGACCGAAAAGGACTTCATTTCCAAACACTTGATACGGACCTTTTCGCTGTTAACTGCATTTGACTATACTATCCATCATGACGTTGAGGTAGAAACACTCGTCACTCGTTGGGTCAACGATAAGACTAAGTTCGACGACGAACTATTAAGCGATAACTTAGTCTTGATTGGCCTAAGTCGGATACGTGATGACCCGGCAAAGTTCAATATCCTACGACAGAAGCTGACTGCCCCTATCCTTCAGGAAGGCATAGAGACAAAATTGGGAGCTAATCAGAGGATGCCATTCATTGAAGAGGACAACAGACCAGATACATCGGCTTATCATATAGCCAATGGGCATCTCGTATTGGGGGGAGATGTATGTTCCTAATATTTGACCCTAGAAAACAAAAGATAACTAACGTAAAGTATCAAGAATCCACAGCCCAATAATAGAGTAAAGGTTACGAGGAAGAGGTTACGAGTAGGACATCCGGCGTTTACGGAGATCGAGATTCTCAGAAGTTTGCGAGGCGCACTGAGAAATTCACAGTCAGTTCAAATTAGTACTTATGTCTGCATGGTCAAGTCTAGCGATGAAACGCAAATCCAAAGCATATCACTCCATGCGAATGGCGGAACCCTGGAGGATTGCATTTCAAGAATCAATTCTATCCAGCCCGCCCCTATCAAAGCTTGTCTGGAGCAGATGGCATGCATCGCCGGCGCGATCGAGTTTTTGCACCAGATCCAAGCATTGAATAATCCATCAGATCAGGAGTCGTGTTATTGCCACCTGGACATCAAACCTCATAACATCATAGTATTCCAAGACGAAGGACGGCTTGTTGGAGTTTGGAAAGTTATAGACTTCGGTATCTCAAAAGTCAGGAGACCCACGCTTCAAGGAACGCATATTCCTGTGCCTGGAACACATACAGTACAGACAACAACTAGGCAGCTCGGAGGGACGTACCAACCCCCTGAGGTGAACCAGCAAAATGTGAAAGCTATGGGGCGCAGAAGTGACATATGGTCATTAGGCTGCATACTTGTTGAGCTTATAACTGCGTTTTCCGGAGGATTGGTGATGTTGCGGGAACAGCTGAAACAAAGCGCCATCGGTGATCGTGGGATTCCAACGGGTCATGCGTATTACTTCTATCAGACGGCCTCTCTACAGAGTACTTGGACCCATACTCCCGGACCTTGTTTCGAATTAAATGAACACATACTCCAATGTTTGATAGCCCCCCCGGATACAGAAGTCGTATCAAATTGCAAGGATCTGATTCGAAAGATGCTTCTTATCGACCGAACTAAGAGAATGAAATCAGCTTCATTGGTAGAAGAATTGGGACGTATCGTAGATATATGTCCAGAAGATGACGAACTCGCTCAGCCATTTTTCCCTGCTCAAGAGGCCTGATAATACCTCTCACGTACATAGGTACCTAATACTTGGACTTGGCGGCTACTTTTCATGGAATTACAGGGTTCTCTTTTGGCGTTGGAGAAATAGGAGGGAGCTTTTCTTACGTCAGGTTCGATTCATTAAACGAATCTAATATCCATTTACTTTCATTAATTCCACACAAAAACTCAAACATCGCACTTTGTTAATGATGCTTAATGAAACCAGACCTCAAGGCTCAAGCCTTAGATAGACAGACCGTATTGGCCCAATCCTGCCATCCCTTTCCCCACCTCCTTTTCCTTGTGGATATATCCCTCTCCTCATACCTTAACACACTTTGGACAACGAACACGATGGATAAGATCACCACAACGGCTGGAACTAGTATGAATGTGAACCTCCAGAAAGGTTTAAGGTCGATAGTTGTTCCAGATTTGAAGTCGGTAAAATTCGAACTAAATATCCACTAAATACTTGTTAGCCACCAAGGCATACCACAACTATCTTAAATTATATATCTTCCGGCTGTAACTTACTACTAACAAAGATGCCGGGAAGTATAGAGATGCAACTAGTGTCAGAGTGCGAATGTTGCTTGAGGTTTCCCTTTGAAGTTCGTGCCCTAATTGGCCGTTTACCGCCATCGCGGTCATGACACTTAGAGACTGAGCGCTTGTTGATTGAGATGCCTCGCTCGCAAGAGCATTTCTCAGACTTAACTTTCCACTGAGATGGTCTAATATGCTTGAGAACTGTTGTTAAGAGAGGTTAACGGGATGAATCAAAACGTAATCTTAACATTTGTTGACTGACTAATTTAGTTGCATCGGATGTGCGCTCCCTAAGTCCCATGATGCAGCTTTTCATGTATCTTATTTCTACGTCGAAATCATCCAATTCTTCAAAAATGGCTACCATAATTTCTGGTCTCATCCGGAGAGTCATCTTTGGGAGTATTCCGCGGATTCTCCGGCTGAGTTCCGCAGTATCATCTAGGATAAATGCGGCCTTCGACAAGTCTCGCCGAAGTCGTTGAAGCTTCTGCAAATCTTCAAAGCTCTGTTTATAGTCGTTGTGGGTGACAACATCCGTATCCGAGAAGAAGGATTTGCCTTCCTATATTCCCAGTGGTTATTAGCTCTCCTCGTGTCCGCTTTGATTGATACTGACATACAAATTGTTCCATTTTCGAATTCAGAGTTACTATGTAATCGCGCCAACCGTAAAGGGAAATGAAGAGTATCATGACGTGGATCAATGGATGACGGGAGTACCGAAACTCATCATCGTACCAAAATTCGTTGAGCTTTTCTGGCAAACGAGCCTTGAGGTTTGGAGAGGGCTTAACTAATATCCAGACGGATGAAAAACTTCGAGAATGCATCCGATTATACACAGAGGTTTGTCTGAAGGACCACGAATCGTCGGTTCCGTCCGCCGCGTCGTCCCGATTGAGATAGCTGATGGTGTAACATATTTCAACTATACATTATGGTCAAATGAGATGAACTGTTTAAATCATAAAAAATAACTTACTATCACCGCTTCCGTTCAATGGATCCCGCGAATGGAAGTTATTCGAGGTGCTGTCATCGTCTTTTTCCCATGGGCCAAAGTTGAGGATGGATTCGGTAAAATAGGGGAAGACATTATGTTTCGTTATGAGGTTGGTCCATGTCTCTTTCGTGATTAGAAGTCGGTTCCACAAGTTGCCTTGTTCGATGATACTACCATATGAGACGAAAAGGTAAGCATTGTATGTAACTGATTTACAAGTAGGTGAGTACGGTGAATACGTACTAGAGAACATCGCGAAACTAACTAAATGTAAGCTTTTGTAGATTATGAGCATGACTGAAGTGACATACCTGTCGATTATGTTCCCAGAGCGATTTCATATCTTGATCATCAAGTTTACGCTGCTCGACTTCTGTGGGTATTCAATTATTTAGAATCTGCAAGAAGTGATGGGAGATATCTTCCAAAATCTTATCGGTACTCACTATAGTCCACTCCAGGAACGATGACAGCTTTCGGTGTTTTCCAAATCTCCACATTGTCGGCTTCGGCAAAGAGCTTAGGCGTCTTATTCAACAATTGCCTATGGATAGATTTTGGATCGCAATTCCAGAGAGCCTCTGGCTTCATTGGCGTCATCATTTGAAGTTTATCGTCTTGCGACGATCCTCGTGATTAATATGATGTGGTTCCTTGATATAGTATTTGTATGTTTGTTTTGTTATATCTTAAGATTTGGTCTTTAGAAAGATTCCCCGTTATTGAGTTCCCAGATATGAATGGCACCTCAATCAATATGAGTCCCCGCCAGCTGTCTAGCTCCAGTGAGTATGACTTATGACGTGTCAGCGGCCGTGTATGCAGATTGGGTACATATTTATAGTAATTGGACAGCTGCAAAACATCTCGCAGATATGTGGGTTCGTTAACCACACTTCACTGTGATTGCATGCACCTAACATGCTAATCAGTTCATACCGGAAGGTACTGGTTCTCACAAAAGCCTATTGATTTGCTTCGTATTCCGTTCATAGTCGCTCAAATCAATCCTAGAAGTCCACGTGAAGCGGTCGTATTTAGATAACCATTAGTTTTAGCCTTCGGAAGTTTGGAAGATAATCCTTTCATATGATCTCTACGGTTGTGGATGGTTGGTTTTCAAAATACCCCTTTAAGCCCCCTGCCCCTTTTGGCCAGGAGCTAAAAATGCCAACCCTAAAGAACTTCCCCTTCGCATTTGCAGGGTGAATTATCAAGCCATATGCGAATCTACCAGCATTCGCATCTCTCACTTGTGCCTCTTCAAAACTGATTTCTTCACTTTCGCTATCGATGTCGTCCATCTGCTCATCGCCATCTTCGCTCGAATCCATATTCACATCCACATTTATTTCATCATAATCGCTAATAACTTCATCTTCTTCACTATCTCCCTCCGCATTGTCGTATAGAAGTGCCATATTATACGCCTGCCAACTCCAATACGACCCTATCAGTACCAACGATAGATTCTCGAACGGAACCACGTTCTTCGGTTCATCCCAGTCGAAAGTAAGATTCGCAACATATTGTCCGTTTTCATTGCACATCTCCCAGTGGTTGTCAAATCCCTCTTGGCGTTCAAGTCTCTGTAGAATAGGAACCACTTTGCTGGTAAGTCTCAGACTGCCTTCGGTGACCTGACCAAAAGGATTGAGTTTTGAAGTGGATGTCCTCGCCTCTACCCCACTGTAAGCCTCTTCAAGCTTCCCATGGACTCCCATCACAGGTACGTGGTCCCCATAAGGGGCCGGCGATTCATCAAAGCGAACCTTGCCCCTCCAACGTGCCCAACTCCAAGATGGTGCGATATATGGTTCTGGCTCGTTTAGAGACTTCATTAGTTCATCAAATGATGCTTTGGGCTTCACTTCACCTCCAGCATCCGACGCTATAGCAGGGGTCCAGAATAAATCGCGATGAAGCGACTCCCTGCGAATACCCGCGAGATATCCGTCCCCATTACCACGCACCGCAATCTTCGCAAGACCTCCCATAGCGGGAAGTTTGTCCGACTCAAACGTAAGCTGTCGCTCCGTATACTGTTCCACCATCGACATCCACATGCTCTCGTCCTCCCTCGACTCAAGCGCCCCCGCAACAGCAATAACCGCAAACGTTCCCCCCATCCCCGCCGCCGCATCCTCGTCTTCCACCGCTTCCGTCAGCGACTCGTCGCCCTCGGACCAGAACCTATCTTCGAACACGAGATGCAACTTAATGCCAAAAAGCAAAACCCGCTTCGAAAGAGCTAGCTCTTGGAACGTCCACCCACGCTTCCACCAATTGCTAAGACCTCGCGGACCCGTGTCGCTATTATCGAAACTCTCATAGTCACCCTCCGCGCTCCGGATATCGCCGATGGCGCCGCATGGCCTGATATTGTAAAACCCCACCACCTCAACATCAATCCCGGAGCGGAAAGGGATCCGGGCCGAAACCCGCGGCCCTAAGAATCCTTCGCGGCAAGACGTCGAAGTCGGGGTGCAGATCGTAAGACAGGCGTTCTGGTAGACGTCCGTCATCTGCGCGGCTTCCCTTTCCCAGTCCTCTTTGTCATCTTGGACGATGCAGACTGCGTCGATCCAGATATATGGTATGTCTAGGCTACGGCATACTTCCACGGCTTCCCGCATGGCGGGGGAAGTTATCTCGGACTTGAAACCAGCGATACGATTGGGAAGGTTAGCTCGCTCGGTCTTGAATTGCGTTTTTGCGTCTTCGTGCGGTCCCCAGCAGTAACTTAGAGCAGCGTACTTGGCTCCCTTGGCTTTAAGGAGACCGGGATCTGTAATCACGAGATGACAGGTATCGTCATCTCCGGTGCCGACATTTATGAGCCTGGTAGGATAGAACGGCGTATTCCGGTTTTCTTCAGACTCGATATCCTGAAGAATATTACCGATCTTCTCGACATTCTTCTTGCAGAATATGTGGTCTTCGGGGGCGGACTGGAGACGAAGCCATTGGGTGCATGGGTCTGGGGGGGTTGTCAACATTAGAGATGAGCCTTGTGAGATGACCTGCAGATTGGCTTAGGCATACCATAAGGGTCTCCATCAACACCGAACATAAGCAGGATTTCTGATGGAAAGATAGCATAAGTCAGTGTATCAATAGACAACAAATCACCATAAGCAAAAGTGCCTATGGTATACTATTAATATTAGAGCATACCATCTGATCCTTGTTCCAGTTGTAGGCCAACATGAGCCAAGACAGACATGAATCTCCCCTCGGGAGAAAACACAAGCTGGAGCCGAATATGGATTTCCTGTTCAGGGAGATAAGAGCAGCTTTTGGTGATTAATTTTCTAAGGATCGCACAAAAAGCGCATCCATTCTGAACAGACCCGGAAATTATAGGCAGCTTTGGCAATCGGTCCTTCAGCGAGAAATCCAGGAATGAGTGAGCGTTTTTAGGGGTTTGGATTTGGAAATGCTGTCTTCCTGATTCACCATGAACACCATATCCGAATGCGGAATCATTGAATCGGAGGACATTGCACCTAGTGCATAAATTTCGGGAAGTAGGTGAATTCATTATAGAATAATAATAATCATGTCGCGACTTTTCGTTTGGTAGGTAGATAGTTTCTTACCCGCATCTGCATACCCCGAGATCCGGAAGGTCACGTGATACGGTCAGCCGAGCGGGGATATTGCTCCGAGTTGCTCCTCACGGGCAACACTCCTTTCTTTCTAATAGTTATATCGTTCTTGCACATGAATCTAGACGCCCTAGTGGTTATAGGCCCTTTTTGCGCTTATAGCCGGTGCTTCAGAAGATCTATAGTGTCTTTATTCCGATAAAATCTCTTCCGCATTACCTACCTACATACCTAGAATATCAGTGTCAGCCATATCCTCGTTGCTATGTCTTCCCAAACAGCCAACAACAAATCGCAGGCGGGTCCTAAGCTCACGAGAAAGTCGGACTACCCCGCATGGATTGCAGCCCTTCAGTTTTTCGCCCTCTCACGAGGCACTTGGGACGAGATCAACCTAATAATGCCGAACCCCGCAAAACCAAGCAGAAAGTTCGTCTCCGCTGCTGATATCCCTACCTACGAGACAGCCCGTCAGGAGCTAGTTGATCGCGCCAAAAAAAGGGTTGAGGCCTGGGAAAAGGATATAAGCCCCAGCAAGGGGAAACGCCCGATCACTGAACCTACCGAGGGTCAGATCTATGCCCAGCTCGACACTGCCCTGAAGCAGTTCAAAATAGCAGCGTCTATCTCCGCCGAAGAAAGAGCCAACTACAAGGAGACGGTGGACTGGATCCAGAACACAGTCGACCCAGAAATCATGAGCTCAATACAGAAAAAGTGTAGAAACGAGGGCGATGTATCACTTCGAAGTGTCCTCCGAATGATCCACGCCCGTCTTGCTCCATCCGTGATGGAACCGATGATCAGGGATCATTATGTCGAATTCTAGATACCTATGAATGCTGGTGCGGGATTGATTATTCATGGAGAAGCAAACGCTCCACTGGGTTCTATTAGGGGAGTAGTCCGTAGTTTGGGACTGCGTTATGAGTGAGTGATAGTGGCAGTTAGCTCGCTGGAGGCTCGCTGTAGGTTTGCGGAACATGGTGGTTTTCTTCAGTGGTTAAGCCCCCTAAGAAGGCTTAAATTATAGCGGTTATGCACTAGAGTTTAGCGGATAGATCACTATTAGGTCTCGGCTTTAGCCTGGACTTAATACAGTATGAAGTAATTGCTTACCTCATCATGCACTGGGCAAGGAACTTCCGAACTTTTGATCCGAACCTTTGTATATGTTACAAAGATGCTCTGAACGACCGCATTGCTGCCACTGCGATCTATGATTATGACGTCGAAAACATTACCGAGAGCCGACTTGTTTTTAAACAAGTTGTCTAGGTACGGGAGAACGACTTGGAGTTAACCGAAGATGAACTTTTTAGGAAATCGGACGCGAGTTCCAATGGAGGAAATATTAAAGGAGTTTCCAACGAGTTAGGAGGATGTCAGAAAAGTACAAAGAAGTGGCCACATCTCATCATTCGGCCCTCGTTCTGGATAGATATAAAAAAGAAGGCCGAGGCGCGGGACTGTTGGTGGTTGGTTGTTAGTTGTTGGTCAGACTGCAGATTGTGATTGCGTGTCAAAACGTGTATTCACCGAGAAATCCGTTCCATCTTTGCCGACTCCGAGCTCCGAGCCGATTGTGGACTCGGGCTGAGACCAATTTATACCAAAATGGGGATGGCGAGCCAATTAGCGCGGTCAAGCTGAAACCGCGTGGCGATCTAATCTTATCTGATCCGAGAGTGCAGTAGGCAGAACCCTTGGATCGCTTAGGAAGTCACCAGTCATCCTTCGTTGGTACTTTGTATTCTTGCTCATAAAATACTGGTTTTCATTCCTTTTCTCTCTTCTTTCCCATCTTGTTGTCCTTTTTTCCCTTTTTATACCCATTCATGTTAAACAGTACTTGTCGGGATTTATATGTTTTTTATGATATTTAGACGATATAAGCGACAGCAAAGGACTTGTTAGATTCTCCGTCTCCGGTTATACACATATTTGGACCCGACACATCCGGATTCCGGATACAGGTAAAGATGTTGGAAAAGCCGCTCCTTATAATCGACGGCGTCGGCTACGTCTTGTCGTTTCTCATCTCAGCTCTCCGGCGTTCACTATCCTTCCGCCTGAAACTTCTAGGACACTCGATGTCATCGTCTAAAGCCTCATCTTCCTCGGAGCCGAAGAAACCCCGAAATATTGTTATTGTGGGGGCTTCCATCGCGGGTTACACGGCTGCGCGGACTATTGCGCAGTACTTGTTGCCCAACTCAGAATACCGCGTTGTCGTCATCGAACCCCGTGATCGTTTCTACTTTACCTGGGTCTTACCCCGATTCTGCGTCGTAGAAGGCCATGAGCACAAGGTCTTCATCCCGTTCGGCGGATACCTTCCCGCCGGCTCACTAGAGGCCGACGGAGGTAAAGTCGCCTGGATTAGGGACCGCGTCGCGAGCATCTCGCGCGAAAGTGTAAGCTTGCAGTCCGGTGGCGAGGAGATCCCGTACGAGTTCCTAGTTGTGGCTACCGGCGCAGGTGCTACAGACTCTCTGCCTAGCCGTGTACCGGCCGACAACAAGGTCCAAGGAATGGAGCTTATGAGGGAGATGCAGAAGCGGATCCGTGAGTCTAAGGATCTAGTTATTGTGGGTGGAGGAGCTGCCGGCGTTGAGTTGGCGACGGACGCGAAGTCGAAGTACCCGGAGAAGAGGGTCGTCTTGGTGCATTCGAGAGATGCGGTTATGCATCGTTTCGGACCGGAACTACAGACTACAGCGCGGAAAGGAATTGAAGAGCTCGGGATTGAACTCATCACCGGCGATAGAGTGGTCAGCGAGAATAAAGAAAAGGGAATTGCCGTTTTGAAGAGTGGCAAGGAGATTGTGTGCGATTACTTGGTTTGTGCACATTTTTTTCTCCTTCCGTTCAATTTTTAAGCTGACAAAACATAAAGGTGAACTGCACTGGACAGCGGCCCGACTCTAAGCTTCTTGCTGCTTTAAGTCCGGCGTCTATCTCGGAGTCAGGCCACATTCTCACCAAGCCGACCCTACAGATACAGGATGACTCGCTACCTAACGTCTATTGCTGTGGTGATGTATCTGAGACTAACACGACACATCCCAACTCGCGGTCTGCGATGCGTCAAGCTCAGGTTGTTGCCTATAACGTGATTTCCGGTACCGACGGCAAGATACCGAGGGAGAAATACATCCCACATTGGATGGATGGCATGATTAAGCTGACTTTGGGACTTGTAAGTTCAATTCACTCTTTTCTGAGTTAACATATGTCAACTTAAACCGTACTGACTCCAGCTTAATGTAGGATAAGTCAGTTGCGAATGTTGGCGATGGAAAGACTGAGTTTCTCTTCCCAGCGGTAGAAAAGGACGAAGCCCTAATGGCCGCGGGGGCTTGGCATAAACTGGGTGCCAAACCCTTCGAAGACACAGGATCTGAATTCTTGGCCAAGATCAAGGCTAAGATTTGAATGAGGGTTGAATAGGATGTTTAACTGCATCCTTCTTACAGCTTAACTTTCGTTTAAGGAGTACTAATATCACTGACGTCAAGGATACTAGGTGGGATTGGAGTTATGGGATGAGATTGATGGCGTCACGATGTAATAGAATTAGACATCTATATTACTAATAATCTTGGTCAGAAGATACCTTAGAGTTCTAAACATTACAGTCGGACAAGCGGGCGCCCTGGTTACCGGATAGGGTATCTAGGTAGGCACTTGGACATATTCCTTAGTGTGACTTAGGTGACAGCAAGAACAAGAGCACTAGGAAGCTTACAAAGCTACAATAATCGTCCCCCCCCCCCCCCTAGACGGCCGTCGAAGAGGGTATTCGTATTTCGTCGCCCGGGTAATATTCCACGAATTCCATTGGCTCAGTCTTCCTACCGAGCGAGACCTCTCATTTACAGCCGGGTATTTTAACCATCGTCTAAAATTACCCCTAACATTATACTAGCTCGCGGGATTCATATCTGGGGTGCAGATGACGATGCGGCTATTGGCTTCGGCGATAGTGCTTCGTCTTGGCGAGGAACTGCTTTCCGGGATTTGACACCTGTTCCTCGTGGTATACCGCGGCGTCTCGTGGCGTATATCAACATGTCGGCCTGTCTCTCCCATCAGAGCGTGTCTCTCCCACCGGATAACGATCTATTCCCCTAGATCTAAACATTCAAGCTTTTCAAGATACCTAAACGCAAGATGCAGTTACTCACTCTGCTCGCGCTAGCCAGCGCCGCCCAGGCGCATTGTAAGCACCCCCTTATCCCTCCATCCACCTTAACACACATCGACATTACTAACACAACACCACCAAAAAAGACCGCTTCTCCAAGCTCGTCATCGACGGGCAGCAAGAAGCCGCAGAATGGACCTCCATCCGAATGACGAAGAACTACCAATCGAACGGTGGCGTAACAAGCGTCAGCAGCCCAGATATGCGCTGCTACCAAGCGCGCGCAGGGACGAACACCGCAACCGTAGCCGCAGGTTCAGAGCTAGGCTTCGTAGCCAACGCCGCGGTATCGCACTTCGGGCCCGTGCAGTTCTACATGGCGAAGGTGCCCGAGGGCGCCGACATCAACACCTGGGAGCCCGCCGGCAACGTGTGGTTTAAGATCGGGAGCATCACTGCCGTGCCTCCTCTAGGTTCTAGCGAGGCTACTTGGCCTGCTTATAGTTCGTGCTCCTTACCCCTATTTTACCCCTTCTTTCTACCTCCCTAAAACGAATACCCATGCTAACCCCCAACAGACAAAAAAGTCGTCAACGTAACAATCCCCAAAGCCGTGCCCAGCGGCAAATACTTAATCCGCGTGGAATCCATCGCGCTGCACCAAGCGCAGTCCGTCGGCGGCGCGCAGATGTACCTCTCGTGCGCGCAGGTCGAGATCACCGGCGGCGGAAGCGGGACTCCTGGACCTCTCGTCGCGTTCCCCGGCGCGTATCAGGCTAACGACCCAGGTCTGATGTGGTCGTATTACCCCATTCCTACTACGTACACGGCTCCGGGACCGGCTGTGTGGACTGGTTAGGCTGATGACAGGGGGTTAAAAGGGATAGAGGGTATGAGGTTATGTACCTTGTGAGAATTACAGACATATTCGTGTACTCCGCATGATGTAATTCAATGACATGACATAACTTGGGAATTTTTTGCCAATTTAGAATTCCACTGAACGACTTGTACCTAGGAAGTCATTATCCTAACAGAGAATAGAGTCAGAGGAGATACCATGTGCTAATTTTACTGTATCGCACCGTGACTAGAACACTTGGCATCCGCTGTGTTACGTAAGCGATTTCTTTGATTAGTCATTTTATACAGTCTGCTTAGTCATGCAATATTGAAGTCAGCACAGAGGCACTTTTCTAACACCATCCTTTTAAGCCTATTTGAAGATAAAACGTCGGGGGATTACTTACAGTCGAAGCGGATCCATAGACTTCAATCGAAATAGCGAATATAAAGCCAAGCTAGAATATCAATGTTACTTGAATAGTAGACAACACATACCAGGAACCGCAAAGTTTTCAGAAATCCATCAAATTCATTTTCATTACCAGTACAAGTAGAGCTCTACCCAGAGCCATTCAGCTAAAGTAACTAGAAAGAGCCATGCACTTCGTCCGACCACCCTGAATCTCGTCTCGAGATAGCAAATTGAAAGCTCATAGCTCGAAACCAGTAGCTCGATCAGGTAGATGGGGGACGCGGCACTACCTTCAACTCCTAAGGAACCTATCAACTAGTGAAATTTTGGACCTAGCAACTTGAAGTTTAGATCCCTATCCTAAGACAGGTTCCGCAAACTCCTATTGAGACGTTTAGTGGCGTCGCTTCTTGGGCTTTGCGCGGCTGCGGTCTTCTTCCTCGGAATCCGCCCTCTCGCGATCCTTTCGTGACGCTTTCTTCTCGAGCTCATCCCAATCTTCACCTTCGTCATCCTCATCCGAGCCTTCCTCGCTAGCTTCATCAGATGCGTTGCTATCGAAATCTGAGTCATCTTCGCTGGATTCGCTCACTTCCTCAAGATCAGATTCATCGATCTCGAAGTTGGATTCTTCCTCCTCTTCCTGATCGTCATCGTCATCGCTCTCGTTTTGCAGGAAAGACCAGCCACCGTCCACGAAGAACTGGTGGGTATCGGCCGTAACGGTCTTCATGATCGTAGGCCAGTTCAAGTTCAAAGGACCTTCAGTATATGCGATATCACTAGAATCTAGCCATTCCTTGACATCTTCTAAAGACTCGACAGGAATTGTGTTGATGTGAGCGGGGGCCCGAGTAAAATCCTTGAACACGAATACCAAGTCGAAGTTCTTCAGGCCAAATTGCACACGTTCCAGATGCGCAATTTCAATGTCATCCAAGGTGATAACCAGGAAAGGTGGCTCGGTGAGTTGAATAAGACAATCAGTGGAGGGCTGAATCGTGACGTTGCTTCGGAACGGGACGCCGTTGAACCCGAGCTCTCTAAGCGGCATGTCGACCTCGACGCCCTCATTCTTACCCGCCTCGGCAATCTTGTCAGCGAAACTCTTGAATTGGCGATCGAGTTCTGCTCTATGCCGACGGTCTTCTTGCTCCTGTTCGAATTCGTCCTCATCTCCGTGACGGTACTTCCGCTTTCGGTTACCAGTCTCGTCGAATTGAATGTCTGTAGCTTCCCGGTAGAACTGTACATCCTTGGTCTTCTTCTTGTTGCCAATGATGATGGGGTCTTTCAGGTGCAGATGAATTATCACGATGAGCTCATGGGCGCAAGGTTGGAAGAAAAGATGGCGGATGTTAGAGAAAAGTACGTCGACTCTCTGCTGGGTGTTAAGCGGTGATTGATACCGAATACCATTCTGGTGAATCTCGACTTTTCCAGGAACACGTTTGCCTTCCATCGCGGGGCGTATAAATACGTTGTCCATGACAGGAGGGCGTCGATCTATGGCTGGGTTAGTATGGGATCAGTTTCAAAATGTAGATGAACTCACTCCTTATTTCGACCAGCTTCTCCTGTTCAACAACATCCTCCATATCCTTCTTTTCTTGCTCCTTCTTGGTAGCCTCCTTCTTCATGGAAGAAATCTGCGCCGCAATCTCTTCGTACCGATCACCGTCACGAGAACGGAAGGTCAGGCTCCTAACGAACTGGGCCGAAGCATCCTCAAACGGCTGATCATCCTTTCTACCTACTCCCTGACCAGGAGAAAGGAAATTGATCCGCAGATATGACCAATCGCCCTCGTCATTCTTGCTAGCGTTCTTGATCGTGTGGATATGGAAAGGCACCGGTCGGCCCATGACGGGGAGGACGAGGGTGTGGTTCTTCTGGTCGACAAGTATCTCCAGATTCTTTACCTTAAGAGGCATCTGGTTTTCTCGTTTATACGACTCGAACTTCTTGAACTTTTTCACCTCGGCACCATCCGGTCCCCCTGTAGATTCAGCGAATCGAGCCATACCTTCCTTCTGTTTTTTAGAAGAAAGATCTTTCTGGTGATCCCTGCGCCTTTTCTCTTGGTCCTCGTCTACCTGGGTAGTACGCTCGGATCTGAGTCGGGTACTGGTTATGTTCTTAGTGGCCACAGCGCCCACACGGGAGTCCTTCTTTTCCTTCTTTGGGGTGGGCTGCATCTCCTCGTCATCCTTGAAAAAGAAAGAAGTGGCATCGAGGTCGCTAGGAGCGTCTCCGGTGAATACGACGGGATCGCTGTTGGTCACTCGGATAGTGTCGGTAAGGACTAGGGAGTAGGTCTTGCTAAGCTTGTCCTTTGGCGACGGGTTCTCTATGTCAGTGAAGCCAGTTGTTATGCACAGCGTCATGCCATCTTTCAAAGTACGCGGGTTCTTGGCACTCAGTAGCAAGGTTGGGTCTTTGCTCTCAATGCCGATACCCGCTCCGACATTCTTCAGGAAATGTTTCTCTAACTCGGGCTTCTTGGACTTGATGTAGCTCATGGCCTTGCCGTATATTTCCTTGGCAGCCACACCGTCTCTTATCTCCTTTAGGACCAAATTGTGGATGGTATAGAGGAATTTGTAGGTATTTTCCTGGGTCTTGTTCGGATCGACCAAATAGGTTCGCGCGATGGAAGAGCAGTACGACTTATATCGAAGACCCATGCCGGCGATAATAACGCCTGGGTGGAGGTTATCGCCAGTAGGCTCTGACTGAAGCTTCAGGTCATATTTGCCGCCACTTTGCACGGCGGGACCAAGGTACCAATCTAGAGACGATGGATCGAAGTCGGAAGGTAGTTTCTGCTTGTTAGGTAATTCAACTGTCTTCCACCACTTCTCATCATCAAGTTTCCTATCGACCTTGTCGGCGAGTGCACTGTGTTTCACCTTCTTCTCTTGATCAAGAACATCGGACATCTGATCTAGGAAGAATGGTGTCATCAGCGCAACACATGCCTTGGACGCAGCTCGCATCGCTCGTAGTTCGGTTTCATCCTTGACGGATAAGGCGGCTGTCGATAAAGCAGTAGATACGTCGACCTCCTCCACATCTTTACACTTTTCGCCGAAGATCTTTTTCCATTCATCGACGAAGGGACCGCCCGACCTATCTTTGGTAATGACACCAACTTTTTTCTAAAACTCCCTGTTAATGAAAGAGACGAACACGGAGCAGACGGGTATTACTCACTCCTGCAGAATTGATGGTGTCGGTGACTTTGGTCCAATGTTTCTCATTCGCAGCCGCATCCTTTCCTCGAACTAAAAGCTCGATAGGAAACCTTCCGCCTTTTAGAGGCTCCAAGTGCTTAGCTACATATAATCGTTAGTCGCGCGGTCGCATAGGTGATTAAAATTTGGGAATGGGCGGTCGCCACCTTTCTTGGCCGTCGTGACCACGTAGAGTGTGTCGAGAGTCAGGAGCATGAGGGTAGTAGGAAACTCGTAGCCGAGCAACCAGAACTAAATAAAAGGTGAAGCGGGTCAGTATTCATCTATTCGAATTGATCTAGGCGCGAAGAGCGAAGAAAGTGAAGAGGGTGGAATTAACGTACGTGCATAGCATTATTCTTCTGGAAATCGGGATTCTCCTCGACCTTGCCCATATTGATGAGAATAGAAGATGCGCCATTGAAGACAGCATCTCCAGCGCGTTTATCGGCTTTCCAGGCATTGACAAAATGATTAATGCGCTCCTGGAAGAGCTTGCCATCGATCTTGATGTCTGCCATCTTTATAGTTGACCCGAAAGTCGTTTGCGAAAGATGACAGATGAAACGAAGATGGATGGCGGTTAAAAGTTGTGGTGAAGGAAAAAGTGAAAGATGGAGTGACAAAAGAAGGCTGAACGTATCAATCAACTCCTTCTCCAGAAAAAATGGGATGTAAGGTGACGCGAGCTTGGGCGATACGGTCCCACTCTTTTAATTCGCGACGCGGTTGAACGGTTTAATGGGTTTGGGCTCGATTACGTAATAAAGCCACTGTAAGTACCTAGTACTAGGTGCCTATTTCCCCGGAATATTGCTTACCCCCTTTTTTTCTTCACTTAAAAGTTAAAGGGAGATCGAAAAGAAATGGTATCAGTTTAGAGGTAACAAAGCAGGATATAAGTTTCAATGGATAACTGCTAATCTAGGCAAGGAATAGCTCCACCTTTTTATGTAGAATACTACTCTTACAATTTGCGAAGGCTCCTCGCTCTGTGTCACACAGCGGATAGCCTTCAACGCTACCAACTCTGTACGACAGGGCGAGGAACGCCGCGGGGGTGTCACGTGACTATATCAGTTGGAGTAACCCCTCCCACTCTCTGGTCCTATTTCCCAACTACCATTTATGATAATATTCTTACCCTCTATTTCCTGATACCTAGTAACGTACCTAAGTAATTAGATATTTCAAATAATTTTTTTATTTGCCTAGAAGATGCACCGCTTCAAGCTCGACTTCCAACAATATAGTCTACACCCCCGATCCGTCGAGTCCTAATCCAATCTGACTTTCTACACTGACACTGGGCGCCATGTAGCGAAGGATCAATGTACGCGTCAGCTTATCTATCAGGATTCCATCAAGCAACATTTATAAGTGAAGACGAGCCCACGCCCGGTTTAATCCAACTCAAACACAACTTTCCCAATTTTATAGCATCCTGGGCAAAATGCTCACGCAGTATCTCCCACCGGAAATTTTACGGATCATATTCGGGCATACAAACAAACACGATCTAGCAGCACTATGTCTAGTTTCTCGGGATATCTATCGAGTTGGAAGTGAATTGCTCTATGAATCGATTGCCTTGGACCTTTTCGAAGACGCTTTCACAGTGACATCTTGGACAATTACAAATGGCGACCCAAGGTTTCACTCGCTGTGCCAAACTTTATTAGAAGGACCGAGATTCGCCTTGCTTGTCAAAAAGCTACATGTCTTATTCTATTTACGGAAATTCACCCAAGGTGCTCTTCCGCCACTCGATGAAGTATCTTCCCAGCTTCGGATGCTCGCTAGCGTCATCAGAAAGTGTGTGAACCTCCGGGATGTTTATATTGCCCATGAATACGCCTTGGAAGACTCCGCAATACAAGATCTCAACGAGTCACTTCTTTCCCTCTTACATCTACAGAGATTGAGGGTCGCCGTGAAAGATACAAGGTACCAATGGTTAGTTGGACGTACTCGTCATATTGCCGGACAAACTGATGTTGGAGTTTCCCTGCTCCAAGGGGCTCTCGAATTACCGTATATGAAAAGCCTCGATTTAACATTGCAAGAAGGCCCCCAAAGTCTTTTACGATCGTTGAGCTTCCCGATAAATAACAACATCATACAGCTCAGTCTTTCCGAATCTTGCTTCAATCCCAACCATCTAACCAAGATCTTAGCTGCCGTGCCTCGAATTGAAGAGTTACGCCTTTTATTTTTCCTCTGTGTCGAAGTCGGGAACGACTCCCCTGGATCTTGCCTGGATAGTGAAGATCTAGGGCATGCATTGGAAAACAGTTGTTTCACATTGGTAAGCTTGAAAATAGAGGTCGATTTTGACCTCAACAGTACGCAAGCTCTCAGAACTAGAACAGGGGAAGAAGCGGGGTATGCTTTATCGCGTAAACTTGGCTCTTTACGCTCTTATACGAGACTTAGGTCATTAGAACTTTCTCCAGAAGTACTTCTAGGCTGGAACGAAAGAAGCGCGCCCGAGCTCTCTGATGTTCTACCCGAATCGCTCGAATCCCTTCATTTCAGGCATGATTTATCGCATAGGGGGTCGCCTTGGAATGATTTTGCCCCGTTATGTAACCGACTAGGGAATTATCTAGGCGATTCCGAAGCTATCATGCCGAAAGAGTTGATATTGTCGCATTTCATGGGAGAAGATAGAGTTGGTATGGTAGACTTTATTAAGTCTAAATGTCTTGATCGTAATATTCATCTTTATATTACTAAAGACCGAAGTGGATCTCTTCTCGATGGGTTATGGTTGGTAATTCATTCGCATACCAAGCCATATATTCCATAACAAGCTCTGGCACTATAACGGCGAGGAATGCCGAGGAGATGCAAGGTCCGGGTCGGTATGGCGGTGCTTACAATCGACTCCATTGCTATAGCTCTAAGATCACTAGTGAGCTCCGCTCGAGGGTTCGATTCACCCGACGGTCTGATCGTTTTTTTTTCGGCACTCAAACCCTTTCCATACGAATCCCATACTTAGGTATTTATTTAGCTACTAGGTATATATGTATATACCTCACGAACAAATAGATATATAGGTTCTGAATTTCTATCCTTTAGTAATACACACGAATGAAACTATTATACAATCCAACTTAACAAGTTCCGTCTACCTTCTAATCGCAACCACATGGCGTATCTCAAACTTGGTGATGTCATTCTGGGGAAGTGTGATGTCTAGTTCATGCATGATTGCATCCGTTAACTTATACGGGTTCCTCTTCTTTTCCTTGAGATGTATGTCATCCTCAATTCCAATCCACCCATTTTCACTATCCCAGAGGAACGTCCCTTCTGGCACATTCTCGAACTCCCACCGCTCCGTTGTATCTGCGGGTAGTGGAGCCGGTTGTTCACCGACGACGACAAGGAGTACTTCTATATGATAGAAGTATCGGAGCATCTCCGATATCAAGGCTTCCTCCTTGCGGAATAGTTCTTCTGGTATAGCGATGCATGTCGGGTCCGTTTCAATGCTGACTAGCTTTCCGTAGAGATCCGGTTCCCACAGCCGATCGTCGGGCTCGCAGCGAAACTCGTCCCATTTATCATAAGGGACGAATAGCCCGTCGCGAGATGGATCGAAAGGGCGCTGGAAGAGAGGGTACTGGCTGTCCTTACGAGGCCGCGCCTTGAAGCCTTGCTCGCGAGCCCATGCTAGGGCGATGTCGCGGGCCTCACGGTTGACAAAGGCTAGCGGTAGCTCGAACTGGACATCATCTAATAAGTCGTACCGAAACTCAAAGTTCAAGTTGTGCTCATCGTTGGACGGGTCGAATCCCTCGTCAGATTCTGTCAAGTGTCGAGGACGCCAATATCCTTTTCTGTAGATGAACAAGGCTGGCCCGAATTCGCCAGGTAGAGCATCACGCCATATCTGATCGCGTAGCTCCGGGGGGAGGAAAGAGAAAGGGGAAAAGACAGGTGAACTAGCTGCTGTTTCGGTCATGATCTTTGGATTCTGTAGCCCTCGTCCAAATGTGCGCGAGATGTGAAAGAGTGCTAATGGAACGAAGGAAATGAGAGGAAAAATTCGAGTGGATCGTCGGAACTCGACTAACTTCCAGGGTTGCTATTGTGCCTTTCTAATAATATTCACTATAATGAAAGTGATGTAATGGTGTTGTTGGTGAGACTAGGTCGATCTTCGGGTTCTGATGGAATGGGTGGCTGCATAACGAGGAATTAAAGTGGAGGATCATACGACCAAAGGGGATTAGTAAAAATCTAAAATAAGAGCAGGAATAGCTAACTACTAGGTACCTAGTAGAAATTCCCCAGAAACATTTGCTCTCATTTACCTACCCAGATAGGCATAAGTAAATTCAGTATTGGGTTTCTTTTGACTTGTAAGGTTCCCATACAGCCATACCAGGCTGCCGGGGTAGTCTCGATCGATGGAAGCGATTGCCCTCCGGCCAAGCCTGCCTAGATGTGGAGAATCGGAGGCGGGGGCGAGGTCCATCCATGGATCTGACTTCATACCCCTTGCATTAAGGAAGGGACATTCAATCAGTTGCTATATACTACATATTAGGTATAGTATTATTATGTCATAACTTAGAAATCTACAAGATGTCTTGTATCCAAAAAGAATGATTCTATCAGTATAAGAAATAAGAAATAAGAAATAATATAATTATATAAGATATTATAGGCTATCCCCAAAAAGATATTTATTTTAAGCTCATGCAGCTATCCATAAACGCGCTAGCTTGTTCGGTATGATCCGCGCTCGTCATTTTCCCTGTAATCCACCGTGTCTCATCCTACATCGTGGCTTTTAGCCACTAAGTCTAGCCGAACTAATATGACTGGCCAGTTTGGCGATAAACAATTCTTAAATCTTGTTCACAGCGCAAAGAAGTTTTGAGTAAACAATAATTACAAGCAACTGCCAGTTATGGACATAGTCTCTCGGGTACGGAGCGCCTAATATTCATACCTCTGCCAAGTTTACGATCGTAGAGATCTATCCCAACGACACATCATATTAGAATCCTACTTGCAATTTAATTAGAAGAGTGCCCCGGCTGCCAGGTGTTTGACAACTACATAGTACCTACGATGGCGCCATTTCGGCAAGCATTAACCGAGTGAAGCCCCTTAACGATACAACGCGATCCTCATGGCACAGCAATATATAGCAATTAGCCAGTGTATGTAACGTTGAATAGGTTCCTAACCCGTGTCTATCTACATCATAGCTTGCCGAATGTTATTATTATAGATCTTCAACTACGACGTTGATTGCCAACATCCAACGAGCCTCATATATACCACGCTATCTTACAAGGGTTGATAGTCCAAATACTAGTGAATCCACAATCATCCAGACTCTCCTCGGTCCAAAGATGTCTAGAAGTTCACGATCCCTTGTACCTAGTATCAAATCGAGAACACCTAGCTCGCGAATATAGACCGTGATAGGAAATAGCACGCAGGGGGGGACGGTGTGGAATCCCTAGCACCTACCTAAAAGATACTCACTATAGATCCGATTCAGCCTCCTTCCCGCCTTCACCTTGATTCCCATGTCTTCATGGCGCCATCTACCAGAGTCCCGCAGCGGCTTAGATGTTAGCTCAAAGGATCTTCTCATGGTGAGACATACCCAAGTGCTGTGGACATTCGTTCATGGGATTCCTTCTGGATGACGGGTCTATGGAGCATAGGAGTTGAATCGATGTATAGCTCTAAGGTAATTGCAAGCGAAGATGGCTTCAAGGTGAGAGAGAAAGTAATATATAAACCATCGAGATATCCCGAGTAAAGGGAATTAAAATACTCATCACAACACACACAGCTTCACAACAACAACTTCTTCTTCATCTTCAACAATCTTCAGAGTTTACTCTCAAAACATCACCAGTCACCAATAACTACTTCTTCTCATCCAACTTCCAAACTTCCATCTTTCTCACCAACCACCCACCAACCAAAACCATCAAAATGTTCAGCATCAAGGTCATCCTCTTCGCCTTCCTCCTCCTCGCCGCCGATGCGCTAGCCGCCCGCATCAACTACAGCGCCAAGTACACGGACGGCAAGAAAATCGCCCGTACCACTAAGAACGCCGAGGTTGCCGACAACCTCTCCAACTCCATCCTACACGGAATGGCCACCTGGTCCGGTGGTGCCTACCAAGCTGCTCTTTCCAAGTACGGCTTCATCCAGATCACCAACACCCATGTGGCCGCATCCAAGGGCGCTGCCAGCGCCCAGGTCCAGCAGATGCAGACCCTCATCCACCAGCACGCCCAATAAGCTGGTAAGTCATTATATCCATTCTTCTACCATTTTCAACGATATACTAACACGATCAGCTTCCCACTCTTAAAAACCTACCCCTATCGGAACTGGCAAAAGCGTGAAGGAAAAGATGGATCTTTGGTAGCTTCTAGTCGTGGCATGGAGAGCTCTACCGCGTGGAGTTTCAGCTCGGCCGACTTTCAGCGGGTTTCATTCGTTTGACATCATTACTTTCGACTTCAAAATGTATATATATGCATGCATCTTGGTTACGGACTCATTTTTGGATTTCATTAGATCTCTGGTTTAGAAAAATTAGCATGGTTCTCTGATAAATAGATTTTATCGATCACTCTAAGTTCTCATGGTGCTTGTAAAGTGTTCTAAAACTTCATCTTTTCTAACTTTCTTTTGTTTCAATACTATTCGATTCTAGTATTCCCTGCCTCCGTACCACTGACTGTAGCGGCTGCTAGTCAAGGAAGTATGAGTTCTGTGATTGGTATATTTCTCACAACAAGATATTGTCAAGTGTCCACCCAAGTGTAAAATGTAATCAAATTAAGCAGTATCATACCTAAGCAATGCCCCATTCATACCTAGGTATTATTCCTATTTTAGGAATTATATTAGGTAGCCAACGGCATAAGAAGAAGAGCCAAGGACGGCAATGAAATCCTCTATGAGTCATATTAAGGCACATGCCTACTATTAAACCAAGTATGGAAGCTGCGAGCAAGGTAAATGGCGAATGATAATTCGAAAATGCGTACATTAACGGGCATTTTACTATTGTGCTAGGTGCCCAGGTAGGCAATAGTCAATGTATCTTAGGTAGATAGCTTAGGTATAATCTAGCTATACCGGAAAAGGAGTGGTTAATTCTTGAATATTTCATATATAGTAGGTAGGTAACCTAGTGGTAGCCGACATAATATCCTAGATTACAATACAAATATGAATTCCCTTTCCCTAGGAGCTTACAACAAAGATGTGGCTCATCGACACGCAGACACTAGAGCTAAAGGAGTTTCACGCAGGTCACATACCCCAATATGCCATCCTATCTCATCGATGGGGTGATAGCGAAGTTTCTCACCAGCAATACCAAAACAGACAATTTGATCCAAATGGAGACGGGTACCAAAAGATCAAAGGCTTCTGTTATCAAGTCGCCAGCTCCACAGACCCATTAGTCCACTATGCCTGGGTTGACACGTGCTGTATAGATAATAAGAGCAGTGCCGAGCTCTCCGAGTCCATCAACTCAATGTTCAAGTGGTATGGCGATGCTATTGTATGCTATGTCTACCTTTCCGACGTGGACTACCAAGCCCCTGATCGGGAGTCCCAATTTCAGCAAAGCCTATGGTTTACTCGAGGGTGGACGCTGCAAGAATTTCTAGCCGCGCGTGAGCTTTTATTCTTCTCGAAAACATGGGATATGCTAGGAACAAGGTCCGAGTTCGTAGATATATTATCATCCATTACCAAGATACCACCAGACTATATTCTCCGTCGCCGCCCCTTAAGCGACGCTAGCATCGCGCAGAGAATGTCTTGGGCTTCCCATCGATTAACGACCCGAGAAGAAGATATAGCATACAGTCTATTGGGTATCTTTAATGTCAACATGCCATTAATTTACGGCGAAGGTCGAAAAGCATTCCTACGACTCCAAGAAGAAATTATAAAAAGATCTAACGATGACTCAATCCTTGCCTGGGGATATAATCACCGGGATGACGATACACCCGACAGAACAGGTGCTCTAGCCAAAAGCCCCTATTATTTTGCCGGTTGTCATAACATCATTCGATGCGAAGATTGGGAGGGGAGGTCCAAGCCCCGTCCTTGGGAGATGACCAGTCGCGGCCTACATACCCACGCTATTGTGATCTCGTCGTCTATAACCCACAGCAATTCATATAATATGTTATACAAATTCTTAGATTTGATACGAAGATCTCGAGGTGAGCCACTCCCGCAATTCGTGGGCTTGAATTGTCGGCTAGAAGGCGACATCACGACAATCATTGCGATTCCGGTAAACACGACTGGAGACCAGGCACAGCGAATGGGGCCGGCTGGGTTCAAAAGGCGGGTTAATTTATTCTCGAAGGACCGCTTCTACGGTATGCCTCATAGTGACATATACATATCTGCCTCTGGAGTTGAAGAGAAAGGTATTGCTCCTGACAGACCACCCCCCCGAGATAGGACTTCCGAATTTCCTATCCTCGTCCAACGCTCGTCAGACATAAAACACGTCCCATCGCCATGTTCAAACAGCTGGCTACAACAGAATATAATCACTATAACGCCATTAGCTCCCACGTATCTTAAATTCCAGGAGCCCAAAAAAGATACCAATATCTTCTTCCTATATATCGAAGGAAAAGACCCTGAACCGGACCTCATATTAATATCCTTCCCCCCAGAAACCCTACAGAGGAATATCCAGACGAAACTGAGTTCTACACTATTCGGCGTGAAGGTCGGAAACCAGAGGATATTTGTCGCCGCCCGAAAACGACCAGATATTAGCCCAAACGCATACGCAGCCAACTTACAAGCGATTCAACTACCCCTGACGTCGTGGGAATGCTTTCGATGGCTGTGCTTAGTTATTGCTGAAATGTGGCATTTGATGGGGGTATATACGATATTTTACTTATTTGACGTCCCGTTGAATATGTACGTTGATTTTCTTACGAGTCTACGAGTAGTCTAAATTTACGATAGAATTCTTGACTTCACTTTTAAGCCCCTTAGCAAATGAGGCGATATGAAGTAGAAATCTGTATTGCCTAGGTCGTAGTGCGCGGAGTAGTAAGCCCTCGCAAAACACAGCAAGAGAATCGATGATAAAAAACAGAAAAAAAAAGTCCATACAAGAAAAAACCACATCAAGAGCCTCTCGCCCTAGCATTCGACCAGTACAAGCTCATTTGTTCATCCCTCGTCCCATCCATCCATCCATCCATCTACCAACCAACGTGACGTTTGCAGAGTAGTGAAGTAGAGTAGAGGAATAAAACAGCGTCAACAATAAACAAGAACGTAGTAATGAACCAAGAACAAGAAGCGGTACAACAATACAGCACGACTAATTATCAGGGTATCGAGCGTGGCAGCCGCGCTCGCGAACCGGAACCACAACCTGACCATATCGTACCGTACCGTAACATCGCAAAACGTCGCACCGAAAACGCCGAGCCGAGAAAGTCAAACATCCAACCATGCCGTATCACGTCGTTGAAGACCGTCATAAACCATTGAATAACCCCTACCTCCCCTTATGAGACCTATTTGCGTAACCCGCACCGATCGTAACCCTTGCATCCAATGCATTGCGCCGTTCCCGTCCCGACCTCGAACGCCGAACAATGACAATGGAAAATGGGGTATGTTACGATCAACGATCACACAAGAAAGATGGGCCGACAAGACATTTACATCTCCATTCGCGCGGCGATGTCTTCGCTTACGCCTCTAACGGAATGCGCGACGTGTTCGTCCTCGCATTCGCTCTCCTCACTCTCGTCGTACGAATCACTCTCTTCTTCATCGGTGGAAGGGTCGTTTAATGGATCGATGTCGACATCTTCGTCGGAGTCGTATTGGACCATCTCGTCATCATACTCGTCATCATCGGAGTCGTAATCTTCCGCCACTATGCGGTTGGCGAGCTGATCTCCCAGCCAGAACTTGGCGCGCTTGTTCGCGCCTAAGCTACCGGGTAATGCCGTTGCGTAACGCTTCGATGATAGGCCATTGCTGCCACGTCGATGAGGCGCAAGTGCGGGCGAGTTCATGAGTATCGGTAGGCCCCTAACGTAAAGATAAGCGACTCGCTTCTTGTTCTTGTTGAAGAAGAAATAGTGCATGCGCCATATGGCGGCTTCGTCGCCGTCGAAAGGATCCTCGATGGGTTGATACGAGAATACGGTGCAGTCTCTCAGGGTCATCTCCTTATCAATCATGGTCCACATGCCAGGGCTCCAAACAGGATTGCTAATCGCATCACTTCCAATGGCCAGGTTCGCCGCGGGTGAGCTGCCGTAAGAGCGATACGATGAAGACGCATCGGGCGATAAAAGCGTAGTACCGATAGGGCGCACACTATGCAACGTATTGTCGATATTAGCCATCACATGTTGTAGGTCGCGCTCACGACGGAAGTCGGTCGGTCGCAAGACATGGGAGAAGTCATAGTCGGGGTGGCTCGCGTTCAATGTCGCAATGAGGTAAGCAAAGGTGCGACGGCTCGAGACTTCGCTAAGATTGCCGAAGGGACTTGAACGAGATAAGTTGAGTGACGCGGCCATCTCTTTTCGCTGCGGCGGCGACAATGATGCGCCAAACTTAAGAAGCGCAGCATGTTGAGCCTCGAGCGAATTCTCAATCGATTTATACAGCTTCTTATCGGTGCCCGCGGCTTTTGTGGTGTACAGGTCGCACGATCCCTTGACGCGGCATTCGGCCGTGCTGAAATTCAGCGCGGAGTTGATGACGTCGAAGTCGCGAAGTGGGAGATACTACAGCACGCGGAAACCAGGGTCAATAAATGAGCCGCGCGGTATTCCGACACGGCCCTCGAGGTATTTTATATCATGGAATATGTTTACTTACCTTCATCTTTGCGTCTGTGGTGATTTCGCAGCAGCTTATGCAAAGATAGCATAGGATGCGATGGCGTAATGAAGCAGTATGGAGCGGTGTAGGAAGTTAGATGTGCAAAAGCAAAGAAGTAAAATACAACAATACTATGAACAAAAAGATAATTATATTTGTATGCGAATTATCGCAAAGACGACTGAGACCGACTGGGAGATCAATCGGTAGCACTAGGCTCTGGAGTTACGAAGTTATTATTAATGGATGAATGTAGTCCTGACGATGTGGGCACGATGTCGGTGCAACTCTCTGGGAGCTGGTAAAAAGACAATGCACTTCAATCCCTGTTGAATTGATTCGGATAGAATAAACTAGACGATATTTCGTCTAGTAGGCGCAGGGAGAGCAGAACATCATAAAAATAGAAGCCTAACGGATATGGAATATAATTGGTGGTGTTGTCATCGAATGACGAATTGAAGCTTTGGGAGTTGTAGGAGATAAGTTCCAAGGTTGCGATCCGGATCTTAGTTGGAGCATTATGGGATGTGGATGTGCTGGCTGTGATCAGGTGTTTGAGTTCAGCGGTGCAGTGGTGTACTAGGTAGTGGTGCATCGGTACAGCGGTTCTGCGTTGTCTGATTGTCTGACTGTAGCTGCTGACAAGGGGAACCAAGACCCCCAAGACCTAGAACGCAAGACGTAAGAATGCCGGGCTACCGGGTGCTTCCCGGTTTCCTTGTATTATCGAATCTGGTCACAGGGAAGGAAGGGGGAAACTATCGAGCTTTAGAGGGGGTGGCTTGATAGGCGTAGGCTTGTAGGCTTGATACGGTGGACGCTTGATACTAGGCCGGCAAACGAGGGCTCCCACTACACCATAAGTCAAAGGCCGATCAATAGCCTTAAACGAATGAGATAGCGTTAAGGTGCCACGAGTATCAACGGCGCTTTGTTAGGGAAACATACCTTACCTACCTAGTAGGTTGATAGGGATATCCTTCATGTAATCCATCTCTTCTTCCATAATAAGTACACGCTAATGAAATGCCCAAGTGAATCCCATGTGCTCGAATACCGCTCGTTTGTTTGTGCATCGTTTTCCTTGGCCGACTGGTTGTTAAAAAGTATGAGGTCATATACCGGGAAGTGTCCGATCCTGGGATTTGCCGACTGGGTTGGTAATAAAAACTTCGATAATAATACCCGGTAATAAGAATGAAATACATGCAGATAGTGTCACTTGAAACCAGAGTCTTACATTCAAACAGTTGAAAGTTGAAAGTTGAAAATTGGAACATGGCTCTTCCAATATTGTCGATTCTGCAACTTCGATCACATAATCCCGGCTTCTTTCAGAGCAGCCTCGATTTCTGCAGTGACCTGTAAAGATAATAGAATATAAGCATACTCCCAAATGCAAAGTGTCTGACTGATAAATTTATCCCGTTGAAACCTGTAGCGCCGTGCCTGTAGAAAAGACCATCTTTTGATCTGTTAATCCGTCTCGGGAACAATACATTATCATTTGTTACATGATTTTCGTCACCTCGTCCTCGACCTGAACAGTAGAGATTGCATGTCAGTGGTCTGAGGATCGCCAAAGAAATGTGTTGGATTCTCGCGTGGGTTGCCAGCCAAAATATTGGTAGTAATAGTAGCAATGATAAAAACCCGGATGGGTGACTCACCTCCATATCCTCGAGAGAATCTTGTTGGTTTATACACCGCAGAACGTTCTTCTTGCTGCTTTCCTGAAGTTCCCCTGCCAGTAATATCTCGTCCAGTATGTAGTATGCCTTGGTGAAGGAGAATATGATGTCGAGTTCGCAGACGTTGCCGTAATACTTGTCCATCTGTTCAACGTATCGATGAATAATCTCGAGAGTGATTAACTCGTTGTCATCGGAGGAGCAACCGGCGATGAAGAATAGGGAGGCATATCGACGGTAGACGATCTTGGTGTCTATATAAAATGTCTTATAAGCAACTTCGCTTCTCAATACCCTGGTCGGTAATAGGGGCTGGGCCAACCTTTATATTCGAGAAAATTGCACATGCGAGTTCGTCTAGCGAGGACTAGTTGAGAGACGTCCTTGACAATCTTCGCCTTGTCCTTGGGTGATAATGTCGTGAACCATTTGGCCAAGCGCTGAAACCCATTATTAGCATGGTAAGTAGATAGGAGATGTTCAATGGGAAAGGGATGTCCTACCACCTTGCCCTGCCGACTGAGCAGGATCAAGTAGCTATCATATCCTCGGTTAGCTGTATATCGATATCGACTGCGATGTTTTGGAATCTAACTTGATGGCCATATTGATGCTTTTCACATGAACATATCAGGGTGGCGACGAGAAGGTTGGTTGGTTTCGGAATACGTTTGTGTGTAGTAGATAAATAACGGTGAATGGCGATTGAAATGGTGAAATATAGCGATGCATGGAGAAGCAATTTCTTAGTGTCAAGTAGTGGGGTTGGGCACGAGCTGCTAAATTCGAACCTTCCATGCATTAGAGGACACCGAAGCTGCGAAGTCTACTAGGTTACTTCGGTACGTATCTCGAATATGTTTTCAGGTATTTTATGCCAGCTGAAACCATTATTTGCCGGTCCGCTGCACTCTGATGCCTGATAACCTTAAAACCCACCACACAGCTGCCCCCACGATTTTAGTCAAACTTTCAATGATTCTAATGCGAGCAATTACATCCAAGCGAACGGGTGTTCGCGGATACTCAAACCATAAACCCGATAGGAGATATCCTCACAGAAGAGGAATGGCTCTTTTCCATTCTATCTCCAATTAGCCTTGGCGGTAACATTGAGTACAACAATCCGCATTAATTCCATCACCAACAATTGGAGACAATTGATTTACTATGTACTTCAATATGCTCCTAGATCTCTTCACATGTCTTAGGTCTCACTCTTGGGTACTGGGATCTTGTTGGTATTGGATGGATGTTAGGAGCAGTCACCTCGCTGCCTCGTAACAATACGGCATACGCAAACAACAAATCCCATCTCGCATTATTAGCACATGTGTTACGGGATTTACGGGATATACGTCTATATTGATGGGAAAGATTCCTAATAAAGCTTATATCGGTTAGTCGCCGTCTGCCGTGTAACCTAGAGGGTCAAATTGATATTGACTTTCTGGGGAAGGTAAGTTCCTATCTCCGCGTCAAACTTACATGCCCCAAGACCTACGCCTATCCTTCCAAAGTTGGCACGATCTCGAACCAAAAGGCCATTAAAAAAAACAGGGGACCCCACCTCGGTCTATAAAGCTTCAGATTTTCTACCCCCCATCATAAAGCATAAGATTACTAATAGATCTCCCCATCTTGTATACATTATATATCACACCTTTTCCTGTTTACTTTTAGACTTGGGTCATAGGTTGGTTCTTCATATTATATATTTTACTTCTATCCTATCCTATCCTATTCCGTCGAATCACACCCATCACCATGACGCGAATAGTCTTATCGACGGGGAACGTCATCCTCAGTGGTCCCTCCATCATCCGAAAGCCAGGCACTTACCGATCCAACTTCGAATTCACAAACTCCCTACGGACCAACTTCATAGCCGCTCAGCAGGACTACGCTGCCGCTTTACCAAATGGTAACGGTCATGCTTCTCATCAGCCAAATGGAAATGTAAATGGATATAACAGCAGACCGGCACCGGAGGTCTGGACCGCGAAAGAGGAAGATACCTTATACATTCCGCGCATTGACTGGGAATCGGCTGGCCTACAAGAAGATCGCGCGCAGTACGAGATAACCGCGAAATTATTCTTCCTACCCACAGCGCCGGCCGAGAAACGAGAAATCTACATCAACGACGCATTGCGACTAGTCACCAAGGAGTTAGGAATAAGCGACGTTGATCTTCTCATAATCTCTTTCCCTGGTATATCATTTGAGGGAGAATGTGAATTTGAAGCCGACCGAAAGAATGCGACTATGGGCAACGACGATGAAGAAGCTGCGACGTGGGGTCCGTTGGAAAAATTGCAAGAGCAGGGCAAGATAGGCCGACTCGGGGTTGCCGAATTCGGCACCGAGAAGCTAAGACGACTTATAAATAAAGTCAAGGTTCGGCCAGCGGTCGACCAGATCAACATAAAGAACTGCTGCAATGTCCCTCCACCTTTAACAAAACTCGCCAAGAACGAGAACATCGAGTTGCTCACCCACCACGATTCTACGGATATCTTACCTAGCGGCACCTTGCGGGAACTACTTGGCCAAGGTTCGCAAGGCGCAGGTGTCCTAGCAGATAACGGGTTGAGCGGTATTAAGGGAGAAATCACCCCTGAGTGGGTTGTCAAATACACGGCATTCGTCAAGGACCGGGGAGTCATCGAGAATAAGGGCTACTTCGCAGGCGCGGAGTTGGCAGGAGAAGCATAAACAAGACGCGACATCCGTCTTTTCTATCGCATTGTTTAAGGGAACATAGCATCGTTGGTTTGGCATTGCTTGCATTAGATTATGAGTATACATACCTAGGTAGCTGTAGCTACCCAGGTCTAGAAACGTAGCAGTTATCCTAATCTAGGAACAGATACTTCGAATACGAGACATTATCTATGTTCGCATCGTGTCAAATTAAATAGCCATATCAATATTCTTCTTAAGATAGTCTATCCTATCATGCTTCTCTTGCGCCCACGCATCCTAACTTCTTCAAGTTTCTTTATAACCACAGGCGCCTGCTTAAATGCCTCCTTATAGGAACTCTCCAACGTAGCCGAGAACAGCTTCTCGGCGCGCGAGTGCGTGCTAGCGAACGCTCTCTCCAGAACATATAGATCGACAGCGCGATCCTCGTCGGACGAGCTCTGGCTCGCCAGGCCGAAGTCGATAATGATTATATCGCCGTCCAGCAAGCCGTCGCCGCCACTCGCATGTCCGTTCGCCGGCTCCCTACCCTTTCCCCACGGCCGCAGCATCATATTGCTCGTTGTCAGGTCGCCGTGTACGATACCTACCTTGTGCATACGTCCTACTGCGCTCCCTATCCTGCGCATCAGCGCAACTAGATCTTTATCTTCTTCTCCGTCCCCTGTGATCGGTGCCGCATCCCCGTCATTTTCGTCTTCGGTATTATTGACGTCACCACTTGTAGTTTTTTCAGTCTCTTTCCGTCGCCTCAACCACTCGTTAATTCCCACACGCGCCGGCACACCTTTCACCCACTCCATCATCATCCACCCTGCCGTCTCGTCAACCGCGTACACAGCCGGGACAGGGACGCCTTCGCGACGGCTTTTTACCAGGATGCGCGCTTCGGCCAATATGCGGTGGCGCGTCAATCGCGCGTCGAGGATCGGGTGTCTCCATGGTTTGGGCGGGCGGTACTTGAGGGCGGCGGGAATGGAGGGTAGGAGATAGGTTGTCTTGTACAGTCGCGCCTCGGCGCCCTGGGTTATGAGGGATGGCGGGGTCGAGGAGGGGTAAGTCAGGATGGCGGGGAGGGGAAATTGCTGTTCGTGTTCGCCGCCTCGCGAGGGCGAGTTGTCTTGGTTAGGTGGCCGAGGCGGTGAGTCTGCTGCCATGGTACCCGTACCAACTGTTTAATATATGGTTAAACTAATGTTTAATGTCATGCAAGAAATCGATCGCGATCGTATGTTATGGGGAAGATGTTAACTTCCTAGGATCGAAGCTCCTTATTGTTGTGGGTTTGTCGGAGAGAATTCTAAGTTGGATGTATTTTTTTGTTCAATCAATTCAATTACGTTAGCTATCAAAATGTTACACAAAAAAGTACCCCGCGCTCCCGCGATTGATTTTGCGCCAGCGGCAGCAGCGCAACGAACAAGTCGCAGTCGCAGCCGGAGCCCAACTCAATTTCATTAGTTAGACCTGCATGAAATGAAGGATATGAAACTCGAAAGAATGGAAGGTTCGGACTTCATAAGAAACTTTAATAAGACACCCGGACCTTTTATTTCAATCGTCAAAAAGCAAATCAAACTTCAACCTCTTTTCTTTTCTTTTCATCTTCATCTAACATTGCTACATCCACCACTACCGCGTATACCACCACAATGAATATCCACGAAACACACCGCCTTTGGCGAACCCGCCTAGCTGGGTAAGGTCAACTACTATGTGCTAATGGGTGTGTACTATGTACTCTGTATATGCACACTAGGTATAAAATCAACATCCATGTGACTCTGACAACTAGGATAAGCTCTCTGCATCGGCAAGGGGCAAACCCGTTAACGGCGCTGTTATGTATGGATATGTATGTGATATGTATGTACTAAAGCTTTCCAGGAAATCAGAAATCCATGGATCATTCTACGATGGAGGCGTCATACTATAAAGTAACATGTTCCTCTTTCGAGTGAATCAATACAACTGCGCCACCGTTTCTCCTCGTCTCTCCCGCGACCTCCGCTATTGGACCCGAAATCAGACCCTAGTTCTGTATTATCGGCTCTATATGCAGGAGGTTCGCAGGTTCGAGAATCCGATGGTTTAGCCCCATCAACCCAACAAAATCTCGATAACCTACACTATTCCTACGCCCACATCCACGCCCGCACGCGCAAACCGCAGAAAAAAAACTACCTAGCTACACACAAACCAGTCACAAAAAGCCGCTTGCTAGACGAACTTCACCATACATCCTCCGAAAAACTGCCCGCAAACTGAAAGCTGCAAACTCTGTCTAATTCGTCCTTCACCTTTAACTTTGTTTTCACCAATCATGGATTTATAATGAATTTATAACAATTTTTCGCTTCCGCCCATGTCCTCAACCACCCGAGAATATCGTTCGCAGGATGACTGACCCCTCATCTCTCTGGACTATCGTCCTTCCTGTCACCGCTTTTTCTTTCTCCTTAGTCGTCAACGCGCACTTCTTTACTTCTTATACGACCGCATACTTCTCCGCGCCGCACGAGATCACCGTCTTCATAGACACCGTTGACTTTTCAATCCAGGAGAACGACAGCTACGACAACGATCTCTCAAAGGTGCAGAGGCTAGAGGACAAGCTCCGGTTAGGCCGGTTGCTGCGGGAGATTCAAAAGATTGGTGACGAATTGCGAGATGACATAAACCACCTTGTGACGGCGGAGGGTGGTTCGACGCTGCGAACCAGCGCCCGCATTCTCTGGGCAAACCACAGGACAAAATTAGAAGAGAAATTACGACGACTTGATATGTTGCGCATGCGTTTCCTGGTTGTATACGTGGGTATTATTGCGAATGCTAGTAAAATCGCAGCACCGAAAGATCCCGAGAAAGCTGCCATATATGAACCCCCCAAAGGTTTTCCGAAGGGTCTAACCGAGAGCATCAAGCAGAGGCCACCTCTGAGGAAGATATCTACACAGCCAATAGCACACCACGAAAAAGCAGAGCCATCGCAGAGGAGACAATCTATGCAGCCGTTAGGACAACATGAAAAGGCCGAGACGCCACCGAGAAGACTATCAACACAGACGTTGGGAAGCTACGAAAAGACGCAGACCCCGCATCGGATGGGCTGGATGCATGTTGTAGACGAGCTACAACGCTCTCCGATGATGCATCGACGTCACGCCTCGATCGAGCAGAGCATGCGCTCGCCTCCGTCCATGTCACCTCTCGGTAGCCCTGTAGCTCTTACGCCGCAAATGGACAACGGTCGATTTCGCGAAGCAATAGAGTCTATTCCTGAACACCGCCTAGCGGAGTAACGACCTTTGACGAACATGTCACGTAACGACGTCGAACGACAACATCATGACCCCGGATTCCGGTGAGCCTTGTTATGAGCATTTACGCCTACTTAATTCATTGCACGAGGAGTTTCGGTCACTTCACGAGATACCCCCTTTTTTATATTTCGTTGCATATCACTACATCACCCCGGTTATCACTTCACGTATATAACTAACTTCGGCCTTCCTTTTGTTACACCCCTTCAAAAATTGGATTTTTACATCATCAGTGCCATACCCGTTCTTAATTATCTTTGAATTAAATCATGAATTTGGGAATGTCGTATGTATCGGATCTAGTGTAGGGGCATGGACTCGGCTGGGCGGACGGACGGACGGATGACAGGATGATGTAATGAGTCTGGTTTTATGGGAACGGGATCGACCTAGAATGTCGGTGTATCTAGCTTTAGCTAGACTTGAATTACTGTTTAGATTGATACTATGATTTTCGTGCGATGGATATGGTGACTCTATTTATATTTGACATGATCCGTGGTTGATGTCAAGTATTTGTGAGCCCCGAGATGAGTACCATCAAATCAACCACCATGCACAGTTTGGCGATGTTTGAATTTTTGTTACTGCTTATCAATGTCCAGAAACGTCATCAGGCCCAGTGCCATTTTTCTCGCCGACTATCAACTTTGTCAGCGTCTCCATTTCGCTCCCCATAAGCATGTCCATGAAAGGGGGCACGATATTGCGAATACCAAGGGAAAAGAAAGCGGTGGTTGACTTACCGTCCAGAGCAACAAGAAATCTGCTAACGCAGTTATACGCCGCGACCTGTGGAAATCATTTCATCAGCCCCTTTTCCTCGTCCGATAAAATGTAATTCAACCCGCCTCGCTTCACCTCTCGACATCCACGCACGCACGCACGCACGAACCCATCCCGCACATCCCATTCTCCCACCCCCCAACCCCGAACCACAGAGCAGAAGCGAGAAAAAGAAAAGAAAAGGACCAACTCACCGTAGCCGTAACCTCCACAACCTCCCTCTCACTAAACACCCCCCTAACCAGCTCAAACACCTCATCCGACACCTTAACAGCCCGCGTCATCTCATCAGCATACCTCAAAACCGCCCACTCCCTCTCCCCCAACCCCGCCTCCAACGCCTCCTTTTTCACCTTCTCCCCCTCCCCCTCTCCCTCCGGAACCAAAACCTCCCTCCCCACAACCCTCATCCCCGCCTCCCCAACCCCAGCCTGTCTCGCCAGCGGCGCGTGGTGTCCCCATTCATACCATGCCCCATTGACAACCGCAACCCTGCATATCGCGATTTCACGCACCCGCGCGTCTAAGCTCGTGCGCTCGCGTATGGCGCCTAGGAACGAGTTCCACCCGTCTGCGACGGGGGGAGCGTGTAGCAGGGCTAGGTCGAGGGGTTGCAGGGGCCGCGGGGCGCGCCGCGCTGCGATGCGGGAGATGATTCCGGCGTCTGCTTCGGAGGAGGGGACGGGGGGGTTGGGGGTGTATGGGAGGCGCATTTTGGGTGGTTGTAGGTTGGTAGGTAGGTGCTGGGTATGTATTTATGAAGGTATGGATGTGCGTGTATCCCACGAGATGTGCGGTTAAGACCCGGGAAAGTGGTTGCTGGGTATGGATGTAAGGGATTTCGTAACTGATTTTACGTTCTAGAAGCCGGGCCGATGTTTAGAGATTTATAGAATACGCTCTATCAATACCTATGACTCCGCAACGTCAAGAGAAGATATCTGTCACCGGTAAAAGATGCGTCATTCGGTACGGACTTCTCTATATCCCGAATATCGGACCGCGGTAGGTACCCTTAGTCGGACGCGCTTACCATAGGCTCTCCGCCTCGCTACTAGCTCTGCCGGTTCGGCACCTCGGCCGGCATTAAGATACATTTTGAATGTATTCATTTCCATCACCCTAAATATCATCCTGCAGGTACCAATTGATATATCGACAAGATTCAATGATTATATAGTATATACATTAATGTACTAGTTCTTATATATGCTCATACTTATGTCAAATATGTACATCACATGGAACGAGCTATATTGTTCGCTCAAAATAGCCACGATCTTTCATATGCGCCCCAAAATGCTATGGTAGCTATCGTTCTACCTTCTTCAACCATGGACCTAAAAGTCGTTTGCCTAGCCCAAATGGTGTCTAAACCTGACACTCCTGTCCCATCCTTAGTATGGTATATGAAACATTTTTTCTTGTCCGGATGCTGGTCATGTTTATTACAGACCCTGGGAGGTCAAAATACAATCCAAAGAAACCGGAAATCCTCGTTAGTCGCCCGCATACTTTCTACAGCGGACCGGACCAGGTTCCGTATGCAAAACACATTAGCCGTAACGCCATCGCCATCCCTAAAATCAGATTCTCCAGAAGTTTTCGTTCCTCTCCTTCCAATTCGCCGTGTTCGATGAGCTCCTGGTTTGATATCCCCTTGTAACATATAATGTACCGGTATAAATGTAGTCGAGCGATTCCTAAATAAGGAATGTATAAATAGTATAATATAGTGATATTGGCGACACAAAACTCATATCGGAAGTCAGATAGAGATACTGATATTGAGGATATTACGGATTGTCGGTGTTTGTAGGTCGTTGTATACCTAGTAGTAGGTAGCTAACAGTAGCAATACGCAGTAGTATCACGTTACTGCGCCTGCTGCTGGATGTACCCCATTCATAATAGGTTGCTCCTTAGGTTCAGAATCTATGTCTAAAGGAGTGGAGATGGTGTTGCCGTTCGGCGGTTGATTAGTTGCCGATGAGTCATCCTTTTTAGCGGTACTCTTCATCAGTTGAGAAGTTGTCTCGGGCTCCTCGGGAATAGTAGCGAATTTCTTGAGAACCAGTTTCAATGCTGGTCGGCGGATGGGCTTGCTAAGGAATTCGTTCATCCCCGATTCCATGCAGTCTTGGATATTGCTTTCCTCCGAGAATGCAGTCAGGGCAACAATCGGTGCCGAATATCCCATCTTCCGGATTAAGCGTGTGCTCTGTAGACCGTCGAGATTAGGCATTTGAATATCCATGAAGATCAAATCAAAGTGAAGATTATTCTCCATATTCGTCTTCACCAATTCGTATGCCTCCTGTCCGTCCTTAGCAATTGTCACATCGTACACATCTTCTAGTTTCAACATCTTGCTAACAACCTCAATGTTCGTAGGGTTATCCTCGGCGACAAGAACTCGCAGCTTTCCTCCGCCTTTGCTGGCTTTAGCCATTTCGATGGCATTCATTCGGCAGTTTGAATTAGGCTCCTTTGATTTGGACCTGGGACCGGTTGCAAAGAAAGGTTGGCTTAACCCGACGAGACGTGGCTGCTGATCGAGGACGGTAGCTTTGACTTCGGCTGTGGTCTGCGATAACGTCAGGGAATTTTTCCTGGAAATCACTTCGGCTGTGCTGCTAATGCTAGGCGGGCGCGATTTGATACTGCTAGAGGCTGTGCTTGAAGCCCTGGATGAGATCTAGTTAGCTAGCGAGCTAGATATTTGACAGATTACATATCTTACCTGTCTTTGGTGTACTTGAGGGGAATATGCATAGTGAATGTGGTACCGGCACCGACGGCACTTTTCAGCGAGATGCTCCCCCCCATTAAATTCGCCAGCTGTTGGCAAATGCTCAGACCAAGACCAGTTCCTCCGAACTTCTTACTAAGACCGAGGTCACCTTGAACGAACGGTTCGAAAACGCGTTGCTGCATATGCTCCGGGATGCCCGGGCCAGTATCCTCAACCTCAAATTCGAATAGGAACGACTTTGCGCTTGGTGGCGGCGGTGTTGGTGATCTCTCACGGATTCGTACGTGGGGTATTGCTTTGGGATCCATTGGATTGATTGATAAGGCTGTGCCGCGAGAAATTGACATTTCGTTTGAACTCTTGGATCTGTTCGACCCCGATCCCATTCTGCCTCTCCCCCTACCCGGGCGACCGGAGCCGGCTTTCGACATGGACGAAGTCCTACTCTCGTCAAAGGTTGGTTCTATTTCGCGCAGACATTTTATCCTAACGGAAACCTTCCCTCCAGCTGGTGTGAACTTGAGACTGTTGCTCACAAGATTGATGAGCACTTGCAGAATTCGATGCTGATCGCCCCACAAGCACATATCCTTGAGCCTACCAGTTCCAAGAGGACCGATTGCTGGGAGTTTCTCATCCATTTCAGTTCGTTCGGAGCTCGGATCGGTTTCGGGTTCGGTGCTTAAGAAAGCAACTGAAAAATCGATTGATCCTTCACGGACCTGTTTATCGAAAATGGTCGCAACCTGTGAACGAATGTCTCCCAGCCGAAATTCCCTCTCTTCGAGACTCAATTGCTGTCCAATCTGATTCTTCGAGAAACTCAACAGATCTTCAAGGAGATGCAAAAGCAAGTCACCGGACTTGTACAAGGTTTTCAGAGACTGTTTGACCCGATTCAAATCATCTTCCTCCATACAAACCGCGCACATGCCTAAGATACCGTTCAAAGGTGTTTTAAGCTCATGCGAAATATTTGCGATGAACAAAGTCTTGCTTTCATTAGCAGCCTCGGCAGCCTTCTTACTAATCTCGAGCTCATGTGTTCTCTCCGCAACTTTTTCTTCCAAAGAGGTGTACTGCTTTAGGAGTTCGTCGCTCATCTCATTAAAAGTCGTGGTGAGTTCTGTAAGTTCGTCCGTTATGAGATGTTTCCGGTCGTTGACTTTGCCAGGAATTTTGAAAATTCGCCTTGCTGGTTCGCTATCGTGCACTGAGGGGGCGGGCCTCGATCGCGTATGCTTCCGAATGAATCGTCTCAATCGGACCATAGTTCCGTGATTCGACTTTCGACTCATGCTACTAGATCCAGGGTGGTCGTCGTCGTCATAATCTAGATCGTCCATATAAGCTTCAGCATAGCCTGGAGGCGCAATTGATTTTTCGGTGGCAGCTTTTAACCTCCGAATTGGTAGAACGCTTAGGTGGGCACATGGTATAACCAGGAGGAGAGTAAGCCCCATAGTCCCGAAGACGCAACCGAGGAGGATATGTTGAAGAGTCTCGATTGGAATATACGCCTCTGCTTTGTCCTGTTCGATTATGAGTGTCCAATTCACCAAAGTAGTCTGCGGGCGGGCATAGCCGACAGCGACAGAAATCCCTTGTTCATTTTTAGTGGAAAGTAAACTGCTAGCGTTGTTTACCGCTGGGTTCTGTTGTGTGAAGGCCTTATATACGGCGTCATATAGCGAGACCTTGAAAGATTGGTAATAATTTCCGGACGCATAATTATGCAGCGAATGCCTGTCGGCTTGACGGGACATAGCTCGCGGCGGTAGAACGAATTTGACATCAACGTCCGAAAAATTGGACGCCGCCGGATGAGTCGAGTTTGCTGGCAAATTGTACTTGCTAAAGCGATTCCATCCAGTTGAAGGACCCACGAGTAATACGGATCCCGTATCGCCCAGACCTTCCTTGGACCTCGCGATATTAACAAGCGACGTGGCCTCCCCAACAGTCGTCATGTACCCGAGTATCACATCGTCCCGTACGATACTTCGAATCGGTATGGTTAATGAGATTAGTGCGAAGCTCTCATTGACAACCAACGGCCCCAATACCAACCCATCCACACTCGAATCAATTCGGATGTCCGGGAATGGTCGGGCAACGACGGCAGTGTGATTCGGATAACCAGGATCGGGATCTGTGGAATTGTAATATGTAATATTCGGGTACAACGAAGGAGGGTAGCCCGAAGAATTGTCACCTAAGATGGCTTGAGACCCATCAGCCGCCTTGTAAGGCAGCCTGATCTCGGAGACGTTACTACCGGTGACACTGAAAAGTCCATCGGGTCGGTCGCCACCGGTTTGATTCCGCGAATAGAGCCTTGCCTGTATGAGATTGCTGGAAACTCCAGAGCGGGAGAGGAGGGCACTCGAAATATCGGCAGCGGCTTGACTCCAAATATTTTCGGTGTCATTTCCGACATAAAATGATACAAGCGCTTGTTGGAGAAGCAACCTGGTAGCTATATGGTTACAAGTTGTCTGAATCAATTCGATCTCAGAGGCAACCTGGGCAGCTTTGAGAGATGCCGTTAATGAAAGCCCAGATGTTTCCACACCAACAACGAAGCGGTTGACGTAGATCCATGTTGGTATAGAGAGGATGGCGAGGCCGATCAATACAGCGAGCAGCACGAGGGCTGCCAACTGTTCCCGTATTGCAACTCTCATTATTTCCGGCCTATAACGGGAAAACTACCAAATTCCTTGGTCCATGCATTCTTCAGGTCGATTTACTGTTTAAAACTTCGAACTTCGATCGTAGGTCGGAGAAAGTGGTAAAAACAAACGAAGAATATGACGGGTAGCGGAGGGCGGAAGAGTTGGTAACTTTTTCTCGTCCGGGGTTTGGCCTGCGTTCTTCCAAAATCGGCTCTTCTCTCTCGTCAACTGATACACCATACACCACACACACACACCGAAGTGCAGGTGAATCTCGCAAGAGTACTAGGTAAGTAAGAAGGAAAATAAAATAATAAGCTGTACGACCCTTTGCCCACTCTCCCGTATTACCGTATGCACCAGAAGTGCGCCAGTGCAACGAAGAGAAGGGAAAAAAGAAAGAAAAAAGAAAAATGGAGGTACTAAAGGTGGTGTGGTATATTACAAGTAGTGCAAGGTAAGCTTGCCGAGAGAGTGGAAAGGAAGGAACCTTGATCGCCGCTCGGAGCTAAACATTGAACAGCTAAACAGCTAAAACAGCCAGGCTAGACTCGCAGGGCAAGGGCAAGGTAGGTATGCTCGGTAGGTACTTTGCCAGGTATGTGCAGTTAGTTACAGTAGCACTAGCATCTAGAAGGAACGTAATCAATTGGATTTAATGCTGGGGTACATAAGCTCGATTGGTACAGATGCGACGGCGAACGACGACTTCTTTCCAACAGCTAACATGGGTTACGAGGAAGGTACAGAGGATACTAGGCAAATATTTTAACAAATAGAACGCAGTGTCACCACACAGAATTCCACACGAATCTGCTCTTGCCTTCTTATTAGTGGTAAACTCTACTCTACTGAAGCAGCAGGTAGTAGGTAGTAGGTATCTGATAGGTAGAAAATTAGCAATCTTAACCTAGCTAGTTAGAAGCTTCAGCTGAGGCACTAGGACATAAGGAACTGAAGACGTATTTTACTTCATTAATAATCAATTTGGCCAACCCTTTCCAAAGTTTCTGCGAAGATTCCCATTCAGTTACTGGGTTCTTGTTATCTATATTCAAGATAGATATGTGGAAAATCGCATTGAATTCTGCATCCTGAATTAGCTGATCGACAAGAAAAGAGGATCACGCCATGCCAGCCTAGCCATGTGTACCTACTCTACAAGATCTCAGATGATGATAAAAATGGTAACAGATTGACGAGTAGCTCTACAGTAATGATACGGTACTGGGTGTAAACGTAAGCCGCGAGCAGAATAAGCAAAATCTGTAGCCCGCATGAGAATCTGTATGTGATCAAAAGGGAGGATTAATAATAAGCAGCCACAAGGTACTGATCGACGATCCGAAGTAGCATCGCGACATTGCTTATTGTGCTTATTTTGTTTGATAGGTGCCATGCACTTGTCGGTCTATTGATGCGTTTTCAAGTAAGAAATATCATACAATAATATCATCAGAACCCGTGTCGAAAGTGCGAATATGCCTGAATTATGGGATGTACTGTACGGAGAATATACTATAATAATACTAGATATTACTATTTGATGTACACGGCATCCACTCCTTCTCGATTAAGGCCGCGGGGAGAGATGAACACCACCTGGGCATAAGCGGGAGAGATTAACGGGACAGAAACAAAAGAGCTGGCGATTCGTACATCATTGCCTATTCGGGCGAGTGCGAAAAGTTTGGGACGGACTGGACGGATCTCGAATTGGTGTTTAAACCATGTTAAGTTTTAATCCCCGTAAGACCATGCGGGCTATGCATGATCTAGACCGGGAAGGTCCACAAGACCCACCAATCTGCACCACTGGGCTGACAGGGAACTATACCCCCTGTCCGAACACATCAATTAATGGAACGATGTTAGACCCTAATCCGGTTAAGCTTCTTCCTCTTTCGTGAAACATGGAACCAACCATAGATGGACAACTCTTCCGTTTCTTGGGATTGGGGAAATCGCGATGCCTTCACGCCGAGGTTATCCGTGCCAATATACTCTCGGCCAGGCAGGCAGGTTCATGCAACTGCGTACCTAGTACCCAGCTAGGTAGTAATTATCTAAGACACTCATACTATAATAACGGAAGCCGCCTCCCCATAAATCCCAATTTTATTTTTTATCAATTTCTCCAATTCTTGATAAATGGATATGACGCTACTAATCAAAGCTAACGCGTATGATTCATTCAACATGACGGGATCGTATGTGCTAGTAGCAAACTCGGGTACATATATGTATATATGGTGATATCGGTATTACAATTAGCCCAACCCCTAAACTCCCCTTTCCTTCAATCCGACCTATGTTATAACCACCATCTTCGGATAGATAGACGTATATAATACATACGTCAAGTAGCGCGTTTGACGAACATAGTGTCTCCTTCAAACCATCGCCGGGGATAAGCATAGAAGTTAGTAAATGGGAAGTTTAGTGGGTATACACGTCCATATATAAACCATCTAGGAGCAAATCGTCCGACATTCGTTAAGGCCGAACGCGCGAGCCCGGTCGACAAAGGATTTTCCATGCGGGTTCCGATAACTAGCGCCGATAGCCAAGCTCCAAGTAAGGGGTCAAGCTCTCCCGACTGACTCGCGGCGCACGCCTTACGCCCGTGGATATAAGACGGCCGGTTCTTCGGTGGGGGGATAATTCGTCTCATTTTATCGCGGTTCATTTCAAGCCGAAACCGGCACGCGAGGCCGACGAGTTAGTAACTGAGTAGACGTCTATCCCGGAATGCCCGAAGAACACGGACTCATGGTAAGCTAAAACGAGTCGGCGCTCGAGCAAGTCATGATATCCCCATACCTAGCCGTATGCCCGCGTTCCGCGGACGGGTAAACGGAATACAGAGTCTAAGGCCGTAAGCTTTGAGCAATCTGTCCGTCAAGGTAAGACCCTGTTGTATCGCGCGCTTTTCACGCATAGCACTCGCCGGGTTCCGGGGGTTGGACGTCGTCTTCTTTGACGCCGAAGCTAAGGTGTTCGACGCGGCCTGCTTCGTTATCGTTCTCGACGTGCCACTCGGGGGGCATCTTCACGATGCCCCAGCGTAGCTTGCTTCTGGCGAGCTTTGTGAATGGTCCGTTCTGCTGCTCGCAATCTCCTTTATAGCCCGTGTCTTCGCCATCCTCGCTGCTGCGATCTGGAAGCAGTTGTCTCGATGACAGGGATAGATATGATGACTGATTCATCGTGGTCACGGAGGCTGGTCTGTATTTCTTCATCTCGAAACCATCTTCCCTAGGACTCTCATCATAGACATCACCGCTTGGAACCGGTGTATACGACTGCTTCAGCGGCTGCGGAGTTTCTGGGAGGTCGAATGTAGATATTGCAGGAGAATCTGTTATCAGCGAGTCCGTGTGACTCTTAACGGCATGTGACATGATCGAGGGATGGCACGCGGCGGACAGTGCGAGCGAGTTGCTTCCGATGTTCACCATGTTTGATGGGAGCCTTTTCCAACTTAGGAAGAAAGGAACTGTGATTAGTACGCATGCGACAATTATTAGTCCTAGGAGGGAATAGCCTGAATATCCAACAGCGATGGCGGTGTTGGCTGGCAGGCTTGGATCGTTCAGGCCCCCGGATACGAAATCGCTACCGAAATAACCTCCGGTTGATATAAAGAGATATATGGTGTTCGAAAGCAACCAATGGAGAAATATACTAATCAGTATGAGGGGGATGCTGTATTTATATGGCAGTTGAAGCCGATATGTAGAGTATTGGTCGCCCTAACCGGTTAGTCCTTTACTTAGACACGTAGGACTTTATTCGTACCTTGGGGTCCGTCACTCTCAACGGGTGATATCCTTCACTATAGAGTGACCATTCCCGAGCCATTTGTAAGCGGGTAAATAGGTTGTTATAAGCCAGGTAACAGAACGAAAGCAAAAGTTGCGGACTGTTAGCAAGTAAAACGCCACCCACAAACGTGGTCGGGATATCGATGAATGCATTCTCCTCGCTCTCGAAGAACGAACCGAAACTGTGATTCCCATTAGGAGAAGTTCTCAACCTGCATTTTATTCTCGTAAAACAGCTTACAGGTTATTATTTTCAACGATGCTGTTGTAGAAATAGGCACAAATGGAGATACTGATTATAAAAAGTGCATAGCTCGTTAGCCACACGGATACGGGAATAACCGATGCTCGCACTTTTCGTAACGACTCCCATTGTCTCGGTCCTGGAACGATGAAGGCCTTCCTCCGTGACATAGCTCTCCGGATTTGATTTTGCCCTACCGTTGACATGCCGACTGTAACACGATCCGGCTTTTCGAGGAAAGATTCTATGACGTCTCCTAAGGTGACTAAAGGCGGCTGATTACGCCGGCTTAAAACAATGGTAACCGTGACTGCGGTGAAGGTCTTGAAGATCACACACATGGTGACTGCTAACAAGAGTTTTGGCGAAAGGCCGATGTGGCAAACTCGGTCGACAGGCTGTGCAAGGCAGTATTTTACTGCGATATTGAACGTACCAGGCTGAAGTCCCGATGTGATAGTACTACCGTAGTTTTGGGCGGATGTATATATGTTATCACTGGTTGATTCAGAGTTGATAGAGGTAGTCCCGTTGACTAGACGCTTGGTTCTGTTATTGAAGAAAGGGTATTGCCAATCCGAATTAGCAACAAATGCATTAACATCAAAATTTTGTTGAGAATTATCAACCCCGAATGCCGCGATACAGTTACTGACACAACTAGTCGAGGTATCATATCTGCGTTGGGCGTACATCATGCATTGAGCATCATAAAATAAATGGTTTGACTGATTCGCAGGAACGTATTGATCCCACAACTGGGTTTGGTTCTCCCGGAGATGCCAGATGTCGTTTCGTTTCCAGCCATCATTATCGACGACAAGGACTACATTGCGGTGCTTTTTCAGCCCGGTGCAGCTGATGTACTCCTGCTTACACTGGCTTACATCGAGCCTATCCCACCCACTGGCGGCCGAGGCGATGGCGGATATATTTTTCATGACCTCGGACTTGGTATCTGCATAGTCTGTAAGGTTGACAGGTGCGCCATAAGTGGTGGCCGCTAATTGACCCAGGTAGGGAAACCATTGCGGCTCTGCAAGGGACGTGGGCATGCTGTAGGTGAGCCAGTATATAAATCCACCCTGTACTAAGCCCGCCCCTGGCGCATAATAGGACCCCCCGTTTATAAACTTCTCAGTAGCGATAGTCATATGGTAATCAGAATCTCTCCCTAAGACACAGGCAATGATTAATATCACTTCCCCGGCATTATATGTATTGCATATCAATAATTGGATGGGTGAGCAATGAAACATCGTAAATGTCAACATATATCTAGGTAGCTCCTTTCCAATGAAAGTGGGTTGGGCAATACTTACGATCGGTCTGGAAGACAGTAGAGTTGAATAGTAGATGAAGTGGGATCGAGCTGAGAAGTAGACAGACCCAACATAAAGTCTTGAACCGGGACACTCTGAAGGCGTTTCTAACTGACGGTATACCAATTCCCATCCAGGAGCCTTTAAAATGAGCCGCGTTCAATTCTTGCCTTGAGGGCGAGTTCAAAACTTGCATGAAAAAGTTGCTCGATGCTAGCCTATAAAGTCCAGGTCAAATTGGGTAGGTAATTTAGAGAAGAAAATGACTGGTCTTCGGGTGAAGGCGTCGCGTGGTGTCCAATGTGATAACGAGTATAGTAGAGGCCAGCTTCAATCGAACATTCATTACAAGATAGGAATATAACTCACTAGATACAAATAGAACATTAGTATGAATCCACCAAAGAGAGTAACATTTCGTATATCATGAAGTTCTCCTTACAGCTAGATTGAGAAGAACACGTACCACTAGGGTTGAGACGACGTTGATCAGTAAATGGAGGGCCATATTGACTATAGCCACACTCCCTCCGTCGCAACTACCATCATAAAAGAACACTGCTTTGTCGAATCCATTTTTGGTCGCAGCGGCAATGAGAAAGCCTATGAGAGTTATCGACATAGTTGCGAGAACGATGCTGTTGACCTTAGCGGCCTGCCTCCAACCGGTAGAACGATCATCGCTACGCCAGACATTGAGAAAGTCCATAGTGGACTCGTCAAGACAGACTCATCAAGCCACATACATCAAAGTGCCGATCCGTAGGAAATATCGTTGAACTCTTGTCGCCGGCCGAGTTGCACTTTATAAGTCATAGTGGCCCAAGGCAATCCTTCAATGCCGAGAAGATCAGGATAGGGCTGTAAATGCTGTGCCTCACAAATTTCTTGTTATTTTGGGTCACAGCATCGCAGCACATCTTCACCTCATCGGACTTAGCAAAAGCCCCACCTAGTCGTTCCTCCATCAAATAATAGAATCTCCCTCTTCCCCATCTCGATTTGTTCTCGTTAAGCTCGGAGACAGGGGTTTCGTGAGGACCGACAGGGCTGATGGACGGGGTATTACAGGGGTATATTCAAAATCTATCGAAGGCAGATCCAAGAGCGTAGGATTATATGTTAGAGATCTTCGCTGCACACGCTGCATTGGAGAGGCGAGGTTGGTCCTTGATGCAGGTTACCGTTCAGCGCGTCATTTCAACCCTTGCCATTGGTCAAGAACCTCAGACAACCCAGGATCATGCATGATAAGGGGGTCGTACAGACTATCCTGCATATGGACAGCAGCACTTTGTCTTTGCATCTGTGTTTCTGCGTCATATAAATTTGGCTAATAAACCTACTACAGAATGAAACCTGTAGGTTGGTGTAGAGATGTATGAGTCTTACCACCCATCAGCTATTGATATTCGACTGCATTGAAGCTTAAATGTAAGAATATCGCACACGCGTCGTAAGCTACCTTGTATGCCTAGCGGGAACTCAGACTCATAGGGAGACTGCCGAAGTCTGCAAAACCGCCACGTGGGGGTAGTGAGTAAGCTGAAGCTGCTGTGGAACAGCATCATATTTGGGGAATCTAAAAGCATCTAATCCCAAACGAAAGGCTTGATCCCGTCAAGCATTCAGGTTATTATAAGTTGAACCGTCTTGAAATCCATTGTAGAAGGCAGCAAGATGTTTGTTCAGCAGCTCATGATTGTAGGTAATTTAGCCAAATCGAATCATTGCTTAGTCAAGCCATGATGTTTGATGGATGTAAACAAATGGTTAAGAACCAACACCCTCATGTAGTTCCAAAGCTATTGTCATATGTGCACAACGACACTAAACTGTCTCCGTTTCCTTCCCATCGTTCTATATCTAAAATGCCCATGAATGTATTAGCAACAACCTATTCGCGATCCTCAGAGGACGATAGAAATAATAACGCCTTCAGACAAGTTGAGAAGATATATAATACACGGTTTTTGTCGGCATGCGCAATCAAATATCTGGAGATCCAGACTTGACAGCATTCGCTGGCCCCGTGCTCGTCATCATTTGGCAAAAAAAGAAAATATTGAAAAGTGCTTACCTGGCGGTGATTTCAAGTAGAGGTTAGGAAGTCAATGGGTTGGACAAAATAGAGTCGAGCCCAACTGGAAGGCAAAAAGTGACTCAGCCGGGGATTCATCGCATGTTTAGCTTCATCTCATGATCACTGGCAACAGCGACGTTTTGACTTCTTCAAGTCTCAGGCCTAAACTTCCCTCGTTTCTCCTTCATAGCTTGGACTCTCCTTTTATCTTCCTCGAACTTCTTCAAAGTCTCAATCTGTTCAGCTTTCCTCTTTTCGCGCATCTGGAATCGATAAAAGTCCGTCATCTCGTCCTTCTTCTTCTGTTGTTTATCTAGCATCTTCTGCTTTGCCTCTTCCGCTTCGTCCCTTCTAGCGGGTGCGGCGCGACCGCCTCGCGTGACTGTCACGAATCCGTCCTCGTCTGGTTCGTTGCGTAGCCTCTTAGCGAGCTGTCCAGCCTCCCTCTCCTTCCTGTTGAAGACGGAGAAGTAAATGTCCATTGTAGCCTGAACAATGTCATTACCCGGATAGGTCATCTTGTTGTGTGTTTTCAGCCATTCTGAGCCTAAAGGTGGGACCTTGTCGCCAACGCCCTCACCCCAGACGGGAAAATCCTTCGGCTTCTTAAGCTTCTTGGTGGCTTTGAGGACCAGGTCAACACTCTTCTCGTCGGCAAACAGAGCGACGGCACAGCTCCCGCTACGGTATAATTGCCGGGACCACGTGGGTGGCAACTCAGCAGCAGCTTCATCCCTCTCATTCTGAGATTCTTCGTCGGCTCTCTTTCGCTTCCTATGTGCTGCTAATCGTATCGCTTGGGCGGGTTCATGGGCAGATTCTGATTGTTTCTTGTCTTGAGCGAAAGTTATGGTCTCGAACTTGCCTGCTCCTACTAAGCGGCCAAATAAGGCGCGGAAGTGGACTTCGGTGCTGTCGGTAGGAACATTAGCGATGAAGAGGCTGCGAGAGTCGTTAGGGGTAGGTGTTCGAGGCGCGTTTCTTCGTATGTAAATGTAATGTGTTGTCTTGGTAGAATACGATGGGAGAGGAGGGATTGATATCTGTAACGGAGTGAAGTCCTCAACGGAGGGATTTGGTTCAGCCATTGTGGATCTATTGTTATAGGGGCTGTTGTTGTTGTTGTGGTGAAAACATGAAGGAAAATAAATTCCTACTTTCGATGTTGCAGGGAATTGAAAGAAAAAAGTTTAAGTGGATCCATTCAATGCAGACCCATCAAACGCCAAGTAAATAAAAATTAGCGGCTATAGTAATAACTCATATAATTAGATATATATGACGTAAGCATGTTTATATAACAATATTTCAATAGAAGAACTTACTAATCCATCCATCAAATCGCATTTGTAATCAATTTCACAATTTCATCATTTCATCATTTCTCTCTCATCGAGAACATCTCTCTGTATAGAATCATAATTGAGACTCAACGGTGTGCAAATATCAGGTTTACCGGGACTTCTATGCCCTCAAATCAATTGCCAAGACGTCAAATCCTACCAAGTGCCGGACTCATTCGCATTGCGTACATCGATCGACCCGGCATTGAACAGAATTGGAATTTCTAGACTTTCGTTATCAGATCTAATTACTCATCGTATGATATCCGGATGCAAGCTCAAGGATGAGCTCAAGGATGATGGTAGAAATTATTTCCTCCGGCGCGGCTAGTAGCCTATTTATGATGCTACTGTCGCAATTGACCACCCGCCATTGACTAGTTGACAACCCCGGCCGGACCCCGCGGATTCCTCTGCCGGATCCACACCCGGCATTAAAAGAATATCGGTGACTGAATGAGCTTGATTCTGCAAGTCTTTTTGCTGTCACTTCGTTTCATGTAGAGGGGCCGTGGACCGGTAACGAAAATATTAAAATATCTAGAAATCTCTGCACGATGAGTCATTTCTCCTAATTCCCTATATATATCGACATCCGGCACACATCTACTACTGCGTAAGCACTAGCTGGATTCGCCATCTACGATACATAGTAGCTTCACGATCTATCAAGGAACCAAAATGGGAATCGTTAGCGGTATACGGCAGTTCTTCTCGGGGGCCAAGAGGGATCCTCAGTCGAAACCTCCTGCTTTCCTCGCTTTCCGTTCCTCGAAGAGTCTGATATTGTTGACTGGTTAGTACAATATCTGCTGACCTAAGTGCGGACATCTATGTTTCCAATTCTGAACTCGGTACTAACTAAAGAAACTTAAGTGGCGTTGGCTATATTTACGGACATCTTCTACTACGCGCTGATTGTCCCAGTCGTACCATTTTCGCTCACCATCCAGGTCGGCATCCCTCAAGACAAAGTTCAACACTGGACCTCCATCTTGCTGTCTTGCTACAGCGTTGCCTTATTCGTCGGCAGCCCCCTCGCCGGATTATACGCCGACCACACTACATCAAGACGATGGCCATTACTCATAGGACTCGTCTCACTAGCCGCGTCAACCGTGATGTTATGTTTCGGTCACACTATCGCTCTCCTAGTTGTGGGCAGGCTGCTGCAGGGTTTTAGCGCGTCTATCGTCTGGAGCGTTGGTTGTGCGTTGCTAGTCGATACCATGAAGGATGCCATAGGTGTTGCCTTAGGTTATCTAGGTGTGGCCATGAGCGTTGGAATGCTTATCGCACCCGTCATAGGAGGTGTTGTCTACGAAGCAGCGGGATATTACGCTGTTTACTATATCGCCTTCGGCGTTGTTGCAGTCGACATTTTGTTACGGCTCATCATGATCGAGAAGAAGGTTGCAAAGCAGTGGATTCCTGAAGACGAAGACACCGGCGCTCTGGGAACAGGGGTCGTGCAGAGAGACGTCGAGGCTGCCACTTCGCCCATCGGTGGTCTCACTCGACAAAAGTCCACTGGAGCAAATAGTATGCGTATCGCAGATCAAGAGTCGGCGCCTAAGAACGACAACAAGCTCGAGAAAGAAATCGATGAGAAGCAAGGAGGAGTTGTCTCTAGTACCGATGATGACTCGACGACCTCTACCACGAAATCTCCCAAAGTCCACCCCATTCGGATTCTTTTGAGATCACGGAGATTAGTCGCCGCGCTATATTGTCTTTTCACCCAGTCTGGTATCATGTAAGTATATACGAGCCTATCACTTATTAACTATCTGTCTCCTAACCATCTAACTATCGCTAGGATGGGCTTTGATGCTACTTTGGCATTGTTCGTCCAGACCACCTTTCAGTGGAATTCCACAGCTGCTGGAATTATGTTTCTGGCGATGTTTGTGCCTGCCTTCATCTCACCCTTTGTGGGCTGGCTTTCCGACAAATACGGCGCTAAACGACCATCGTTCTGCGGGTTCTGCATGTGTATACCGCTACTCGTATGCCTCCGCTTCGTCACCCAGAACACTATACAGCATAAGATCCTACTCGGTTTCCTGCTTTGCCCGCTAGGCTTCGCGTTATCATTTGCCAATGTCCCCCTCATGGCCGAAGTTACCTATGTAATCGAGGATATAGCCGCAAAGACACCTGGTATCTTCGGAGAAAAGGGAGTATATGGATTGGGCTACGGGCTTTATACCATGGCCTTCGCTCTTGGAGGAACTATTGGACCTATATGGGGCGGTTATGTTGTCCAATCTGCGGGATGGGGCACTATGACATGGAGCTTTGCTATTTGGGCAGCATCAGGGGCAGTGGTCGTCTTCTTTTGGGTTGGCGTCAAAGTGAACAGGGCGCGAGAAACGGAAGAAACCGGGGTGACAGAATAAAGGATTATGACTTCGCGCGACGAGAACACCGTGAACCAATAACTTTTCTTAATATATAGATACGAGGACCGAACTACAGAAATAATAAAAAATCCTAATCACCCCTCACCAATATCTCTTCGAGAAGCTTTGAGGCCGCTACACACTAATATCTTTAAGCGTACCTAGTATCATGACAGCTTCGCTCTAAGAAGAATCATGGTTATGCCTACAGATTGAACACATCAAAAATCGTATACTCTAAATTCCGTCTATTTGTTGAATACCTACCATTCATTTTCTTTGAACTGTCATCGTTTATGCCTGTCATCTATCCCCAATACCCCTCAAATTCAAATCTCAATCGCAATCTTCCCAATCCCCCTACTAACACAACTAAGCATCGCCCCCGCCCTCTCACTCTCCAACAGCCCCGTCCCCCTATGATCGACCCTCCCACTCTTCAACACAACCTTACACGTGCCACAATTCCCCACCTCACAACTACTCGCCACATCCTCATCACCAAACCGCCGTCTCAGCACCTCCAACAACGTCTCCTCACCCCCAACCTTTAAACTCGTCCGCTTTCCCTCCCGCGCGGAGAAAACCTCCACCTCGAACGGATCGCCGGAGGTATCCGCGCCAAACGCTTCGAAATGGACTTCCTCCTCGCCGAGCCCGCGTTTCTTCGCCTCGCGCATGGCTTCCTCCAGCATGCGGTTCGGGCCGCACACGTAAACGTGCGAGTTCCACGGCAGGTTGGCGAAGATGGATGGGATATCCATGCGTTGGCCCTTACTCCGATCGTAAACTTTAACCGCTTTTCCGAGCGCGTCGATGCGTGATTTGAACGGTATATCGGCAGGAGCTTCGCGCACGCCGTAGTGGAGCGTGGATTCCCAGTGGATCTTCTGGTACATGTCTAGTAAGCTGAGGAATGCGGTGATGCCGATCCCGCCGGCGATGAAGACGTGGTTGCTAGCTGCGCCGGCGGGTTTCACGTCCGAGGTCACGCGGCCGATTTGGATTGTATCGCCTTCTTTCGCTGTGTTATGCAAGTACGCTGAACCGCCGCGACTCGGCTCTTCAAGAGCGATACCGAGCTCGAACCGATCCGGGGTCCCGGAGACGACGGAGTACGAGCGCATGAGGCCATTTGGTAGTCTTAGTCGCGCATGCGCACCAAGCGGCATTTCACCTGCGTTCGGGTCCGGGGTCACCGCCTCAAGGACGAAAGACGCGATGCGCGGGGTCTCAGACTTTTTCTCGACAATGCGGAAGTCGCGCCACTTCTCCTTATCCTCGCCATTGAGAGCAGCGGCCTCGCGTTTCTGCTTAGCCTTGAGCTTTTCCACGCGTCTCTCAAATGCCTTCCTGCTCTCATCACCCATATCTGTTATGGCTGCCAGTTCTTCGTTCATGGCGGCGTTGTCTTGTGTTCTGTGGAGGTATTCTTGTACACGCTCGATGGTCCACTTCGGCCACCTGCGTTCCACAAGCCGGATCTCGTCTCCTGCCTGCACGGTGCCTTCGTGTAGCACTCGGTAATACCATCCTGTACGACTGGTCTTGTAGGTGTTTGGCGCAAAGTTTTTGATTTGAAAGCGGTGGTTTAACTTGAAGCATGGTTGCCGTGGCAAGCTGACTTGGAGCAAGACACCGTCATTGCCGACACTTACTATGTCTCCAATACATACGTTTCTCTCATTCACTGCCAAATGAAAGAAATGTCAACAAGGGTCGATTATGAGGCCTGAGTGGTTTGGAAGTTCTGTCTCGAGGGGACTTTTCATCTCGAGACGCATTTAATGGTTGGACTAGATCTTGCGACATTCAAGAATAGGGGTAATGATAATAAACTCTAAAATTACTTACTACGCTCCGTTACGAAGTTCTCACCGAAGCCGCCACGCTCGAAACGTGTAGCGGCATCGGGAAATTCATCTTTCCATGTCGGATAATGAGTACAACAGTCTGGATCTCATATCAGACTTATACAGACTGGTATCAACCATGGATGTGTGATGACTCACATCCGTGAATCGCTTTATCAGGGCCGCCGTGGAATACAAGATCATGCTCATCCGAATCGAGTCCGACAAACGAAACAGGAATGCGACCGGATCGTAATTTCTTGTGTATACCCGTCTCGATTTTGAGTCCTGGCATCATTTCCATTTTGCTAGTGCGTATCTCAAGTATGATATCCCGCTCAAAGGGAGCGAACAAATCAATATTGGATGCCGGCGACATGATTTGATAGCATAGCAAATGAGAAACTTCCGCTAAAAATAGACTTAAAAACTGAGGTAATCCGAGAATCTAGTGGCGCCGTGTGTGAAAGGTTAGTAGATATTTACTAATGATTTAAACGAGAAAGAGAAAAAAAGGTAGAAAGGGAAAGAAGTTTTACCTAAGTCCACGGGTATTTACAGCGATTGTGCTAACCTAAATTTATTCCCGAATGTCGTTTGTAAGGCGTAAAACGACGACTCCGCGGACCCGGTGTTTATCAATAGAGAAACAAGTTCAAAAGAGATGCCTAATTGATGCAAGATGCTGAATTTGTCGCTAGAATCGGTTAGAAAACATTCGTAAGTCATTTTCTGTTACATTGAGGCATAAATTCCAATGTCCTCCGGGATATTTAGGTTGCAAACAGTAAATTGAGACATATTTGTACCCCACCATAGTGATTAGGCGTGTCGGTACTTACCCCCTAGAAGGGCCTGATAGTGCACACTTTAACCCTAAAATTTCTGACCTGTTAGATACGACATAGGGGTAAGTATTCACTCGACTTCCCCTAGTTAAGTTGATACCCGATGTTATCAAAGTCACAGTAAATTGCTTTACAGGCTTGAGTAGCATTTTCTATCTGAAATGAACATGATTCATTAGTCCTCAAACTCTTCTATTGGGTCCCCGTCAAAGTCTGGGAGCTGTCGAATGTCGGTTCTTCCATCTGCAGCTTTCTTTTTAGGCCTGCCTCTCTTTTTCTCACGATGGCACGACACAAGGGTTGAATTTTGTGTTGCCGTTGTATTTGAATCAGAAAGTTTTCCGACGAAAGTTCTTGGTTGCGCAAAGCGAAATCGTGATTCCGACTCGGTTACGGTCGTCGAGCCGGCTGTAGCTATATTGCTAGATCCCCCTTCCAAATCCAAAACACCTTGCGTTGCCACATCATTCTCGCCCAACCTTAGAAGACAGGCGCTATCATTCTCCTCTTCATCCTGATCAAACGAGTCTACTCCGCAAGCCGTACTGGTTTCAATAGAATTCATAACGGATCTGGAGCTGTCGGAAGGGACTAATTCTGCTGCTGCTTGATGCGCAGCTTCCATGAATGCTTTTGCTTCCAACTCTTCGCTGTCATCATCGAAGACAAATTTCATCCAGGCACTATTATCATCTTCTGGCTGAATACTGGTTTTCTGGTGACTTGGCTCATTTTTAAGCAGCATAATGGCGTCATGTCTACAAGCGGCAATTTGACTTCCGCTATTGCTATTCGTACTAGAGTCTGGGAACTGGTAACTGATGCTCGCTGCTGGCTCGCTTGAGATATCGTAGCTCGGTAGCCTTGAATGTAAATTCGATGGTAAAACATTAGTTTCTGGAGTGCTTGATAGCGCTAAAACTTGGTAATTATTAGCCGAAATGTCAATTGGTAGATTGTCTGATGAACTGGGAACCAGATCTTTCCAGAATTCTTGATCCGCTTCTTGCGACGGAGCTGGCCTTGCTGGGCGCTCGATTTCTACTTGCATACTTCCCCAATCCTCAGGTTCAGATGGAGTAGGAGACCAATCCAGTACCATGAAATTACTGTGCTTTCGACAAGGAACCGGCTCATGAATGATGGATGAGGAGTGCACAATATAGGTCGGTTCTTCTAGCACTGGTGACCTCACAGGTTCTCTAGAATAAGTGCTGCAATGATCTCCCGTTGTTCCATACAGAATATCCTTCGGTATCTGTGGGGACATGTTGTTTCTTGTTGGTGCCATATATCGATGACGAGCGTGGCTGGGTTGTGGACTTGAGATTGGATTCGACCGTATTTGAGACGAACTTGCCAAGGGGTGTGGTGCTAGGCTATATCTCCTTGACACTGTGCTCGTACTTGGGTTGATCTCCTGACTTCCAATCTGAATCTTGACGGGGAGATCCCGAGATTCTCGAGCAACCTCTAATCGCGGACTGCTTGGAGGGTTGCGGCGTCTCTGTGCTGTAGGTGGCTTTGTGCGACCTGATTTAGACCATCTTGAACCGACATATGGATGAAGCTGCCCGGGGAAAGTTATGTCTATTGGTTGCTGTAAATTCAACCCAACCCAATCTTCTTGATCAAGTAATCTCTTCCTCTTTTCACAGATAGACAGTTGGTACTCTGAGTCGTCTGATACATTCGGAGCTCGCTTCCGCTTCTCGCCCAAGAGAGGACTTGACAATGGTTTGTGCACCACGCTACTGGAACTGTTATGGCGTCCTGAGCCTCGTGAATTTTGGGTTCCGAGGAAGGATATCGATACCGGACTCTGCTTTACGCCGCTGCTGAGTAGACCATTGCGGACTTTTGCGAAGTGTTGCTTCTGTCGGGTAAGTAGTTCATTACGCTGTCTCCCTCGAGAATGGCGGGATAAATTTCCCTCGGTCCAATTCATATTTGAGCTAGGCGCTTTTATATGAATATTATCATGAGTATACCTGATAGATCATTCGTAAAATTGAAGGTGTATGATAATGACGACGAATTATATTATTACCTTGACTGATTGGTGCGTACATGTATTCGGGTGAAATTTCGAATTTAGAAGTTCGTCGCAGTACTTGCCTACCTACGAATTACTTACCTAGGTACCTATGCAGCCACGTGAGAACTTGACAATTTCAATCTTGTAGAAAGCTCTTTCCTCCACACATGATGGGATGAAGTGGAAAATTCAATGGCCACAATTCAATCTCCCTGCAGGCGCCCCTTTCTTGTCCTACGCAAACCAATCCTGGAAGTAGACACCTGCGCAATCATCTCAAGTTCAACTCGCTTTCCGTCGTAACCCTGAGGTTGATGGATTTGCTGGGCTTACTCAGCAATATAATATGTAGCTTTGCGACACGGAGTGATCATAGCGATTTTCGTGTTTGATATCGGATCAGTATGATTTGATTTGGCGATCCTAAGGTTGGGGAGGCTTGAAAATTTAAGAACGGGTTGCGCCGCAGTTATCAACATCCGCTTACACGCCATGCTTACCTGGCAGCCTGGTAAGTAAGGTAGTAGAGTAAATGATGCCCCATGGTATCATTGCTAAGACGCGTCATCTCTTTGTGGAAGTTGGAGAGGAAATACAGATGGCGAGCAACCATTGATCTGAATTAATTGCTCCACGTAAGGGAAGAGCAAAAGGGAGACATATCCGTCCATCCGTTACGGTGAAAGGGACATAATAACTCTCGGGTGAAGAAAGTACGAAGAAGTACGATGCTGGTATTATTACTGGGATTGAAGGAAAATGTTTTCCACGATCCCCAACTCCTAGTAGACGATCTCGACATGATATAACCAATGATGATCGATTAATAAAGGTGAGATTCCTTAAGGAAAATAAAGTTAGAGGGATCCAATAACAGACCTTGTTCACCTTGAAAATTTACGTACTGTGTACTAGATGGAATTAAGCAACGAAAAGTAAAAGCAGCCAATGAAACGATAGCGATAACGCAGGACGCTAGTAGCGACGCCAATTGCATCGTGCGTCGCACCAACCCCGCAATCGACCTCGATACCTCTCAAGATGCTAATATTTGGGGTTAGATGTACTTCGTAAGCTGAAAGACAGATTGCATGGTTGGAGGAAAGTATCGTTATATTCTTGATGACCATCTAATATCTTGAATGTAACTCGATGACAATGCCTCATGATTGAAGAGTTGGAAAAATTAATTTGTCAAGCTTTGATGATGCCCCAACTTACCGGCCAATGCACCTATTTAGATGTAGGTACCTAAGCTGCTAAGGTTAAGTTAAGCTAGGTAAGTCCCGGAAACTTAGGTCAAGATTTCGGGATGAACGAACTATGGGCGTTGCAATTGTCAGCCGAGGGTATAACGTTAGGGGAGTGTTTGTCTATTCTAAACATTACTGAAGCTTATGTGGCAGGTAATAGCCACCTACGTAGTAGCCTAAGAAAGAAAGAAGCCATCGTATAAAATAGGAGAAGATGGAGTTAAAAAGCAACGTAGTATATAAATATATAGGTGGTCTACCCATCAATTACCCCTGACCTATCCATTCTCAATCTATCTCATAATTTACAAGTGCATGTATCCAAGTTGACGGGTCATCAAATAATACTATTGAACGCGCCGTCCGTACTCCAAAAATTCTCGTTCGTTGTAGTTAATAAGTTGGCTAACAAGCGGTGACAGGTCTAGAGGTAATACACCTAAGACAATTGGAAAAGCAAACCATAATTAACTACATAATTATAACATTTACCGTAATTAATGAATTAATGACTCAAGCCTACGGGGTCCGAATCGCGGGTCTTGGCCGTTAGGATTTCATACCCCCCACACACACTGGTCATTTTGCTTGTTCGTCTTAATCGAAACCTAGCGTAGCTCGGGAGACGAGCGGCAATTCGGGGTTAACCGAGCTAGAATATTATCTCCTCATCGAGTCAGGTTGGTCGTTCGTCTGAAGAAGCCAAGAGCCAGATTTTGATATGGGATATCTATATGATTTGAGTTGATTAAGGATGGTTGAGATGTATTGGGTATTGCACGAGAAAAAAATGATAACTAGAAGGTAGTGAAAGGTGGATGTAACATAAAGGGTCATGTTGCAGATGGACAACTGAATTTTTCGCCGGCTGGCGGGTTGGGGGACAAATGATTGTTGGAATCCAATTGGAGTTGTCAATTGTATGTCTTAGATTTTGAATAAATTTTTGTTGCGATCGACCTCATTGCTTCTTTTTTAAAGCCACATGCAGGAAGCCTACTACGCATAAAGTGATATACTACGTAGCCAGTATGCTTCCCGGCACTAAGATCAGCGTCGGTGAATGTAATATTCTTAATTATACGTAATAATCTCAGGTGGCTAGAATGTATCCTTTCTTTGGGGCGCCTCTTTTGTATGTATGTATGATGGTGAAGCCGAATCTCGAACCCCTGACTTCGAGGTCGGGACCGCTCGAGACGTGGTGGCGTAAGCGAAAAGATACGTTCGGGACTGTCCTTGGATTCTGAGGTTCCACAACCTAGGACCCGATCTTCCAGGCACAGCAAGCGCTAGTAAAACCGGATAATCGTAACGGTTGGGGAAGGGTGTCAGTTGTGTATCAGCATCAGTTCTAGAAGGAACATTCTTAGACAAATCCGTCCAATGTGATAACAGACAAAAATCTGACCACGAGCTGCAAGAGGTAACTCACCTTGAGCACTAAATGGTCGACCTTCTGGGACCTAGGCAGCTGCTAGGTACATGCACGATAAGGATAAGTGGTGGTGTGGGCTGAAAACACCCCACCAAACCCCACTACGACAAGGGTGGATAAAAAGTAACTGATCACTAGACAACCATTCGAGCGCAAGTGCGTTCCCGTGTCGTCGCCTGTCGCCGTAAAAGAAGGAAAGAACGTCTATTGAATCTATTCTCCATTTAGACAGTTAACCACCTGGGAATTAAAGCAATGGGACGGTGGGGTAAACCTTGGAACTTAGCCCCAACTCACAGCAGGAAACACCCCTGCATCACCTAGGTAACTTGCCCTTTCTACCCAGTGCCACGAGCTAGAACTTTAGGGACACAAGTATTATCAGGGCACCTTATCTTCTGCCTAACGTCCGTATTGAACTTTCTTGTACCTATTGTACTTGCAGTACTAGAAATAGGTGACCGCCTGAGTTAAGATACTTTATGTACTTGCTTGTTATCAACTAGAAGCTCTCCGGTCAACGGCTATTCCACATAAAAGCCGCAGTGTCCCCCCGCAATCAATTTTTCACTTCAAATCTCTCCCTATCACAATTCTACTTCTACCTTTCGTCTCCTTTCTCCTTCAACAAGTTCATCTATAATAACTCCTCTCGTTTCGAACTTGGTCGGAGTATTTTACGATTTACGAATCTGCATCCTATAAGCAAAATACCCCTAGATCAGATTTCACATTCCAATACCGCAACCATGGTGAGCCTCATCCTACGCAATCACCCCACCAGCTTGTCATTGCTAGCCAATCAACCCCTCATCTTACGAGAAGATTTGCTAACAGAATCTCTCCCAGGCCGAAAGCAAATATGTCTCGTACACTGAGAATGTGAGCACGCGATCATCTCCAAAACACATGGGCACGGCGCATCAATGGCAATCAGCAGTGCGACTGTCCACTCGAAGAACAATGTTGCTGACTTATTTTTTCACAGCTCATGAAGTACATGAAGCTCGACCAGAAGGGAAACGCCATGGCGGAATACATCTGGATCGACGCTCATGGCCATGTTCGTTCTAAGAGCAAGGTACGTAATTTGCCTCACCATCTTATCTTTGTCGAATCGCCTTCGTTCTTGTTACATGATCCCTCCTGTCACGACCCATCGGTTACTCGGAAACTGCCCGAAACTTGCATACAACGGTCCTGAATTGATCAGACCGCCCACGACATTCAATTCGTGGGTTTCTGTCAGCTCGAAAGGACTTTTCTAGGCTAGCAGATCCCTGTTTCAATCTTGACCGGTTCGCATTCGATCGAGAATAGAACCGGCTTGGTCCGACCTCGCCCACTTGGCACAATCAACAGTGTCCTCCAAATCACCGAGAAAAATATCGACCCCACAGTACAACACAATCGTCCTTTGTCAACAGCGTCTTACCGGTACCCGACTAGCCGTGGCGCAGGGGGCCATGTGGGCAGCCCGAGTCATTACTCGTATCCAGCGCCTAGTGGCGATCAAACCCATTAGTCGATTTCTACAGTACCGGCTTTTTTGTGTCCCAAAATAGAATCGCAATTACAATTGATTTTCTTTCATGATTTCGGATAATTGCTAACCCTGATTACGCGTTTCTAGACCATTACCAAGATCCCCGCCGATGGCAACTTCAAGCCTGAGGATCTTCCTGTCTGGAACTTCGACGGTTCCTCTACCGACCAGGCTCCCGGTGATAACAGTGATGTCTACCTACGACCCGTTGCCGTTTACCCCGATCCCATGCGTGGTGTCCCCAACATTCTGGTTCTTGCTGAGTGCTGGAACGCCGATGGCACTCCGAACAAGTTCAACCACCGCCACGAGTGCGCTAAGCTGATGGAGGCCCACGCCGACCACGTACCGTGGTTCGGTCTCGAGCAAGAGTACACCCTCTTCGATATGGAGGATCGCCCTTATGGCTGGCCCAAGAACGGCTTCCCTGCTCCCCAGGGCCCCTACTACTGCGGTGTTGGTGCCGGCCGAGTTATGTGCCGTGACATCGTTGATGCCCACTACAAGGCTTGCTTGTACGCTGGCATCAAGATCTCCGGAACCAACGCCGAGGTCATGCCCGCCCAATGGGAGTTCCAGGTCGGACCCTGCGAGGGAATTGAGATGGGTGACCAGCTCTGGATGGCTCGTTTCCTCCTTCACCGCGTCGCCGAGGAATTCGGCGCCAAGATCTCCGTCCAGCCTAAGCCCATCCCCGGTGACTGGAACGGTGCCGGTCTTCACAGCAACTTCTCCACCAAGGAGATGCGTGTTGAGGGTGGAATGAAGGTACGATTAATCCAATCTTCCGCGTGTGTGGTTCATCTTACTAATGCGTATACAGCACATCGAGGAGGCGATCAAGAAGTTAGAAGCCCGCCACAAGGAGCACATCGCCGTGTACGGTGAGGGCAACGACCTGCGTCTGACGGGACGACACGAGACAGGTGCCATCGACCAGTTCAGCTTTGGTATTGCGAACCGAGGTGCCTCCATCCGTATCCCCCGAGAATGTGCCGCGAAGGGTTACGGTTATTTCGAGGACCGACGACCGGCCTCGAACGCAGACCCTTACCAAATCACGGGCATAATTATGGAGTCAATTTTCGGCGCAGTTAACTAAACAGGAGGATACCCCATTGGTCGTAATGAATTGCTTTTATGCGGAGCCTTTGACATAGATCGGAAGTCTCTGAGGACATGAATTGATACGAATAACATTTCGGACAACTAAGTCTCCTTGCCTACGTGATGTGATATGTCTATTTTACCCTTCTACCCTTTTGTGGCATAGCGAATATTATCCCTATATATTAAGATTACGTTAAATCGCTAATAACATCCTGATCTAAAAGGCAAGGTATATCAGCAATTTCAAAGAGCACAGCAATATCGCTATCATCGCTAATAACTGGGGTAGGTAACCGATGCATCGATTCCCCCATTGAAAAGAGCTTGTAATGTTTGCTTAGCTCCGATTTCCATCCTTGCTCAGTCGATCGACCGCGGCTCGGGGCTTCCATCCAATAGAACGACATGGTTGTGGTTTGCTATTGCCTATTTTGTGACCCCCGCTTGCAACCTATGCCGCGGGCACCCGTTAAGGTCACATGGAACATCCGAGCTGACGTCACATAGCCCTGGAGGTCTATGGCTTCATAACGGAGGTGGAGTTTAGGTCGCGAGATTGAGGGGGAGCGTTTATGGGTTACAACATACCTAGGTACCTAATGATTTATTTTATAACTCTATAGATCTCTATTTACTTATTTCTCTTTTGTAAGTACCCAGTAGCTATTACATACCTCGGTATCTATGTTATGCTAGATTGGGCATGCTAAGTCTCCAGGTCCCGGGCTGCCGGGGGCGAATATGTGGGGACCGAGCGGACCACGCCACGGTCCACCCATCTGCTTTCTAGATAAGCGTCGGAGGCTACTAGGATTGACATCACGACTTACGAAGAAATGATTCATCTTGCGGAGTATTAGCAAGATCGAGATATGGTTCGGCTATTGAAGTTGAACAGAGCTTTGGATTCAATTTTCTGGCGCGAGATGAGATAGTTGGACATGAACTTGATGAGGACGGTAGCATTAGAATCGAAATCGATAGGTAGGTACCCATGCTTGATACCTATCTAACTGCCTAGGTACCTAACCTACCTAGGTAGTTATTCAAATATCTATTTTCGTGGGTATTGATAATTCCAACGTTCCGTTACTGTAGAGAGTATCCAGGCGTCGAACATTACATAAGGGCCAGGGTTAGAGCGTGCATAAGGAAAACCCTAACCACAATCCCAACCCCAACCCCAACTTTAACCAACTTGATAACATTTTTGATACAAAGTCCGCTATGTAGAAACTATCTTATTCGGAATTGAGACTCCTATTTATGGTCTATTAATTCCAGCTTCTAGTCATCGTACGCTCAGTTCCCTCTTCTACCCGATTACATAATGTTCTTGCATTAGGTAAGATGATTCATTATGTAATCATGTGTCCTAATACGATTACATAATCCTTACGTATTGATTATATAATCTTGGGATAGGGGTCGTTAGACACGAACTACCTACCTTAGGTAGATAAGGTACACGAAATCTAATCGAAGTTACTATTCTCTATCTCAAAATTTCTAGGTGCGAATCTAAATACTCTCTGAGATATTAATACCCCAAAGTTCGTGGTCTAGCTACCTACACTCTGCGCAAGAGAGCTGTGGTAACTACCATTAGATCAGTAGCACATGCCTTATGGTATCTGCTATTGCGTAAGGCGTTTGTAATTTAATAGGGTAAGTGTTGAGCGGAGGCATTGAAAACCTAATAATAGAATAAGGGGACTTATCACCATATAGACCAATATCCCTTACTTACGTCTGTATTTAGGTTAAGGAGTGCAACCAACATTTAAATATGAACCCTCAGATACGAATACGCAGCCAATTTATATCAACCCATTTCTAATAGTAAAGGTAGCCCAGGCTATATGCGCTAAGCGCGCTGAACTGGCACTTTCCAACCAACCGCATCAGATTAATAAGGTGACAGTCAATGGCCAAGCTTGGCAAGAAAAGGCTTTGGAAGGTAATAATCACAGACAACAACTTAACATGGAATACAAGCTCGCTTTCTCAGAGCTCTTCCTAATCTAACTTCTCGGGGTTTTCGCAATAAATCTCTGCCTACATTCTCGGTTCCCTTGATTCATTACCGTTGCCGAGATAGAGATAATCAATTGTTATAATGCTGAAACCTATCTTATTCGCAGTGTTAACGCTGCTAATAACATATCTATACAGAAGGCTACATTACAAGCGGTTCCAGCAACATGGAAGGTTACCTCAGATGCCACCAAGTTTACTTTTTGGTCACCTCAAGACGCTCGATGGTCTTATCAAGCGCGGAGAGGCAGATCGTCACCCTGGTAACTCTTTTGCTTACTATGAGCTTAGTCAATATTTCTAATTATTCTCTAACTATTGATCAGACATCATGTTTACGGAGATGCATGAAGCTCTCGGCCGACCGTCGCTGATGTTCGTCGACCTACGGCCCGTTAACCGTCCACTGGTTCTTATTAGTAGCCATGAAATCGCTGAACAGGTTTCAAAACCATCTAAACTTTTCCCGGCCAGTCTTCCCAAGACAGACTTAAGCTATTTGCTACATCTAACAGGACCGACATCAATCTTACTCTCACACGGAGAACCTTGGAAAGCCCTTAGGAAGAGGTACAATCCGGCGTTCGCGCCCCAGCATCTCATGAGTCTTTTGCCGTGTGTTCTCGAAAAGACGTCAAGTTTTATCCGAAATCTTGATGCCCTGGCGTGTTCGGGGGAAGAATTCTCCCTCGTGACTCTCGCTATTAATTTGACTTTTGATATCATCGGTGCTGTGGTTATGGATGTTGACCTGGATGCCCAGCCTTTAGACGTGTCGCGCCAGGGTGAATTAGTTAGGCTTTATGTCGAACTGTTCCGAGAATATTGGGATGATAAGGCCGACATGCCTTGGTGGCTCATTCCTAAGATCGAAATGAAACGCCGTCGTCTTGGTAAGCGCATCGACCAGATATTAAAGGATATAATTCACCGTAAGCACGCCGAGCATCAAGCAAAGGGACACGGGGACAATCAATCACGAAGTATCTTGTCCCTGAGTCTACGAGATACCAAGACGCTCTCACCAGAGCTCGTTAATGAGACGTGCGACCAGATTAAAACATTCCTGCTAGCAGGCCATGATACTACTAGCATTACACTTTCATGGGTCTGCTATTGGCTTTCACGAACCCCCCGCGCCTTAGCAGCCGTACGCAGCGAACTGGACAACCTTCTAGGTCATAAATCCGATATGGAATCTGTATATGCCCGGCTGCTGTCGCCTGAAGGACCAGATCTTGTACACCGTATGACCTATATCTCAGCCGTGCTCAAAGAGACCTTGAGATTACACCCACCAGCCGCTACGGCACGCTACTCTAAACCTGGCACTGGATTCACAGTACACACCCCAGAAGGCGGAGATCACTGCTTAGATGGAATGATCATTTACAACTGCGAGGGTCTCATACAGCGCGATCCGGCGATTTACGGAGACTTGGCCGAGTATTTCGTACCTGAGCGGTGGCTTGGTGACGTCGACATCCCCGCCAGTGCATGGAGACCATTTGAGCGGGGGCCTCGTAATTGTATCGGTCAAGAGTTCGCTATGATTGAAATTCGAGTCATTGTTGCGGCCATAGCCCGCCGATTTGATTTTACCAAGATAGGGCTCGGTGAGTTGGCTTTGGACGAGAAGAACCAACCGATGCTAGACGGAAACGGCATCTACAAGATTAAATCGCTACTCTATAACGTAAGTTGCAATCCTATATCACTGTGAATATGAAACTAATTGAATATTGTGTACCTAGACGAGACAGGTAAATGCTAAACCCGTGGATGGAATGAGAATGAAGGTAAATTTGGCGCCAGATCATGACGAATAAAATGTTAGGTACCTAGGGCGCTTATATCTATGATAAGTGGAATGGGATATGAATACCTCATAGGATTGACTCGAAAGCTCAAAGGAGTAATAGATAGGTAGAAATGTAAGCATCAATGGTAGCGTATTGCAAGACTGTGCACATAAAAATCGCAAATCGAAATCAGATCAAGTGTTGCTGTAGTTACAGGGGGGACTACGCTACAATCCACTATAATTATGGGGGACTTCAGCACCTATTTGCACCAAGACGCAAACCTGGTCCGTACCGTACCTGGCTACTAGGTACTAGGTAAGTAGGTATCTATTCCAACTTTTATTTCCATTGTGTGTCTATTAAGATTAACCATTATTGATAACTACCTGTATGAAATATGACGTCTTATTTCAGACAAGAAAAGTCACCCCCCTAACTCGTATGGAGGTAAGTCTCGTTGTGTCGGATGTTCTAATTCTACTGGTCTGAGAAACGAACTATCTTCGAGCTCTGGCTTTGATCCTGGTGTAACGTGGTGGTAGTATTCAGTGTCGATATAGGCTTGCGTAAATTGATTCTGATCGCCAGTTTTCGACGACTTTTCTCTCCTCTTCTTGATCAACCCGAAAGCGACAATACCTAGTATTATCACGCCACCGATACTACCCACAACTGCGCCAGCTATTGTTCCAGGCGAAGATCTAGAAGCTTCAAGTTCTGTATTTGCGATGGTAGAATTGGAATTGGTAGTAGCTGAAGCATTAGATTGGCAAATAGTGGTTATATCGATGTTATTAACATCTACTGGCACGAGGTCCTCCCCCGACACTGGATTTGCCGGCCACAAACTGAACTTCCTGGCATCCTGATTTACCATAAGGTATGCAGCCGACAGAAACTGGCGGCCGAGCTGGGGCATGTCGTTTGAACTAATATTTTGCAAGCCGTTGATGACGAGATCGGGGTTCGTATAGTTAGCGACAAGCTCTCCGGTAGTAGGATTAATATCGACGTCAGGGGCTACTAGTTGGTCGTTGGCTACTCTCACGGTGAGTCCCGACTGAAACTTGATGGTCATATCACCACTATACCTGTTACAATATGTGCATTAGAGATTGTTCGTTTCTGAGGGGTTATAGAAGTCATTATAGCGCACCGTTCTTCATTTCTATTATACTGAAATGAATAATAGTTGATTCCAAATGACCGTCCATGGTTCTGTGCGGCATCGGTAAGCTGGAAGAAGTTATCCATGAAAGGATCTGATGGGAGGGTCATCAGGACTGGGTAGTCGGGCACGATGCATGCGGTCAAAGCGGTCGATAGCGACCTCGGAAATATGCTAACATCGGTTCCGTTCGGGAAGTTAAGAACCATATCTGTTATAATGACAATCATCTGAGTGGCGCAGGGGGAAGTTGAGTCCTGTAACTTTTCTACGTATCTCTCCCCTGAAGAGATCTTGGCTCGATCGTAGCCCCCGAAGACCAATGACCCGTCAGTCTGTGAAGAAGATGGACCGCTACTGCGGCCCCAGAAAAAGCTCCAAGTTCTTGACGCAATCTTTCCTGACTCCTGGAGAGTATTAAGAAACGTTGAGTTCGTCCCCAATCCAAGAGACGCCATTGGGTGATATCCTTCAGCACCCCAATCGTTCAGAGCAACCCCAAGAGGGAATCCTGTCAAAGTCGTGTTCTCGTTGAGCTTAACCCCGTCGGCGAAGAGAGTCGTCTGCGGAAATGGGGCATTTTCCTTTGGAAAGTCCCCTGGATATGCTACCAGACGAGTTTTTGATGCAAAAATATCGTACGCGCCTCCTCTTAAAGTAGCGCAGCCGTCGTTCGTAGGCGTATTGCGCTTAAATACACAATGTCCGTCTGTCCCGTACACAAGGGACGTGTTGTAAGGCCTATCGATAGAATAAAAGATTTAGGGTTCGGGACGATGATTGTATTTGAATATCGGTTGAAAGATCTTCACGTACCATTGAGGTAGAAATGCGAATGGCTGAGGGGGACTCCCAACGTGAATTTCCGCACCTCTTGCTACTTGGTGGTTTGTGAGCGTGACATTTCCGATTCTTACAGCAATCGGATTTGGAGCGCAAGTATTAGATGCCAAGACTGAGGTCGCAATGCCAATAATTAGTAATAAGGTAGTCATATATCGGTGTCTCGGGAGCTCGAGCATCTCGATGAATAGGTAGATATGAATTAAGTTAGTTTTGGGGGCGATTCATATAGAATACGTGCTTCGGTAGTTAGAAAAGAACGTATGGGCCATGGTAGAAAATATTGTAAAGAGATCGCAAGGGGCGTTTCTCTCAACATTGTGATATTTGCTTCCTTTCTTAGGTACCTACCAACTATCGACCTCACCAACTCGGACCGATACATCGGCAGGCACGTTAGTTTCAGTGGATATTTTTCGATCCGATATACCTGGTTCAGGAGGTTCTTGGCAGCCCAGAGCGTAACCTCAATGTTGACCCTGGTTGGCTAGGCTATTCTAATTGGCCACCATGGCCTTTTTTATTCGCATATTGGCGATGTTGGTTCTAACCCTCAAGCTTGGGCGCTAAAGGAGTCCGTGATTACTGCAGTTGATACGATGTTAGTCGATCAAATGAAACATAACACTGAATGTCCTAGAGCTCTTAATTTGATTTCTTTGATTCCTACCTATTCATTCATCCTACCATCATTTCTACCCTGTTAGCTTTTTTTCTTGTGTCATTAAGATATCTAAGTAGATACTAGATGCACTAGTAAGATTATGGGACACCTTACACGCAAGCATCGCGACAAGCTATATTTGGCAGCAGGAGTACTGGCAATATGGTGGTCATTTTCAGCCATTTTTAATGGCACTTCTATAACAGAGTTTGCTCGGCTTCAACGGCATATGAACAGTAAAATAATATCTTCGCAAACTACGAGCATAAGTAGCTTCGATTGGAGTGGTGTATCTTTCCGCTATCCACCCGGCTCATTAACACCACTCCCTACCGGCAACCCATCTCAAACTCTTCCTGCTGTACAGAAGAGGTTCTCTTCAGAAGGATCGCCAGCACTAAAACTTCGAGAACGAAGGCGCCGTGAAGTTAGGGATACCTTCGTAGGTGATTGGGGGGCGTACAAGAAGTATGCATGGATGAAAGATGCCCTGAAACCCCTATCTATGGGCTATCAGGACCAGTTTAGCGGATGGGCTGCTACGCTCGTCGATTCACTCGATACCCTCTGGATCATGGGTCTCAGAGAAGAGTTCGACGAGGCTGTAGATGCAGTGTCTGAAATAGATTTCGGAAAGTCTAGTTCTGGAAGAGTCAATACCTTCGAAACGAATATTCGGTACTTAGGTGGTTTAATGGCCGCTTATGATCTTAGTAAGCGGGACGTCTTGCTTACAAAAGCTGTTGAACTTGGTAACCTTCTCTATGGCGCTTTCAACACTGAGAATCGTATGCCTGTTGACTTCATTGATTTTGAAGCAGCCAAGACAGGGGACGGATTAATCGTGGAAGGATCAGTTGTTTCTGCTTCGCCCGGCACAATATCACTTGAATTTACACGCCTGTCACAACTCACAGGCGATCCTAAATACTACGACGCTATTTCACATGTTATGGACGTGTTTTACGAAGGTCAAAATAAGACACAACTTCCAGGGCTGTGGCCTACGATGGTATCAATGAGTCGGAAAGATGTGGTTTCGGGAAATCAGTTCACTCTTGCTGGCTGCGCAGATAGTGGTATGTAATCCCAACTTTTCATCAGATAGGCGCTAACCCATTACAGTACGTTCCTCTCCATGGCGTTATAAGCTACCATAACTTGGAAACATAATATTGATAGACAGCAGCTTTATGAATACCTCCCAAAGGCCTATGCACTTCTTGGTGGCCACGAGCGAAGATACGAGATTATGAGCATAGGGTTCATGGAAGCAGCTAAAAACTTATTCTTTAGGCCTATGATACCTGGTGGCGAAGACATACTTATGCCAAGTAGCGGGTCAGTTGATGAAGACGGAAATGTCTACCTAGACGAAGAAACAGAACATCTGGCTTGCTTCCTCGGAGGGATATATGCACTCGGTGGGAAGTTATTCAGTAATAAAGAGTACGTTGATATTGGGAGCAAGCTAACGCTAGGTTGTGTGTATGGGTATCAATCTTTCCCTACTGGAATGATGCCCGAGAGGGTCAATATGGTTGCCTGCGATAACTTGCATACCTGCGAGTGGGACCAAAAACGTTTCGACAAAGAAAAGAGGAAACGACCTGAGTGTAAGTGAATTCACAGAATTCGTCATCTGTACTAACTGATTCGCTCTAGATAAGGAACATCTACCACTAGGTTTCACGACAGCTAAAGATCCTCGCTACATCTTGAGGCCAGAGACTATTGAAAGTGTTTTTGTGATGTATCGCATTACTGGGAACCAGATGTGGCAGGATATTGGATGGAAAATGTTCACAGCGGTATCTAAGGGGACCGAGACCGAGCTAGGAACACACGCGGCGGTTGAGGATGTCACTCGTGCTGATATACCACTTCCACAATCTGATTATATGGAAGTAAGTGCCTACCGTAGTGTTCCCACGAATCCCGTAATCAACTACTTACACAGATTCTAGAGTTTTTGGCTTGCAGAAACTCTCAAGTATTTTTACTTGCTTTTTAGTCCCCCTGATGTAATCAGTCTAGACGATTATGTGTTAAACACAGAGGCGCATCCCTTCCTAAGGTCTTAGGAACCTGAGAGTCGTTTTTTTCCCTACATGACAGGTACCTTGGCTATCTTGGTATTTACCTACCTACTAGGCATATAGAAAATGTAATTTTAGTGTGTGCATTCCAGATATTTGAGCCAATTAGTTCTTGGTGGTTGATCTCAGGGGTAACTGACTCCGGGGTAACTATCCGCAAAACTTGGGAACTACCTAATGGTCATGCTCTTAGCTGATGGAGTGTCAAACAATCAGCAGCAAGTTCCTGATTACTACCTAAGCTCTCGGTGACTACCTAAAACTCCGAGAAGAACACCTGTTTGTTCCATGTTATGCCAGAACATTCATTATCTCCTCGAGTGGATCCAAGACCTTTTGCATGAACTCAATATTTTTAACATCGTGATCTCCTTCCAGGCTTAAACACCAATCAACAACCCGGTGATATCTTGCCCCCACTCTCTGGCGCATGCCTGGGGCAATATGAAGCAAGAAATTCGCCCAATGGGATGGATTGCCTTGGTCTATTAGTCCAACAACCGTCGGAAGTGGTTGCCAAAAGCCAAGCTCAAGTAATACGACGCCGAGGCTATAAACGTCATGTGCTTTGATATACCTTGGGCTATTGTCTCCCTGCAGCCTCACCGGATGTTGGAAGATATCGAAGTCCCATACATTTCTCTGAGATGCGTTGTCGTGCTCGTTCCGCGTGCCCTCCTTGTATGTTTTGGCGTCAACGCCACGTATAAGATCAAACCCCATCAGATAAGCCTCATCAATTCCGGTAGGAATGCACAGTTCCTCGTCTTGACCGGTGAAGCGCCGGAGAATAACAACACTCCGAGATGTGATGTTTTTATGCAAGAAACCTGCTGTGTGCAGGAAGAAGATTGATTCGCTGAGCTTGTATGCTAATTTGAGGCGTTCGTTTAAGGTTGTTTTGGTACCAGGGAACGGGTCATATTTGATGTACTCTTGTAATGTCATTATAGAATGAACATTATATGGCAGGGCTTGAGCAAATAGAAATTGATTGGAGTCAGGGTGGTAGAAATAATAGTTCACTTTGAGTAGTCGAACATCCATATCAGGGTCAAGGCAGGTAAGTGCTGCAGCAAGTTCTCCCATCTGACGCACAAGCATCTCGAAGTCTGATGTACCCGGTCGGCACTCCGCCGGGACTTCTCGGCTGCAGAATGTCACTTGACAGTCACCGTACCGGAAAGGGAGCGAAGAGATATCCTGAATAGCTTTGAGTTGGGCGATTATTCCATCTGGGGCTTGCAGCAGAATGTCTTTAGCCCCTGCTATCTTCGCGGTCGAGGAAAGAGCAAGAAACTCTTGGAGTTTATCACCACTGCCAATGATTGATGATTGCCGAATGCTCTCTTTGCCGCCATCTGCAGCGGAGATAGATGTCCTAACCTGTCCTGGCAGGCTCAGAACACGTACATCGAACCTCCCGGTCCATTCATGGATCTCTCTTGCCATTCCCTGTATCTGGGATCGTCTCGCTATCCATGTAGTCATGTTGATGGTGTGTGATAGCCGATCCCCTCGCTCGATCTTGTGGAGGCTTTTGTGCACTTTGTGAACTAGAAAGTTTAGGTACTCCGCGGTACGTTCCATTAACGCCACTTCGTCGGGTTCCCGGTACTGGTTTCCCTTCTCGAATTCCCCCGACGAGAAATATTTTTGGGCTTGCGTCAAGGCTCTCAGATCCCATTCAAGACCAGCCTTGAGTGCTTTTGCATCTGATGAGAACTCAGAACAGGCACTTAGGTACTGGATAATCATAGCGCCTGCTGTGATCGTAGTATTGAAGATATCCATGTCGAAGCCCCCTTTTTCTTTTCAACGGCACCTATTCATGAACTTTTGTAAGGCGCGTCGAGAGGGGTTAATAGGGACCTATGTATTAGAAGAATCGATAACCTAGGACCTCCAGTACGCCCAATAGAAAATTTCAGCTAATTTTAGGTGCCTACCCGACACGCGATTAACCTATATTTTTGCGATTCTGGGAAAAGCCATTTCATCATCTAGGTGGTTACACTGAAAATTCGACATGAACCATTCATATCGTTCTTAAAACGCTCTAATAAAATTGATAGAGTAACCAGATACATTCATCCGGCTAGCATTATCTTCGCATTAAAAGGATACAATTAAAATAACAGGTAACAAGTACTAAATGAAGAAAGTATTACCGAGACCGACGCCGGCGATTATATCATTGTAAGAGCAATTTGTACCTACCTAGGCATGCATCGGTATGTATCCTAATATCGTCACACATAAATCACTACCTACTTGCATTTGGGCGATTTTCATTGGATATTAACTCCGGGACATTTATAGGTATCAAGCTTTTGTATGCCACATAGTTTGGATGGTCGGATAATGTTTAGGTACCTACCTACCTAGTTACATGGTACCTACCCGGTAAGGTACATGATACTCGATGAGGCTCAACTTATTGTTAGGTCAGCACCTAGTATCTTACAAGTGATTTCACATACGATGAATACCAAAACTTACCTACCTAAGGTAAGTATAGGATAGATCTGATAGTAATTCAGCGAGTAACTAGGTCGGTAGGTAGGCAATAGAAAGACTACATCCGGGAGCTTGATGTATAAAAAGTTTCATCTCGATGGTTTGCATACCTAAGGTAACCTATATCCGTATATTGAAGCATAGCCGCATTGTAAGATGAGCAAATATCTCTACCTACCTAGGTATGTGTAGGAAAGATATTATAACGATTTATAGCTAGGTAGGTACCTACCTTACGGTACGTACAAATCTCCTAGATCTATATAACATGAAATGATCGCGCATTGATACCTACTTCTGAACCATTGCAACTCATAGCCGTTCATGGCTTAATTCAATACCTCAATAGGATATATACATCTACCTACATAGGTGGTTAACCTTTTCTAGTTTTCAACATCACTTTGAAACCTTCGACATGGAGAACAGCCTGGAGCGCGAATTCAAAGACCTTGACTACGAAGAATTCGACGCGATGGATAGAATTCCTTATAACATAATCGACCCTTGGGACCCGGGGTTGGTAAAAGATATCACAAGGAAAAATGGTCCACTACATCCACAGCTTGTTGTTAAATTGATCCTCCCACCTGATAAAGAACCCGATAGAAATCAGAGAATGGAATTCGATGACACTTCGAAACGCTCAATTCTCAGAGAAGCCATGTGCTTGAAACATGCTAGGCATCGCCATGTGGTTATGTTTCAAAGGGCCTTTCTCTTAAATGACAACAGGATGTCCAAATCATTTATGGGCATCGTTATGAACCATGCTGAGGGCAACATTGGTTCCTATCTCAGGTGTCAACGCAGCACACAAGAGCTGGGCGCGATCTGTGGTTGGTTCCGGTGCCTAGCCAATGTTGTCGCTTACGTCCATGGACTTGGTATTACTCATCGCGATATCAAGCCACCAAATATCTTGGTAAAAAATGGGAGAGTCCTGCTTGCAGACTTCGGAATATCCAAGATGGGCCTTGTCAAAACTATCCCAACGACACAACTTCACGCTCCTCGTGCACATACAATTCGGTACGCAGCCCCTGAAGTTGAAGACGGAAGTACTCGAGGACGATCGGCCGACATTTTCTCTTTGGGAGTAGTATTTTTGGAGATGGTCGTAGCTCACTCTTATCCAGCAAGACGGGGCCAGCTTGGGGATATAATGCCATCCAAGGCTGAACCATCATTCTCAACGAAATTAGGAGGAGTACGCAGGTGGATGAAGGAGCGCTTGCTGGAGGAAGGTCAGGGTATGACTTGGTCACAGAGGATTATTCAAATCTGTCTAGATATGATGAATATTGATCGAGACGAACGACCCACCATCGATAACGTTTATCTCGAGATACAATCGGCTCATATCCCTAACCAGCCTGAATGTTGTGCCAACATGCTTGGGGTTGAAGACGTGACTAATGACCAGAAACTACTGGAGGCATGCAAAATGGGAAACGGAGATGAAGTGAGAGATTTGGTTGACAGGGAGGGAGTGAGCCCAGGAACAGTCGGAGCACTTCATCAAGCATCGGCACATGGATTCAGCGACATTGTGGAGTATCTAATATCTCGAGGAGCTGATGTTAACCTGAAAGACTTCAGTAACCAAATAGCTCTCCACTGTGCAGCTGGATATGGTCATAAATCTGTTGTTGACATTCTTCTGGAGAAGTCGGACGTGCATTTGAAAGATGTATATGGCCGGACACCACTTTTCTATGCATGCGGACATGGAAACCTAGAGATTGTTTCGCGCCTGTTCGACCATCAAGCCGATGCCTCAGTTCAAGATGATGACGGTCAGACAGCGCTTCATTTCGCGGCTAAGGGGGCGAAGCGACCAACATCAAACCATGAGAAAATCATCCGACTACTGTTGGAAAAACATGCTGATGTTAATGCCTCGGATCGCAAAGGAAAGACGCCGCGGGACTACGCGAAGCTTAAGAATTACTATTGTAGGGTTAAGTTATTAAGAGGTAAATGGTGGAATTTGAGGGACTAAAGTTAGGTGGCTAAAGACTTGCGCTTTATACCCAAGTTTAACGAGGGTACCTAATTGTACGGCAAGAGGTTTTTTTTTCGTAGGTAATCCAATATGCCAACAATCGTTCAGAATTTCAGAAATGTGTAGATAGGTATAAGACCGTATCCGCCAACCCGCCAATTCAATTAATGTATTGAAATGTATACAGTGTAATAACTTACAGTCTGATACATATTCCACACGGTGCCCTGAATCTTACAGTGAGTCATAGCGCTATAAGGCGCTGAGAGCCCTGTAACTTATAGGCGTTATAGCGCATTAGCTCCTTATAACTTATACACGTAATAGTTCAAAGTGAGGGGTCCACTACCATATGTAAAAAGGCTATGCCTATAACCCCCACCTGTAAGATCCAAGGCACCGTGTTAACTATGTATATAACTGTAAGCTATCACACTGTATCATACTGTATACATTTCAATACATCAATTAAATTGGCAGGTTGGCGGATTCGGCCTTATAGCCCACTTTAAATGATCCGATATTATACCCATGGAGCATTTATTTATTTTCCAGGAACTGGAGGGAAAATAATCATTAAACGCCTAAATTCTACCTATCGTAACCCCTTAAATAATAATTCCCAACCTAGATTCTCATAATTTTCCGTCCGGAGGACATTATTACACTCATACTTTTCCTATTACTCATAAAAATACCCCTGTAATTACGCAGCATTATGTAAGTAATTGATAAGTAAGTGATAAGAGATTTCGGCACCCTTGATTGGCTCAAACCTTATCTAGCGCGTTGCCAAGCCTTTGCAAAACCTTAAATTCGTCCACGTCTCTGATTGGGTGCATCCCCTTCAATTCATTACATAAGCTTTGATTCGACTGATCTTTCAATTGAACTGATTTACCTACCGACTTTTGAACCGACTTTTCAACTGACTATTCAATCGACTATTTAATCAGTCCGGCGACTGATTTATTAGCTGAATACTGATTGCATCTGGGGACGGGACCAAGGACTGGACCCAGGACTGATTTACGAACTGATTTACAGATCGATTTACTGACTTTGAACTGATCTAGGGACTGATATATTGACTGATCTAATGACTAACCTTTGAACTGATCTCGGGATTGACCAGGCTAATCTACTGACTGATCTACTGACCGTTGAACTGATCCAGGAACTGATCTGACTAATTCCTGAACTGACTTTTGGACTAATTTGCCGACTCATTTACAGATAGATCTACTGACTATTGAACTAGGACTACTTTACTAATTGTTGAACCGATCTAGGGATTAGGCTAGGGACCCATTTACTGACTTCGAACTGATATAGGGACTGACTTTCGAATAGATCAAACAACTGATCCAGTTCCTGGATCAGAGACTGATTGACTGACTATTTAACTGATTATTCAACTGATCGAATATCTGATAGAAGGACTGAACTAGGGACCGATTTACAGACTGGTTGATTAGCTTTTGAACTGATGGAATTACTGATTCAGTCCCTGGTCCAGGGACTGAATTCCTGACTATTGAACTAATCTAGGGACTGTTGAACTGACTATTCAACTAACTATTAGACTGATCCAGGGACTAGATCAGGGACTGATTTACGAACTGATCTACTGACTTTTGAACTTATCTAAGGACTCGAAGAACCTGTTCATCGCAAGGAAACTTTCCCAGTCCTCCAGGCGGATATTACCTTTTGTTTTTACCTGACTTTCCTTTTCCTTTTAAACCCCCATATATCGCCTTCTGCGAAGAAAAATTTTTTGACCTTTTTTTTTTGTTTTTTGAAGTCCCCGTAGCTCGTATATATTTATTTCCCCTCTCTTACGTGGGGGAGTGGGTGGGAAGTGTGATAGGACGTATATATCGTACCTAGAGAGCAACAACTTGATTGAAATCACTGTGAGAATAAGAATTGAACATAAACAATCATCAAATATAGCGCGGAGCGCAAGTGTCAGATTAGCTCTTAAAACCACCAGAACTTTTGGCTGTCAAGGAGTTGGTTGCACCCTCAGACAGCAACAGATGAGTCCTAACCATACATTGACAATCAACAGACAAGGACCGAGAACTAATAAGGTACCTCATAAGCATTCTGCGTTCCTACGCAGTCTTTTCCGGTGCGTTTGTAACGTGTCAGGTAGGCATAGATAGATGATATGGCTCATGGGGGATATTATGTCAGGGGTAATGTTGCTTTGGATTTCTCTTAAATTATTGTATCATCTGCATTTGCTTGCTTCACGGCGCTAAATTGTATCCTCTTTATAAGTCTATAAATGAACAAACGATTATTCTTTGCAGAAAGATGTGATCCTATAATTCTCTTCTCCCCTAGTACCTACCTAGTAGTCACTAGGTAGGTAGGCACTCACCTGGGCATTTAGCTTGGTAACTATTTTTCTGATGACTTTACACTAGTAGATTGATTAGATGCCTATGGGCATTTAGGCTTTTAGTCTCATGCCACATATTCGTGAGCCGAATAGGGACACAAATGGTCTCTACCCACGTGTTATACAATTTGTGTATTTGTAAGAGGTTGGAAATTGAATTGAGGCTCCCGATCTAATCAACTAGGGCCGGTAATGTGGTGGAGTGATGAGCTCCTGCATATTATAGATTGATGAGAATTACAAATAGTTTTGGGCGCTCTCATCTGGAAGCCTGCCTCAACAGTGCCTGACCCAGTGCCGTTTCAATCTTGAGAGTAGGTACCTACCTAGTAGGTACCTACCCAATGAACCTAGGTAGTCTGAAAGTCTTGGAGTGAATTTCCGGGGAAGGGCTCTCCAGACGGTTCACTCCAATGGTAATTATTCCTGCACTTGGCTTCTTTTAGGGATTATCGTCAGTTTGCCATATAGGCTCTCTTGCTCGACGAGTTTGTACATTATAAAAGGGAAGCACAGAAGTGGCAGCATTGCTGCGGTAGGTAGGCATATCTTCAATGCTTTGCCGTGCAAGGCTGCGTATCAAAGGCCACACTTACTCCTTGTTCATTTTGGCCCTGACTCTAGATACGGGCCTTTTTCCTCCAATCACAACCTGATGACCAAGTCATATTCATCCGGACAAGCGGCTGACAGCTGCAAGTCTAGGGGCATACCTCGAATTAATAAACATGGCTTGATTCCCACTAGCTGGATTAGACAATTAGTAGGTCCGCCAGTATGCGCGATGATGTGAGGTACTATAAGCGCCCGCGGCACTTGTACTCGCCAACGTGCAGACGAGAGTGATGGACAGGATACGCCAAGGGACTTTTGCCGGGGAGTAAACAGTCTCGTAGCGCATTCCCGCACCAAAATAGAAGTAACGGAAGATCCTAGTCCACGCAGTAATTAAACCGGCAAAATGCACCTAGCAATAGGAATAGGAGATGATTCACCTACAGGATAGAGCTATACAGTATCGCCCCCTTCTCGGGGTTAGGCTTTCCACTCCCGCGGTTAACAATATGCAGACAATAGTTTTTTATCTATTGATGCTAGGCGGCAGTTCATTGCCATGCACGAAATTCCAAATCTCGGTCGGGCTAGATTTTTACTTATAGGGGTCGTACGGACGCCGGGGCTGCGTGCCTTGCCTCACTTGCTTCTGCACATCTCTACCGCCAAGACTAATCCGCCGTCGAGATGAAGTCGCTCACAGTCGTTCTCGCGCTCGTCGCGCACGCCCAAGCCGGCCTTCGATTTGCTTGCTCCACCTTGACCATCCAGCGTCTAGACCCCGTCGTCGAGTCGGGCAAGCTCCCTTCCGCGCATCTTCACCACATCGTCGGTGGAAATGCTTTCAATGCTAGCATGACCGGTGATGTCGGTGAGAGGGGTACCTGCACCACCTGTGAGATGTCGGAGGACTTCTCCAACTACTGGACGGCCGTGCTATACTTCAAGCACCCGACCAACGGCTCTTACCACCGTGTCCCGGTCAAGGCCAACGCCGCTCTCGCAGCCGGAACCACGGGTGGCATGACCATCTACTACACCCAACACGACTTCTCTACGGATGACCTGAAGAACCAGTACATCACAGCTTTCCCGCCCGGATTCCGAATGACCGTGGGCAGCCCGACCACGGAGACGTTGGACCAGGCCAAGGGCCACATTGGTCTGCGCTACAACTGCCTGCAGAGCCTTCTCAACCGAGGAGCCGAGATGGTCGACTTCCCCACCAGACCCTGCCCTGCTGGTATCTTCACAGTCCACCACTTCCCCGCGTCAGTAACCTTTTCCCCTAACGCTTCGAGACGAATTGTATGCGCTGACAACATATAGATGCTGGGACGGCAAGAACCTCGACAGCCCGGACCACCAGTCGCACATGTACAACACCATCAAGTACGACGGCTTCACGAACGCTCCCCCGTGCCCTGCCTCTCACCCGTAAGTTCAACGCCTTCCCAATAAAGCATCACTTGAGCAATAGTTTGTATACTAATCCAATCTTTTCGCAAAAGTGTTCGCATGCCCCAGGTCACATACGAGACCGTCTGGGACACGACCAAGTTCAACAGCCTATGGCCCACCGGAACGCCTAACCCGTTCGTGTGGTCGTTCGAGGGCAGCAGCGGATACGGCACGCACGCCGACTACATGTTCGGCTGGAAGGGCGACTCGCTCCAGCGCGCGATGAACAAGTCCGAGTGTTTCTACGATGGATGCGGCTCCATCACCAAGCAGGCCATGTCGACCGCCAACAAGTGCACCGTCAAGGACTTCGTCGGCGAGGACACCGAAGGATGTATGTTTCTACCCTACCCCATCTTTAACCACTCTGAGACGCGATTTTGAGACTAACGTGTTGTTTTAGGGGTCGACCATCTCCCGGGTATGGAGATGTAGAGTGGATTAGACGATTCCTTTTCGTGACAGGAACTGCAAGATCGTTCTTTGATGTTAGGAGGCGCTGTGGAGGTGTCAGTTTGATCGATAGCATGTAGCTACATAGATGCGACGATTTCTATCAGATTACCAACGATGATTTTCGAGGTGTGATGCAAACCTAGGTACTCGTGTATGAACTGTGACCTTCTATCGCTTCCTAATGATTAAGATCGACGTTTATCAGAATATGCGATGAGTTGAATTCGAATCCATAAAACCCGGAGGCGATTCAGCCATTGAAGCTTTTTAATACTTGTTGTGAAACGTGCCTAGGTAGCGATGAATAATCCCACTAGTACCTACACTGGATACCAAACTTCGCAAAATTATGGTACTAGATCAAAAGGCAAGAATCTGCGAAGAGGCTTGCGGGTACCTAGTATTTCATATTTGAGCATTACGTAAGCTGAACGAAGGGGTGGCCCAAGATCATTATTCGTACCTACTACCTAGCATTACCCTAGGCACCTAGGTGTGTAAGTAGTATTATCCGATCGAATGTTGTAGGTAGATCTTGAAAAGTCTGTTCAAATCTCCTTGGTGGATGATGTTGCGTTGTAGATGACAGATGTCGGATTAAGAATTGAAGATTCAGGGGTAGGGTCGCCGGGATTCAGTATGTAAGCAAATCACGTGGAATTATATGATTAAGCTAAAAATGGATTATGTAATGATTCAGATTTGATGTTGGAACTGCATTACATAATAGTGCATAGTGGCTGTGCTAGTTTAATCTCGTATTTGGCCGCGTTTCCTTTTGTCTAAGCCACGAAATTGCACTGACGAGAAGCACATTCATGGCTCAGTCCAGTCCATTTGCTACATCATTTACCCGCGCCAACATCAAGGAATGCTACTTAGCTAGGCAGACACCAAAAAACTAAAACCATATAGAATCAACGATTTGGTCGTCGGTATTCCATGTTCAAGACCCATCGCTGCAGGGTTTAACGCGATACGATAGCGACAATCCTTGGTGTCGTCAATGTAAGCGATTCCTGCTGTCCCGGCTTCCCGAATCCCCTGTTCAACATGCGACACAGATCTCAGTCCTAACCATTCCTACCATAATAGTCTCCTCTCCCTTGACGACTTCATCAATCTTCCTCTCGAATTAAATCCACGCCTACAAGATGGACGACACATCGCCACCCGAGAGCATCGATCAAACGAAGGAGAAGAAGAAGAGCAGAAGACCCGCGAATACGGCGTTTCGCCAACAACGTTTGAAAGCATGGCAACCAATTCTTACTCCCAAAACCGTCATCCCACTCTTCTTCGTCATAGGTATCATATGTGCGCCCGTTGGTGGGCTGTTGATCTATGCTAGCTCTACAGTATGTCAAGACTCTACCTAAGTCTTTGTGATTACTGCTGACAATCTGTCTTTAAGGTCAAGGAATTGCGCATCGACTATACGAATTGTTTCCGCGATGCGCCTACCGCCGATCTTGCTTTGATGGATGATAGTCTAGTCTTCCCATCTTTCAAAACCAACAACACCATCAATGCCATGTGGCAGCGTACCGAGCGGGTTAATTATACTTATGGCACCCACACAGTTCAGAACCTCACGATGTGCACTCTTCAGTTTGAAATACCCGAGGAGATGTCTCCACCTGTACTTCTCTACTACCGCCTCGAGAACTTCTACCAGAACCATCGTCGTTATGTTGCTTCATTCTTCGACAAACAGCTCGCAGGAGATGATGTCTCGCTTGCTGATGTCGAAGCATCTGGTTGCGACCCTCTAGCTAGCTCGAACTCGAAAGCCTTCTACCCTTGCGGCCTCATTGCTAATTCTGTGTTCAACGACACTATCATGAGTCCTGTCTTCTTGAACCCGCCCACGTCAGACGGCAACTTAACCTACGAGATGAAGAACACTTCGATTGCCTGGGAGTCCGACAAGGAGTTATACAAGCCGAGGGTGAGCACTAACTTGGACAACATTCTCCCGCCGCCGAACTGGCAGATTCGATATCCTAACGGCACATACACTACCGACAATCCCCCTCCGAACTTGCACGACGACGAGCATTTCATCGTCTGGATGCGGACAGCAGGTCTGCCAACCTTCAGCAAGCTCTGGGGGCGCAACGATACAAGCGCTATGCAGATTGGAACCTACTCTATGGAGATCATTGACAGTATGTGAACACATTTCCCTGGTACGGAGCAATCTCGCTAACATGCCTTGACAGATTTCCGAACAGACCAGTACCAGGGCAAGAAGAGTATCGTGATCACCACCCTATCCGTGATGGGCGGCAAGAACAACTTCCTAGGAATCCTCTGGCTCGTCGTCGGCGGGTTCTGCATCGCCCTCGCCCTACTCTTCCTCATCACGAACCTCATCAAGCCCCGTAAGCTGGGCGACCACACCTACCTGTCCTGGAACAACGCCCCGTCGTCCGCGGCCGCGAAAGGCAAAGGCAAGGCGTCCGGCCCCACCATCGGCATGGCGACCGGTCGCGATTTGTCGTAGGGCACGAATCTGCGCGGTTCTCGACTTGCGCGGAGCGCGGCGAGTCACGTTGGATTAGACGGGTCGGCGGCGGCGAAGAGGGAAAGGGAGCTGAAAGAGCTGCGGGTTTGGCCTAGACCTAATCATACCGGAGACGAGGATACGTTCAGAGAAGGCATGTTCCCGTCGACATCGTCGCTTCGACCCCCTCCGCAGTCCCAGAGGCACCAAACCCAAGAAACTCCGGGTGAATCGTCTCAAGCTACGGCAGCGGCGGCGGCGGGGATCGGTGTTGCTAAATGAGAAAACAGGAAATAAATAAAACTTCAAAATTACTATAAATCTCGCACATTCGGGGAAGACAGAGGGGAGAGAATGAGCATGATGGTATGATACGGGACAGGGTTACTTTGGTCGAATTTCCCGTCTTTTCCTTATTCGTCGTTTCGGGAGATGACATCGTATCGCACGCGCAAAAGATTCAAACAGAGAGCAGGGTCGTGGGGGGTGGATGTTTTTTTTTGCCCCCACACTTGTACGAGTATACCTACATGCAGCTACCTTTTTTTCAACTATTTTTCGACGGCTTGTAAGCTAGCTGTCTGGGGGTCTAACGGAGTTCTGGGTTGTCTTTGCTGTATCTGCCTTTTTCTCTACTTTTTTCCCTCGAGATTCACGCTAGGGGAAGGGGAAGGGAGAGGGGTTTTTCTCTTGATAGTTTGATTTGAGCTGGTTGTTTTGTTATAAAGGCAAGGGATTAGAAGACTTTTCTCTTGCTTGGACTTTTGAATCGTGACTTTGTGGTATGGATGGCTATCGTAGGCGTTTTTCCGTGTAAATGTGACTGATATGTGAATAATAACTTAATCCGTGTGAATGCGTTTAATTTCGAAATGAGGAATAGCATTGCGATTATGAAAGCAGATGCGGACTATGCAGAAGCCTACCTATTTAGCCACCATGGATAGAAGAACGAAGAACCGACAATCATCACTCCCCTTTTCACTTATTTTTCCTTGCTTTGCCTCGACTTGCTTTTTGCTTGTTCCCTTCTGCCAGATGCCCACGCGATGATCCAGGTGTGTCTGTTGTTGTCGTACGATGCCACCATCGTTTGAAGACTTTTCCTATGTTACATGGTAATTTACAACCCATCTCCGATCCATTCCTTAATGACGACGGATAATTGACGAAACGCCAGATTGAAAACTCCTAGATAACGGGCGCCCCTTGATTCATAAGCCTAACCCTTATGTATTGCCTTTACCTCAGCGCGCGTTTATAATTAACACATGGTGTGGATTAGGACTGTGCTGCTTCCTCGACTTTGGCCTTTTTCACTTCTTCGTCGCCTGGCGCCGCATCCTCGGCTTTGCGCTTGCCGTTGCCGTTCGTCTCTTGTTTCGGCTCCTCCTTGGCCTTCTTGCGCACTAGACCGGATAGATCCTTGGCATTCTTCTTCGCCTCCTCAATTCTTGCTTCCTTCTTCTCGGTAGAGTCGCCTAAGGCCGCGCCTAGGACACCCAGCATAGTATCGTCGGATGCGAGGACAGAGTTAACGTCCATGGGCGGTTTGCGTAGGTCGACCAGCTTCATTGGTAAGGTAGGTTAGTTTACTAAATCATCGTTTTCCTCATGTCGCGATGACAGGGAGTGTACGGGGAAGTGAAAAGCTCACCCGTTGCTCCATGTCCGCGATCAGGTCCTTGACCTCGGCGATCTGCTTCCTCGTCGCTTCATTATCTTCTGGCGCGTGTAGCATCGCAAGGTCGACTTCTTTCGCATCGAGCTTAAGCTTCGTACTCTTAATAGCTTTCTCTAGCTCAGTAGCAGCTTCGTTTCGCAGCTCTTCGTCAACAGGCTTCGCATTCGCGCCAGTGGTATCTTCTTCGGTGGTGGTGACGGATGCGAACTCAAGGGCCAATGATAGCTTGAAATGGGCCTCAGCAATTAGCTCCGACTCCTCGCTATACAGTCCTTCCTTGTACTTCAGGGAAGCACGACAGTCATTAATTGCCAGAGGGTACCTATATCATTGTTAGTAGATGTCAATTACGATCCTAGCAAACTCCTAAGTGATCGTACTTCTCATTCTCTAGAGAGATTTCCGCAAGGAGATCGTGTGTGTCGGCCAGTCGCTCCTTGATGTGCTTGACAGTAGGGCTGTCGCCTTCAGCCTTCTCTTTTCCTTTGCCTTCAGATGAATCTTGGTCGTCTTGTTCCAAGGACTTTTCGAAAAGCAGACGTGCTAGATCTAAAATCTCGAAGGCTACTGCAAGATCGTCATCTTCTTCGTCTTCGTCTTCTTCTCCCTCAGCCTCCTCTTCCTCGTCAGAATCCTCGAAGTTCTCGTCGCCTGCAAATGAAAATAATGGTTTCTTAGCATCAGATACCTTCTCTCCTTCAGTCGCGGCCTTTGCCACCGCATCGGCTACTCCTTCTTCGGTCACCTTCTCAGCTGTCTTCGTAGCGGCCGAAGATTCGGCTTGCGATTTCTTTGTCTTGGACTTCTTCTCAGCAGCACCATTGGACTTGTTCTCGCCAGCTGCTTTTCCACCTAGAACATCACTCTTGCTCTGGCCAACCTTGAAGAGACTGCGACCGTAGAGAAATAGAACGTCGGCATTTTCGGGAGCCATCTCGCCATTGATCTCAGCTTGCATTTCGGTCGCTTGGGAGAAGACTTCGGCAGCTTCCTCGAACTTCTTCTGCGCATAAAGCGCGGTCGCCTTGGCAGTTAGGTCGGCTAGCGACACGTGAAGTGAATTGGTACGCTCTTCGGGATCCATGGGAGGCAAAGACTGAGGAGTTGCCGCAGCAGAGACTGTAGCTGACGCAAGGGCAGACGGAATAGCGGATAAGGTAGGGGTATCAGTGGGAGTTGCTTCTGCCATTGTGACGAAAATTGGACGATGTCGCGGTGAAGTTGATGATAGAAACTATGAAAATGTTGTGATATGATTGGCTGTATTGAGAAGGCTACGAGCCTATGAAATGTACTCTGAATAAAACCGATACCAACTGTGAAGGTTTGAATAAGGTCCAAATGTGATAGCGACCTATATGACAGAGGATTGATTATATGCGCCAACAGATTGGATGTTTTGTTTTGTGGTGTGAAAAGGTGGAAGTCAGGTGTGGTGAGGTGAATGTTTGGAAGTGTGGGTCGTGGACGAAGTGACGCGATTACCGCATGCAGACCTCCCCATGAAGATGGAAGTTACGGCGTGCACCGCGTCAAGTTACGGGTCATGGGTTATTAGAAGCTTGGGCCATTACGTAACTCTCTCTACTTTCAAACTTCCACTTTAATGCACGTGACAGGAAGGAATTGAACTCTGGGATTAAGTAAGCATACCCCACAGACCCATTCAACTGACATCAATAACCCTACCTTCTACAACTCTTCCTACAAGTGCATCTTTCGAATGGCTTAACCTAAGAACCTGAGTATATTCAGGTTCCAGTTTCCTATTCACGAATGTCTCAACAGCCTTGTTTTAATAAAATTATTGATTGAGGCGTTTTTTTTTTGCTTTTCATATTAAGTAACATACCACTCAGAGAGGTATCTTGGAATTTCCATTTGAGTGATTCATCCCAAGAAGCATTTAGGATTTATTTCGGACCGTGACTTTCCCAGCACTAAAACGTAACGAAGTCCATAAAAATAGCGTTTCGATGTCAAAAACGATCAACTTAAATAAGGCTGAACTCAATCCTTCAAGGCGTTGAAATGTCAAAGTTCTCGATGCGACATCATGTACCCGGGTAGCATAACTGGATAACTATGACGTGCAGGGTTTCTAAGCTTTCCGGGGCTCCCCACTTCCCTTGACAGCTAAAAAGTTTAGGCAATTCGCAATTGATCGGACGAGATCTCAACAGAAACAACGCCCAGTGAATCAGTAAGCAAATTTCTGCTTTCTCCTTTCATTAACAACCGACGCCTCCCCCTTTACTGTTGGTTAACAACATCCAAATTGATCGCTATATTGGTCTTACAGCATCACCTTTAATTACTTTGTCGCTGCTGATGTCATCAGCGGTCAATTTTACATAAAATGCATTGTCAATGTTACCATTTGCCAATAAAGAAAATGTCTTTTTGAACAATGTGAACAATCTAGGCGTATTACATGTTACGTCTGCTCTGCTCGGTACGTAAGTGTTTCGATTAAAAGGCCTCAAGACGAATTGATATGAGATGATCGGTTACATGCGTTTGAAACCAGATAAAGCAGCCAGTAAGAAAGTGTGATTGGAGGTGCCGATGAAATGGTAGCACAACGCTAGCTCAATAACTGCTACCCGACCCGTTACTTCTTCACTGACTGAGGGGGGAACACGAGGCATGTAAAGGAAAGACACATGTATACAAAGACAAGTCTTGCAATTTACCTGCCTGCATACCTGCATACGGACGTACTAGGTACCTATTCTACATGAACCGAAGTCATGCAGGTAAGTGCCTAGGTATATTATGCATACCTGGTATGAGTGACTACTGCTCGTAAATGCCAACAGCGACAGTTTGCTATCACCTCCCTACCTGGTAACTAACTTATCATGCCCCTCTAGACTATCGTCTTCGCTACCTACTTAAAAGATTGGTGATACGAGATGATGTCGTAAATTTAGCTAACCAGCTCGAGTAAATTCCAGCCGCACAACTCCACTCTGATAGCCTAGTCATGGATCTGGACCGGGAGAGTCGGGCTAATCCGACATGGGACCCCTGAATATTTCTTTCGTGATACGATGCTGTGCCTATTTAGACCCACGTACATAGGTACATCACTAAGTAAGTGCTATGTATGTGTTACGCTGTAAGTTGGTATGCGCAGAGTGCGGAAGGCGCAATCCACCTACATAGTAGGTACATCTCGTAACTTTGGAATTTTTAGATTTTTTGTATTTCTCACCTTCGAACTTCTTCCTTTGACATGTGGCCACGAACAGTTTGGTGACTTCTTCCCACTTGGGAATTCTCTCTTCAGGTTCTCTTTACTTAATTTATCAACCCGCCTTTGTATTGGGATGACGTATTGTTTCATAGTTTCCTCGCAACCATCTCAGTAAATTTGGATTACCTGACAGCTTACTTTCGCAAATGTGTCCCGGTCGCCGATCTCCTCTAGGAGTTCCATCTTAATGATCGCATTCGAGACCTCGGAACCACAATCACTACCATGATCGTATCGCACGTATCCCGCCGATCCAGGGTCTTCGGTGGCATCGCCGCCCTGGCCCTGTTTGCGACATACCTACACATGCGTCCACAATGGAAAGAAGCGCCATTCGAATATGCCCGCGATTATTACCACAGCGTCAAAGACTATCTCGGCAGTCCGGTGTATAACAACACTCTGTATACCGAAGGAAACAAGCAGACGGTCAATCAATTCTACAATTCGAGTAATCCGTGTGCCAATTTCCCAGATACCGACGGTGTTCTATTAGTCATGAAGACGGGCGCGACGGAGGCGTTTGACCGAATACCGACGCATCTGCTTACGACATTGAACTGCCTTCCCGATTTCCTCATATTTTCCGACATGGTGCGAACCCCATTGCAATGACTCGCTCATTTCTGCGCTAGAAGCGACATCCAGCATCAGATTGTAGTGCAATAGACTAATCATATTATAGGAGCAACAAGTCGGTCCCTATCACATCTACGACGCCCTAGCCGAATTTGAAGAATCCGCAAAAGCCCATAACGAAGATTTTGATCTTTATCGTGACCAGAAGGAATGTCCAGTGTCCCAGAAGTCGTGTGTCGATGCTAAGAGAGATGGACAAAAGGCATGGAACTTGGACAAGTATAAGTTTCTTCCTATAATGGAGCAAACATGGAAATTGCGCCCGGGCCGTGATTGGTATATTTTTGCTGAAGCGGATACGTACGTCTTCTGGGCCAACGTGATGCACTGGCTGAAGAAGGAGTCCGGCCTAAACCATCGCGAGAAGCTCTACCTAGGCAGTCGAAGCTTCATAGGAGGAACTCCATTCGCCCACGGTGGTTCTGGATATATTATCAGCGGTACGCTATTGAAGCACTTGATCGAATATCACCCCGGTGTGGTCAAGCAGTATAACGTCAAGGGAGCCCACGAATGCTGTGGTGATTTAATGTTAGCGCAAGCCTTAGAGGAGTACGAGAATGTCAAGATTCGACAGATTTGGCCCATGATCAACGGCGAAAAGCCCAGCACTCTACCCTATGGTCCCGGTCATTGGTGTGAGCCGATCATGACCATGCATCATATGAATGCCGAAGAAATCAGCAACGTGTGGCAGTATGAGCAAACACGCAAGGCTGATGTAAGTTGTTCTGTCTTTCCTCCGTGGGTAATCACAAGGATCAACGCTAACTTTTTGACAGAGTACTCTCCTGATCAAGGATTTGTATGAAGGCTTGATCCGCCCAAAGATGCAGGTAGCGCGACAGAATTGGGATAACCTTTCTGATGATGTCTGCTACATTAACCGAGATCCTCAGGCTCAACAACGTGCTGAAGGACATCTACGCGATAGGCAAAAGGAGGAGAAGGATATGAATGATGTTGAGAAAGAGGCATGGAAATCGCCAGAGAACTGTGCCAAAGTCTGTGGATCCCAAGACGTTCCGGATGAAGACGAGTGGGACTTGCACGGGAACGTGGGACGCAAAAACATCAACCCTAGTACGGCGAACGACACAGAGGTCGCCGAAGATACCTCACCAAGCGACGCAGCGGCGAGGGAGGCGTGGAAGAAGTCAATGAACGAAAAGAAGCGAAACCGATCGTGCTTCCAATATCGTTGGCACGAAGAAGTCTGCTGTACAGCCAAGAGCTTCAAGTTAGGTGCACCCAAAGCAGCACCTGACGACGACAACCCCAACGCCAGGTGGGCCAGCGGCTGGCACCTAAAGGGCATTAATGACTGGATCGAAGCGACGGGCGAGTGTACGAAGCCCGAGTGGAAATCCCCCGACCCTTCATAGGTCTCCTCTTCGTCTTAAAGCAACTCTAAGGTATATTAAGGACATAATAATGGGAGGAAGGCGAAAAGGTTCTACGCCAGTTAGTCGGAAAAATATCACGGAATCGATGGTCATCTCGGCACACAGAGAGGGTGGAGAGATATCTCGCGATGGCATCTCTTTCCGGGGAAGGGGTTCTATTGTACGTACTAGCAAAACACGGACGGTTTGCCGTGTCTAGGTCATGATGGGGGTCACATAACACGGCGTTCTTGGCATTTTCCAGGTGGGAGAGATGGAGACGGCGTAGGACATACAAGGCTTAGGATGGTTATCGGCTCATGCTTAGGTTACCTCGCATATTAAGTACTGACGAAGATAATTGAATCATCACAAATAGTCAGATGTTATCGTGAGTTATTTCGTTGGTGTTGAGAAAACTGTTAAGGCGGTGGAAAAAACGAGGACTCGTGTTTCCATCACTAACACGCAACTTTCAAGAAAAGTAATTTAGTTTCAAGTTCTAAACCTTCCTAGCTTATCATCTTATGTTAATAAATAAACTCCACCGCACGGTTCATAGAAGCTCCCGTTCCTCCCTCAACCAAGCCCACACCACACATACATACATACCCAAATTACCCCACAGACGACGGAGTGAGAGTGGCAAAAAATTAACGATCTAACGTCACGCATTACCTAAAATCAACATTTTTTACCATTCTAGGCACGCCTGCCTCTGCTGGTTGGCTGGGACCGATTTGGCTAAATCAAGGTTGCGCTGCTTAGTGTCTTTAGTGTAGGTAGTCTGATCTTGATGTTGCGGTGGCTTGGCGCCATGTTTCATGTCTTCGGTCCCGTTAATATCAGATCTAGCCTTGGGCTGGTGAATTAATTGATTTCTTACTGGTATGCATGTCTTAGCTGCCGGGTAGGATTGGGGGGAATGGGGGCCGTTCCGTTGGAGAACACGCCCGTGTCTTGGTGGTTATGGATTCCCTATCGATCGAGGCTATGTTATGCCTGTGGTTAATTTTGGGGTATGTGACTTCATTCCCTCAACTCAGCAAGTCTACTTATTGGGGTTTCCCCGGGTATCAGGCCATTCCCGTATCCTATTATAGCTACCTAGCAGAGAAAGTAGACTATAGAACAGAAGGAAACCAGAAATATCAGAACCAGTTGTGCTCATCCTTGAGCTATTCCTAACATTGAACCATCCACGGTTGCATATATCTGAATGGCGTCCGATTACCCTAAGTGACGGGACTCATATATCCCCCATTTTCAGAATTTGCTGAGTCGTAGATATCCTGAGAGCGCCGAATGAGGCCGATGCTCGTCACATCGGATAGGTTCCGGACAAGTTGTGTAACTGGACAGAACACTAGGGTCGAGACAGTCTTGACGAGGTTTGACACTGTGCTTTAAGAGATGCGTTTGTGGCTAGGGATAATGTCATCGAATAGACAGTCCTCCTCCCGACTCTCGTCTCGCGGGGCATGGCCAAATTTAAAGGACAAGCCTCCGCAGTGGTCATACATCATCTCTTCCTGTGGATGATCGATCTTGTTGAGAATCGGATAGTGATCGACAGAAGATCGCCCGATCCAATCCTCTACCCATCCCAGAACCGGGCGCACCAGCGGGTCTAGGTCCGTCATGATATGAAAGGCTCGTATTGTATTATCATGGGCGAAGTCTTCTTGGAAGATGTGTAGTGCCTGGGACAAGGCCTCGATCTTGGCGAAGATGCAATTTTGTGGGAGAGAGGGGTTGAGACGGCCACCAACATTACGTGTAGAGTTTTCACCGAAATAGACGCCCCAGAAGGCGCGGATGGGCCGTCGTCCCGGCCCGTCACTTTTGCAAGTTCCAAGGATGCTGACGGTCACGGTCTTCATGCGAGCTTGAAGTTCAAGTTCGCCTACACTTGATCGAGAATACTTGCTTTGGAGGCGTAAGACTTTCTCTTGGGTATTGAAAATGACAAATTCTCTTTCGAGATTTTCTTCGTGCGTCAAACTACAATGAGTGGAATCAAGTTGCTGCTCAGATTCGTCTTTATGCACGGCAGGAGACAAGTTCGTGCTGTTCTTCATCCATACTCGTAATACATCCATTTTTGGTAATCTAGATTGGACGGTTTCGATTGATTTCTAAAAGGAACAGGTGCTATTGGCGACAATTTGATTGAGGATTGTTACGATATCCCAATGCTTCGTTCCAAAGTTGTAGGATGGTTTCAAGAATGAAATAGACGTGAATGTTTTGGGAGGAAGAAGAGTTCGGAATCAATTAATCTCCGCCGCGACTTATTACTTAGGTAGGTAGATTCAGCATTTACTACCTAGTAGGTGCCTACCTGCCCAAGTAGTAGTAAACATAAAAATGAAGCTAAAGTGCAGGTGCGCCTTTCGCACACCTGCACTGTGGTAACCAAGGAAAGAACCAGCTTCACCTAGACTAGGTTGACCCGCAACGTCCAATCGAATTCTTGTATTGTCCACATTTTTTTTCTTTTTCTTCACAGTATTTTACAGTATTTGGCAACTACTGGTCGCGAGAGAATGCCCCAATCATTCCATTGGAAACCTTCAGATAGCCTGAAGCACGATCTCGTTCCTCACAGCCACAGAGTGTGCACATGAGCCCCCAAGATATCGAGTGGGGGTATTGCAATGATTCTTCGTCCCCAGAGTCTGTCCCAGGTAAATGCACCGCATACCTAGAAGCTTAAGTTCACGAGATTGTACATAATAGCCACCTAGGTAGATAATACCGCATCTGCTCTGCCCCCATACATCCATCCTATTACTTCAGTGGGATCAACAACGCCAACTCCCTTTTTTCATCGGTGTAACGCCACCTACTTCATCGTGTGGCATTTGGCACACACAAAAGAAATCGGCAATAATTATCTCTAGCCTCTCGATTAATAAATATGCCCTTACATATAGCTACCCTACTCGCTCTGTTCAAATTAGCTTTAGAAGGAGAGAGATCGCTTTTCTCACATGTGCAAGCCGCTTCACGTTCATTCTCAAGAGAAAATACCCAACTAGCTTCGCTACTGAAGCGCCGGGGAAGATTTTTGAGTACTGGTAAACCCTCGAGATTGAAAACAAGAAGAATAGCCTGTATTTCATCAACTACTGGCGGAAATAACTCAGACTTGGGGCTAGCATTAGAGTCACGGTATTAGGGAGTCAATGTAAGTATAAAAGGAGCTATTTCTCTCATCCGGCATTCACCTATCATAAGGCGTTACTGTCAAGTTATATCTAGGTTCCTACATCATATCACATGCTCTTCAAAATATATACGTATGCTTAGTCCGGAATGGTTTTGTCTTGCTGCGTAGATAGCGTGTTACATTGTTGGCTGGCGGGATGGGTTTTTCCTTACTTCTAATAGTCACAATCGCATATGCTGCACCATATTTCTAACACATGAACTTAGTGTAAGATCTCTCTACCCAGACTTCTATGAAAACTCTTTCGGGGAACGAGTCTCTCGGGCGAATTTTGCTCTCACTCAGATTCAATGGCTTCCCTACCTTATCCAGCTCCACCAGGCGCAAATGGCGTTCTTGGCTCAACCGAACCATTACCCATGACACCACAGGAGATAACGGCAGAATGGTGTACTAAGATACTGAACCACAAAGTCAAGAGGATAACCATCGTCAAGGAAATACATTCAACGGCCAGCAGCATATTGATCGACCTGACTTACGAGGGCAACCATAACTCTGACGAAGTACCGACCCATATTTGCATCAAAGGCGGCTTTAATAAGCCCCTAATCGAACTTCATCCAAACCTATTATGGACCTATCGTCGCGAAGCAGAGTTCTACTTCTATATCGGCCCAATTGTCGAGATGAATCTGCCCAAGATCTGGTATTGCGGCACAGACGTGGTTGCCGGGCAAGGCCTTGTCGTCATGGATAACCTGGCCGCCCAAGACCGTAGCTTTGGTGAGCCTTCGCAGCCGTGGCCGGTCGCGAGGGTCCGCGCGGCAGTCGAGCAACTTGCGATATTGCATGCGAAGACATGGGGTGCTAAGGAGGAGAACTTCCCCTGGATGGCGGCTGATAAGGAGATGGGAGGGAACCCGCTCCAAGCAATGGTGTCTTCGTTATTAACAGCAGAAGCGTGGGATGCACGATTCAAAGACGCGCCCGCGCCGCCTTTGCCAGAAGCGATTGCCGATCGCGAGAGCTTTGAAAGGGTGTTCAAAATTATGTGGGCAACTGAAAATCCCAAGCTGAGGTGTGTCGTTCACGGTGACTCGCACATCGGAAATACATTCATTACAGCCGACGGTCAGCCCGGTTTTATTGACTGGCAAGGCTCTTACGCCGGCGTCAACGTGCAAGATTTGGCGTATTTCTTAATCGGCGTGCTAACCATCGAAGAGCGTCGCAAGCACGAAGTTGATATAATTCAGCACTACCTTCAAGCACTACACCAGAACGGCGGCCCCAAGTTTGAAAAAGACGATATCTGGCATGATTACCGGAAACACGCGTTGCATGGGGTGGGGTGGGCCCTCGCAGCGCCGGGGATGCAATCGGATGAAAATGTTTTCATTATGGTGGAACGCCATGTCGCTGCTGTGTCAGATCACGGAACTATTGAGCTGCTAGAATCGCTGCCAGAGTATAGGTTCTGATAGTGTTGATAGATGGATACGGCGTCAGGGGTAGTAAAGTCGTCAACGCTGACGATGACGAGGAGCTAGACTAAGACAAGTTTATTCATGTGGGGGAAAGAATAAGAAACGCTGAACGGAAAATTCGTCTAATATGTCTTATACGCTAATTTCTTTAGTCACGATATGCCGACCAGATTCAGTGTAGCACTTGGTGAAGATTGAACCACGTCCCTTTCCATCTTACCCCTCACTACCTAGGCATACACCAACATCTACAACGTTGTCATGTCCAATAGCTGAGGTCGGAAAATGACCTGTCGCTCAAACATCAAGTCATTGATCTTATCCCGACAAGCATTATGGCCAGAATATTCCGCAAGACGTTTAGCTTTCTCGCATTGTTGGTCGTCGAATTGGCCGTAATTGGCATTCCACAGGAGCTGAATCATGTCAAGCCGACCATTCTCGGCAGCACTCTCCAATGGCCAGCGTCCATATCCATATTGAGGCGGCGGGATGTCAAATCGAGCTCCGTTTTCTATCAGAATCATTGCAATGGTGCAATTGCCGCCGATAGCAGCCAGTTGTAAAGCGGTGCCGCCACCGCGAGAAGCGGGTGCCGCGTTAACGTCAGCACCGTTTGAAAGTAATAAACGGATGATTTCTAGGTTGCCGGTTTCGACTGCGCCTTGCAGGGGGGTTCTCCTAAGGCCAAAAGTTGCCGGCTCGTTTACTCTTGCACCATATTGAAGGAGGAGTTTAACCATCTCCGCGCTTCTTGTCTCGATGGCGTCCAAGAGAGCAGTTTGGCGGACGTTGAAACGATAGCCGTCAGTTGTCATACTATTAGCATTGCCTCCACTGTCCAGTAATTTCTTAACCAACTGTATATCCTGAGGCTTTACTTCGGACCTGTTCTTGCCTCCCCTAATCGCGATGCCAAGTGCGGTACGCCTCCCGTCCGTATCGGGGTACTCAGCAATAACGTTTAGATCGACAAGCTTAGATATGACGAGAGTATCTATAACTCCAGAGGTTCGCGGATATTCATCAAACGCGAGGACAAGTGCTCTGAGGACCGCTATGTTGTAAGGAGCTCGTGGATAGAATTTTCGCACTCGATCCAAAAGCGGCTTCAGCATTGAAGGCTTTTGAAGGACCGCTATTTCGAGACCGATGCCGCCGGTCGGATCAGCGCCGAGGTTGAGTAATTCATCAAGCAGCCCAAGATCCTCACGCTTTATCGCAACTTCTAAGGCGTTCTGTAAGGAGGGTTGGTTGACGCCGAATTCTATAAACGCCCAGAATAGATCCATGCCCCCTTTCTCAATTGCCAACTCGAGTTCTTGGGGCGAGTATACTGTGCTGCGCCAGCAAGAACACAACTTCAAGAAATCTTGTAAGATAGAATCCTCACCCCATTCGAGAATGAGTTGCAGAGCTGACGGACCAACATCGCCAATGCGCGAAATGACTGCTTCTGGATGAATGCCACTTTCGAATATCGCTCGTACTATTTCGGTCTTTCTTTTCTTTATCGCGATGTAAAAGGAACTCTGGGAAAAATCCGAAGTCAGGTCTGCGCCTGCAGCCATGAGCCTCCAAGATAAATCGTCGTGGTCGTTTTCTAAAGAAGTTTTGAGGGCCTCGGTAAACTGCAAACCTCCCATTTTGCCGTCAGGGTTCGAGTCTAATAATTTATTGGCGTACGCGATATTTCCAGCTTCGATAGCATCCGTAACCGCTTGCCCGAGCTCGCGTCTTTTGTATAGAAAATCTGGAAGTTTATGATCTTCCAAGAAGGAAATAATTTTCTCGTTTCCAGATTTTAAGGCGGCGTTCAATGTTTTCACGCTGACTACCTCTTCCAAATCGGCATCCGATATCCCGGTGAGAACCCTATCAATTATTTCCTGGTTTCCGTTCTCGATCGCCATTACAAGTATGTCGACACGAGAACCATACGGCAGCAGAAGCTGCGCGAGTTTATCGTAACCCTTAGATATAGCCGCATCAAATGCTATTTCGAGTCCTGGGTGAAGTTGGAGAAGGTATGGATCACCACCAAATTCTCGGCACCCATTGATTATAAGTTCTAGCATATATACCGCGTCGACTTCATTGAAATTCTTGGTAATACCCACGACAAAGGTTTCGTTGGAAATGAAATATTTGGGTATTCGAAAAGCCGTTCTCTCGACAAGAAGTCGTGCTAAGCGAGGATCAACAACTTTATTGATTGCATGCGCGAGCATTTCCTTCTCGATAATGGCCCCAGCCTTTAAAATAGAATCCATTGTAGATAAGAATTCTTCGGTAAGCGTTGATAATTGATTGGCTTTGAAAATAAGTGACTGAAGTGTACTGTCGGAGTGCAGTGACTTATTCACGTCCGCTTTCAGGTCGATGAGAAGCTTCATGATCCTGAAGGACCGTTGTCCTGCGGCCTTCTGAAGCGGCGTGTATCTCTCACCTTCATCGAAACAGACGGTCTCATTTGCATCGACGAACCCAAATTCTAGTAGGAGCTCGGCTACTTTATCATTATCTGTTTCTAAAGCAGCTTGAAACATTATCTCAGCCAAAGATTTCGCCGTATAAGTGGAACTGTACTTCATGAGCTGGAATATAAGTGACTTTATGTCATACCGGACGCTGAGGAATCTCAAAATACCGCCGGGTCGAATATCTCCCATGCCTGCACAGCCATTAACAAATGACGTAAGAAGCCTACTGAGAAAGCGACATTCAAAGGCGTCATCTGCCGAAAGCATAGCAAACTGTCCCTCTTCTTCACCAAGGAAATTTTCACTTGAGACTAAGTTCTCGAGGATTTGGGGAAACGCTTTAGCGGATGGAGGGTCGCGAGGAAGCAATTCATAATTGCTTGAAAGCGATGTGGTTACATCGGCTATGAATTGCCCTACTAGACTGTACCGGGCAACATTCGATACAGAGCTATAGGCTGAAGAATTAGGACTGTTTTTCGAGATATCTATAAAAGAGTGGTTATCAGCTTCCATACCACGCTTAACTCAAAGGTAGCATATCACACGCTGTTATATTTACTTACAATAGAACACCATATTTATGATTTCGGTAGACGGGAGCGTACTAATCCGCATATCTCCCGAGGAAACCATGCCAGTGAGGTTCAACTGACTTGAGTGTAAAGAATCCAGTGACGCGTTATATGGAGCTAGCATTGCGTCCATATCTAATGGAATATCAATGATACTTTGACTTAAATCTAGTGGCTGAGAGAAATCCATATCAATGATGTCCGTAAATCCCCCGGGGTCCAACGTGAATGAATCTCCAGAGTTGGTATGGGCATTAAGAGCGATGCTTGGTGTTAAGTTTAAGCTATCATTTTCCCCTAGTTGAGGAATAGATGTGACTGAATCGTTTGCTTGGTGAATGTCCGAGTTGGTATTGAAAACGTTGACAGCTTCCGCGGCTTGCATGCCATTCAGAGGGCCAGGTCCAGGAGGTATCAAGTTGATGGTTTCGGATGAGGCTTGTTCGCCAGATGCTTGTATGCCTTGATTCGAGACAGAGAGTGGCATGTTTTCGAGAGACGTATGGCCATCACCACGAGTTGCTATGGAATCGTAAATCGAGTCAGTTTTGATGAGAGTCTGGAGGGAAGCACGAAGTACCGTTCCTCGCCTGTCTTTTTCTAGGTCCGTAGCGACGTTGCGCTGTTTTCAATCTGGGACTCGATATTAATCTGCCCGAAAGATATATCTCCCTCGCATCTCCTGTCCCCGGGCTCTCCTGATTCTGGGAAAATATTTCCGTCCATTTCTTTGAAGTCATGTTCTTCCGTACATCCCATCTCTGTAGTTGCGTTTCGTATTGGGATTTTCTGGGGATAAATGAGATGAGTTATCTGATCGGAAGCTGGATTAATACTCACGTGGCGGAAAAGCCTTCCCTCTTCATCGTTTCAATGACCCCATCATGACCGAGAAGTTTAAGTCCTCGATTTAAGTACAAGTGGATAATCCTGTCTTTGCGCTGTTCCCATTCCGTCGGTGAGATCCGAGAAGTGGTCGACGAAGAGCGCATGATAGGTTAGCTACTAAACAGTTGGCTTGTAAATTCCCACTAGATTCAAATTAGAGCTCAAGAGGCATAACGCATTTTCTTTAGCGGTAGTCGAGTTTGATAATATTTTAACCAATAATGCCTTCATAGCCGATCTGATATTGCACAGCCTTGCTCTTCCAGTCTGCCTAACATATGTAGAAACCAACACTCTTATCCTGGTACGTAAAGTTACATTTCGGTGCAGAATCCATTTGGTTTTATTGGCGCCGACGTTGCATCGCCTACCAACCAGAGTCGGTAGCAGGCCTGTTGCGTCAGTTGCTTACAGTTACTTCATTCCGAGTTCCGCTTTTAGGCGTGTTCTGATTAGCTGGGCATCTAAGGCGGGAGGGAGATTGACGCATGTGCCTAGCAATCACATCAAAGAGCGGCAACAATCTGTAGTTAAATATGCCTGGCATTCTGGAAATTCTACTCATGATATCCTTCGGGATTTGTGGACCTTGAAGTGGATTCTTCGACGGGAGCGGGAGAACTACCGTAGACGGGAGGGAGTAGAATGGTGGAGGAAAAGAATGAGAAAGATGAGAAGTACCTATGGATGGTCTTATCGGCTAAACATCGGCATATTTGAGGTAGCACAGAGAAGAAATGCCTCGGCTCATCTAGGTTCCACATGGAAAGGACGAATTAAGAGATATTCGTCATCGCAACTCCTTCCAGCAACTCTTCTACAGTTAAATTTCAGATTCTCTCCTATTCAACCATTATATGTAATTATTTACCTAGTTTTGGTGGAGACGATAGATGACAATAGCGACGTCAAATCGGGTTTTACCTTTGCCTCAATAATATACTAACCTCTACACGAATGCCGTTTGCACCGACGAACAACACCCTTTTCGCAAAGTGTACCACGACTGTATTGTGTCATCTACGGGCTGTCCCTCTCTGGGGAATCGCGTTGGCTATACTGCTTTTGGCTTTCCTTCGGACACAATTTGTGACCCTAGTTACCGGGTTGAAATCTTCATCATCGAAATCGTCAAACCGGAGCATTGCGGTAAAGTGAACAGTAATTATGGCTTCCGCCGCCGCATCCGCGAACGGGGTGATACGGGTTGTCGGGCCTGCACTCATACCAGCGATAGCTTACGGCGCTTATAAAGGCAATGCATTGGGGTTTCTAGAGTCTTTTTTCACAGGCCCCGGCAGAACGAGTCGAATCATAGCTCTGGCCGTCGTGCTATACAACTGGAAGAGCCTGCCTTTCGCATGGACTGTACGTTGCCCCTACATCCTAGTATACTATGCTATTTCAACCCCGAACAACCCGGTTATTAACAGCAGCCTCCGCAGTTCCGCGTCTTCGGTGCCATGACCTCCCATTTCGCGTTCCGGCGCCTGCATTCACACGGTCCTGATAAGCTGTTCCACCCTGTTATCACGCCTTCGCATGTTACCCTGCTCGAGGTCGACTACAACATTCACAAATCTAACTCAACCTACTTCGCTGACCTCGATGTGAGCCGATCCCACCTCGTCTCTCACCTGTTCGCGCGCGGGTGTGCCGCTATTGCAAATAACAACTCTACGAAGCTCGTCATGAACCCGTCCGACCCCTCGAAGCCGGCTAAGGGCAGGTTTTCCGTTATGCTCGGCGCCGTTCACTGCAGTTTCAAGAAAGAGCTTCAACCATACCAAAAATACGAGATGTGGAGCCGTGTCCTGAGCTGGGATCGCAAGTGGATGTACATCGTCACGCATTTCGTTGAAAAGGGCGCCGTGAAGCCGCGTTCGTGGGACGCAAGTAGTTTCGGGCCGACGAGGGAGAATGAGGGGAAGCTTGAGGACTGGGAGAAGAAGATCCATGCCACGGCTATCAGCAAGTACGTTTTCAAAGTCGGTCGATTAACGGTACATCCTGCGGTTCTCATCGAGGCCAGTGGTCTTCTACCCGAACGACCCGGAGGTTGGGTCTCCATAGGGAACGGGATGGCTCCACCGTCCCACACAGTAATTGGTGGCGCTATTTCGGAAGCCGAGGCTGATTTCGAGTCCACGGATTGGAATTGGCAGCATACCGAAAAATTACGACAGAAGGGTCACGAATACGCGGAGCATTTCGCAGCGCTCGACCATCTGCACAGCCACTTCGACGGCGGCGAAGATGGCGCGCTTGGAATATTCGGTCTCTCATAATCTGCATCACATTAAAGATGCGCGTATTGATACAGCACACATTAGACTTGTAATCTCACGATAGACACAAGGTTGGGTAGATATCACACTGGCCGGATTCGGAGATAAAGCTAATCGAACGCTAGAGAATAGAATATAGACCACTAAGACAATTATAGATATAATCAATTGTTCTTCTCGCTTTTCCACTGGTATCAAATAACTTTTTCTTTTAACACATTGCTCCAACGGTAAAGATACTACGCCACGAAAGATCCCATCAATTACATAATAATGCGCCCATTGCCTATAGAGCGAAGGCGGCTACGGCGGCAGCAAAACCGAGGCCGGCGGCGGCCCGGTTACCAGCATTGGTAGTTGGGGTCGCGGTTGCGCTGGTGCTGGCGGAAGTACCGGTGGCGCCGGTTAGGGAAGCAATGGCGGAAGTAGCAGCCGAGCCGGCGCTAGAAACGACCGAACTAGCAGCAGAACTTCCAGCGTCAGAGGCAGCTACGGCGCAAATCTGGGCGCTCAGCTTAGTAGTCTCTGTTTACACGCGTTAGCCATCTTAGTTATTACTATCACGCCTTTCGGAGGCGAAATAATGCGGATCTGCGTTCGGAATTAGGAAGCTTAGGGGAGCATACGAGTCAAGTCGTCGGCGCTGCAAGATATAGATACGCAACCGATGGCCTGGGTGGTCAGGTCGTCGATCTTGCCGCACTGGCACTTCGTGTCGGTAGTCGAGCAGCCGATCTTGGTCGAGGCATCATCGAGGCAGGGCTTTGCGCAAGACGGGATCTCAGAGATGAGCTGCTGCGCGCTCTGGGCGGAGACCGAGGCGGCGAAGAGAGCGATGGCGAGAGTTGTGAACTGCATTTTGGCTTCGGGTATAATTTCGATTTCTCTTCACTTAAAGGAATGGAATTGTATGTCGTTGCTTCGACCGGCGATGATAACAGACAGACGGATTATGTTGAGGGAGCGAATTACGTACAAATGATGCAAAGGGTCGAGAAGAGGAGAAGGGGAAGTTTACATCATAAAACAAACACCCGGCTAAGCTGACAGGAGGCATCAGTGCTCACAGCGTTGCATTCCTTTCCGTCGATGTCCCTTGCTTTGGTAATATCCCGGATCGCCAGTCCATAACCATGGATGATACCCACACCTCCGCAGGATTCGCCCATCCTTGGACTGCTTGGCTACTTAGCGCATGGAGCCGAGCTTTTAAGATCGGCTGGATTCTCGCTCACCGCGGCATGGTTCGAGGGAATCCTCGATAGCGATGTGACACCAACAGGGTTTCTTTACCTTCACTCTCATCTCAACAAAATCTTGGCCCCCTCATCTTTTGGAGATTCCAAGCGAGCGGCGCAGAGGGGCCAGAGGGGCTACGGAGGAGATGTGGGCAATAGGAGATACACAGTAAGTTAATATCGGCAATGCAGAGCTTCTTACCTCAGGCTTCAGAAATACCTCATCATGATGGTCTAGGTGGCCTATGGTGTAGATTCTTCGCGAAAAGGAAGATCCCGAACAGCCTGACAGCTTACTTTCGTATCCATGGATGTGATGCGAGAAGCCCCTGCAGATAAATGCATTAGCTCAGGGGCAAGACCTAAACCGGTTTAGCATCGTCCCAAGTGACAGCCGGACCCCTACCGTTTCTGAAACGTTCGGGTCATCTTTGCGGGGGGCAAGGGTTCTAGAATATCTCCCTATCGGCGGAATACTTAGCCGAGAGGCTAATGACATGAATGGGAACAACGAAACTGGAACAGTCAGACTTCGACTCTATTTTAACATCATGTCGAACATTAATCCCTATCAATTTATAATATGTGGGCGAGTTTACCTAGGTATGTCAAAACATGTTTCTATCTAATCTGATGAATGGGACTAGTGGAATACGTTTTAGTGGTGCGTATGAAGTCTTTTATGTGTTGGTATTGAAGCTGAGAATCATATTACCTTAGGGGTCTTGGTAAGAGGTCTTTGCGCCCGGGTAAGCGATACTAGGGTCTATTTTTCGCTTACACGATTTGGCGACGATAATGATTGGTAGGAACCCCCAAGCCAAAAAGTGTCTGATTCGCTAGTAGGCGATATCATTATTTGTGCCTAGGTAGTTGGTAGATTATTAGAGGTACGAAGCAGGTACTAGGTACCTAGCCATGCGCTGCCAGCCAGACCAGAGAGGGTTAACCCGTCTAGTCCATGGGTAGTAGCAAAGGAATGGTGAAGTTTCATAAATGCAATCGCTATTCACACTCTCGAAGTAATTTATATCAAACATAAACTTCGGCATCTCCTTCAACATTTCTGTTCACCTCTTGTGCTTCATTGTTATCACAGTTCTTCCAACGAGGCTGGAACCCCGTATCATGAATGATGCTAGCGATCGTAGGCTAGAAGCATCGGCAATATCATTTACTTGAATCACAATTCGTAGAGAGGTAGATATTCGCGATCAGGTTCTTGGTTTGTTAATGATATGCCAAACTTGCAATAGGTGTATCCAAGCCTCGCCCTTGTGAATCTAATGCTGTAAGCAACGAAATCCTCTCGTGATGCGGCAGATATGAACTTCTTTATGCTAGTAATACATCCATGACTCTACCTAGTAGTCTAATAAATTTAGCGACGATTAATTTTGTGGCGTAAAACAGGCGGTGCTCTAGCCTTTGCGCCTTGGTGCTATATGAATGCTCTATCGCCCATAACATACTTGATAATCGATGTAAGTTTGAGAACTAGCATATGCGTTTTTTATTAGGGAGACACTAGATTCTGTCCGACCGGTTCATACCCGAGAAAGCGCACATATCTTAACCAGTACCTCTAGCAGTGTCGCTAGACTAGTTGAGCATTCCGATTACAATTCAGCATCACCAGGGAGTTTAGCAATCGAAGGGCCGTTCATAGAAACGATAGAATCAGTGAGCTTATTGATGTACTTTTCTGTGTGCTTCTATCCAAGCAGAAAAGCCACCATAGGCCTAGGTTAACAATGCATAGTCAATTAGATTGTGGTAATTGCTAGTTAGCCAGGTTTGCTATTATCAACGAGACTAGGTGGTCTATATCGTGAGAGCTCCAATAGCTTGCGAAAGGTGACATACATACTAGGTAGTACCTAGAGTAATGGGAAAAGGGTAGTATATAAACCCAAATAATACTTACCCAGCGAACGGTAATAGTCTTGCCCCGCAAGCACCAGATTGATTAAAGTTCGTCCCGACACTTGAGCTCGCCCAGATTTATCGGATATCAGATCTTTTTATCAATACTGTGCACCCCGGTCCAGGTAAAGAAGAACCGAGATTGCTAGCTATTGAGGTGCTCTCGTAGGTTACCTACTTGGTAGCTAATGTTGAAACGGATCATGATGTTTCGCCAAAGCATGTTTGCCATATGCTATGTTGTATAACTGGTTTGGCTCACTAAGGTTGCTGGGAGTATAAGAGGAAATCTCGAGGAAGTAGAAAATGCAACCCGGAATCCGGGGGGAAGGTACTTTAAGGTCCGGAACCCTTCATATTAAACCGATCGGGCAGCTGCTAGGTACGTCACCGCTAGGGCGGGATTGGGGGGCTTATCGATAACAAATCATGCATTTGATACTACCGAATTCCCAAGTTACAATTTTCTTACCAATTTTACAGCTTTACGATTTTACCTCACTATATGAAGATAAATCTTCCATTCTTTTAATGGGACAAGGATGTCTGCATCGCAATGGGTGTGCCGCCGTTGTATAAAGGCACTGGCCCAGCCTCGAAATCGGCAATTCTTGCGATTTGCTAGCACAGGTATAGAATCATCTTCACATTCACATATTTACGCAAGGAATCTTAATAGCTAACTCTTCTCAAGATGCGAAAACAAAGATGCCCCCTCTCCTCCTTCAACGCGCACGAATCCTCTCTGACGAACACGACAAACTTGCAAGCGCCCTCGAGGAGGATTACGATATCAAGGTTGCCAAGCGTGTGGGTGAATTATCGCGCGTCGCAGACGCCCTAAAGAAATGGGACACAGCCCAATCCTCGATATTGGAACTTAATGGTCTACTGGAATCGGATGATTCTGAGCTACGCAAACTGGCCAAGGACGAGTTATCGACCACCACTGCCAAAATAGATACCCTGGCCACCTCTCTATCGGCCTCTCTCACCCCGCGCGACCCCTTTGCAGATATGCCATGCTTGCTGGAGGTGCGACCTGGCCCAGGCGGAATGGAAGGTCGTTATTTCGCAGATGCCATATTTCGCATGTATAAAATGTACTGTGCGCGAAAGGGCATGCGCTGTAATGTGTTAAAGCGCGAGGTCGTCGACGGTACGGAGTCTACCAAGTACGGCGTAAGTGAAAACCCGTTGCAAGAAGCAATCCTCGAGATCCTAGACCCCGGCGCGTACGATATGTTCCGAGGAGAAGCAGGCATACATAGAGTTCAACGCGTGCCGACCACTGAAAGTTCTGGCCGCACACATACAAGTGCCGTAGCCGTATGGGTGCTCCCCTTGTTTCCCCGAGACGACGCCGCGCAGCCGGACGAAGCGAGCTATAACAACCCTGATAGTATATTCTATATAGACCCGAAGGATGTTAGGGAGGAGAGGATGCGTGCTAGCGGCGCGGGCGGCCAGCACGTTAACAAGACCGAGAGCGCGATCCGGCTTACACACGACCCGACGGGCATCACAGTATCTATGCAGGATTCGCGGTCGCAGCATCAAAATCGCGAGAGCGCGTGGACACTTTTAAGATCGCGCATCAGCCAGCGTAGGAGGGAAGAACGGGAGGAGGAGGCGTGGGCGTTAAGGAACAGCGTATTAAGTAAGGACCAGATTTCGCGCGGTACCAAAATTCGCACATATAACTACGGCCAGGACCGATGTACGGACCACCGGGGAGGGTTAGATGTTCATAACTTATCGGACGTGTTAGATGGCGGAGAGTCACTGGATAAGCTCATGGATAGCACGAAGGGATGGCTTATCGGGAGGGATATTGCGGCTCTGATCGCCGAGGAGGAGGCGGGTGCAGCACCGCCACCCAAAGAAGGGAAGAAAGCGAAGAAATGAATAACATCCACCATCACATCAATTATTTGTCATATCACCTGTACCTAAAACATGCATGTAAAACTTGGGAGTCTTGGTGAACTGACTATTTCCAGGATATACTACGAGACCTGAAGCTATCCTAAGAATCTCATTTCATCAAGCGAGCACGTGGTGTACGAGGTCTCATCGAGCGAGACCCCTTTCCGCTAGAAAATGATGGTAGACTAAGAGACGCTAAAAGTCTTATTTCAACCTCGGACTATTAATATCACATATGGAACTGGTAGACTATGAGTAGGACCGGGTACTTCATTTGGCCGGAGCAAGACCTGGAATTGACCACTCCTCCGTCTGTCAATTAAAAGCCGGTCTAAGCCGTCACCTTCCAACTACGACGCCATCGACGCCACTGACGGAATGGACGGATAGTTAGGATCGATCTGCAGGGCCGACAGACATCCCACGGATCAACCCCAACCTCGTGTTTGCTACTGCTCACACTTTCGAGTATGATGTGATGCTTTTTAAGATACCCCTGACTAAAAGAGGGAGAAAAAAACTTCTCGAATCCAGCTCGGTACCTAGAAAGGGTTTTATAAAAACCTCATCATCCTAAATCGACCAAACCATCCACTACGAGTAACCACTAGAATGGTTGTAGAAGCTCGTGTTCAAACCCCTGTGATACCAATCTCCAGATTCAGCTATGGATGACGCTGCTAAAAAATGCTTATCTTGGAATTCGCTAACGGTACCTGATGAGCTTCCTAAATGGGCGAAAGCCGCATTTGCTAAATCGGATTCCGCCGCTCGTCTCATTCGTCTAATTCCCCGCAGATAAGTCACCGCTGACAATGAATGAGCGCGGGCATTCGCTTGGGGTAGGAAATAGGGTAGGATTGGAGAAGCTGTAGATCATATTACGCCTTATTTTCTACTTCAATGCGTACTATCTAGGTACGGCTGATAGGTCTAAGACCTTGATTCATGCGTACCTCGTAGTGCGTACAATACATTGTAAAAAACAACTAAACTTGGAGTATGTACTTCGTACGGCATGTTGGATGTTGCCATACCAACGACATGAATAGCCGAACAACGCAGATGGACGAGAGTTTAAAGATCTTCATTGTCCGGCTTTGATGGACGAGTCCCTGGGCGGCACGGCAAGCAACGTTCATTTCCCCTCTTATTTCCATTCTTCGATACCTACACAGCTACTATGTACATACCACGAGCCGTCGAGTCCTTTTTCCATGTGTTACGCCGCACGGCTACTCGGTACGTCTTCGCATCACCATGTAGTATCCGATGGGACATGGGGCGAACGGCAGGGCTATCTAGACCAGCTACCTATCCTGGTAAGTTGCAACCGTCCAGCGATGGCGAAATGGTCGTAGTCATGGATGTGGCAGATAGAATTAATGGTTAATGTAGGTACTATGCAGTAGAACGAGTCACCATCGGACGCGATTTGATGATCCCGGCAGTGTTCAGTTGTTGATGTTGCCTAGCAGCAGCAGCAGCTTGAGCTTGGGTGTTGATCTTTGATCCACTCTGTTAATACTGTTAAAGATTCCCGGATTTCTTTTTATTTTGGTTCTCTTCCTCCATCACCAACCTTCTCTGCATCGCATCTTGAACATCTGCAGCTACCACCGTGCTCAGAGTCTTGGCGAATGTGAATTGGATTTGAACAAATCTTTCTCTCGTTCAATTGGTTTTTTTCATAATTCAATTCTTTTTGTGAATAGCTACGACACAGCATGCATTGGTACAAGCTTGCTGCCGGACTTATGTCCGTCGCTTCCGTCGCAGAGGGTAGACGGAGCTTCCAGCATGTTGGCAAGCGAGAGCCGACACCGAAGTCTACTCATCTGGACGGTGAAAGTGCCCTTGAGCACTTCTTGGCTACGCGTCAAGTCCCAGCGGCTAAGTTTGCCAACGCGAATACTACCAGTAAGAAACGCCCATGTCTAGGTACTATATACGGAACATTGCGCATAGCTAACCGGTGATATCATCGCATCAATAGAGTATGCTGTCAATGGCACTGGAATTCCTGACGTCGACTTTGATGCTGGCGAGTCCTACTCGGGTTATCTGCCTATCACAGACAACCCTGACGACACCGACGAGCTGTTCTTTTGGTTCTTTCCTTCCTCTGCCACTAACTTCACAGAGAAGGAGATCCTTCTGTGGCTCAACGGAGGTGTAAGTAGTACCCTAATTCTTACTTGTAATAGGTAACTTATTATATTTAAATACTCTATTCTAACCAAATGCTTATGTAGCCCGGCTGCTCCTCCTTCGAGGGGTTGATTCAGGAAAACGGCCCGTTCATATGGCAATACGGTACTCTGAAGCCAGTACCTAACCCTTGGTCCTGGAACCGTCTTACGAACGTGGTCTGGGTAGAGCAGCCCATCGGCACCGGATTCTCTCGTGGCAAGGTTACCGCGACTAGCGAAGAAGATGTAGCCGCACAGTTCCTGGGATTCTGGAAGAATTTCATCGACCTATTCGAGCTCCAGGGTTACAAGGTTTACATCGCAGGTGAATCTTATGCCGGCGCGTACTGCCCGTACATTGCGTCTGCCATGCTGGACAAGAACGACACCGCGTATTACAACGTGTCGGGTATGATGATCTATGACCCAGTTCTCGGCGACGGCGTGGTTCAGGACTCAGTCACCACGGTTCCTTTCGTGGACTACCACCACAACCTCATGTCGTTCAACGATTCGTTCAGCGCGTACATCCACGGTCTCCACGACTCCTGCGGTTTTGCTGACTACAACGACAAGTACCTCGTGTACCCGCCTTCAGGTCCCCAGCCTCCGGATTACTCAGACAGCGTCAGCAGAGAGTGCAGAAACCTATGGAGCGACGTGCTAAACGAGGCACTAAGCATCAACCCCTGCTTCGATGTCTACCAAGTCGCAACCACCTGCCCACTCCTATGGGACATCCTCGGCTTCCCGGGAACCATTGACTACCTACCAGAAGGCGGTTCAATCTACTTCAACCGCACCGACGTGAAGACCGCAATCCACGCCGACCTCGACACAACCTGGGAAGCCTGCGCCTCCTCCAACGTCTTCGTAGGCGGCGACTCCTCGGACCCCTCCTCCTGGGTCGTCCTCCCACACGTCATCGACGCAACCCAAAACGTCATCATCGGCCACGGCTCCCTCGACATGATCCTCCTACCCAACGGCACCCTCCTCACAATACAGAACACAACCTGGGGCGGCAAACTCGGCTTCCAATCCGCGCCCACCGAGCCCTTCTTCGTCCCCTTCCACACCCTCAGCACCGCCGACGACATCCAGTCCTCCACCGACGAAGTCGCCCTCGGATCTATCGCGGCAGCAGGTGTCCTCGGAACCGCACACACCGAACGCGGACTCACCTACGTCTCCGTCGATCTCTCAGGCCACATGATCCCGCAATACGCGCCCTCCGCCGCGTTCCGCCAGCTAGAGTTCCTGCTCGGCCGCGTCGATAGTCTGAGCAGTCTGCAGCCGTTCACCACGGAGCCGGACTACCCGCAGCCGCCCGCGAGTTCGCTCGGAAACGGAACGGGTCCCGCGACGTATTCTTCCGGAAGCGCGAATAAGAGTTCGGATGGAAGCGACACGCAGGCTAGCAAGAAGAGTTCGGCTGCGAAGTTGAGGATTAGAGGGGTGGGCGCGGCGGCTGCGGCGGGGGCTGCTGTGATGGGTTACTAGGTGTGACCTGCCAGCTACTCGAAGGGTATACGTGTATAATGGATGGTATGCCTGTTTTATAGCCGTGTAGGGTATCTCCTGATGGTTAAATGAGCCGTGCAGTGAGATGAAATGAAATGAAATTAATGAATTAATTCTATGCTTTCTTGAAGTGATAAGTTACTTGTGATGAGCTCTGGTCAACGCGAACTAGGTCCTAGTTTGATAGAAGGAAAGGGGGGCGAGTTACTGGAGTGCTATAGGTACCTGCCTACCTGTAATGGGAACATCCCACTTATGGGAATAATTCTAAATAGCCTCAAAGTATTACATGCATAAGAATGATTTAATTGGAAGAAATGATTCTACGATTGCTACAATAATTCTATAGTCGATCTAATGATTCTAATTGTTACATGCATAGGAATGATTTAATTGGAAGTAATGATTCATAACTGATATAATGGTTCTATTATTTAAACTTGAAGTTGTTACAATATTCACCTAGGTATTTTAACTGTAATAGGTTCGATTATTCGATTCAGTTCGATTGGTATACTGTTGCATTGCTTCATTAGTCGGCTGCTTGATTGATAGATTGATAGATTGATATATTTACCTTATATTGGAAAGTGCCCAGGTACGTAGATTGAAAGGTTGGGATATTGGTAGGTAGGTAGGTTAGTGCGAATAGTAGTAGAGTTAAGCATGCCCACATTGTCATGATAGGGGATACTGCATGTCGTGTGTAAACGATGAAATTACTTTCAGAGTACCATAAAGACAAAATACACAGTAGCCGCCTTGAGAAGTCATGATTGTTGAAATATCGTAATGAATTGATACATGAGGGGAGTAGAAAAAGCGAACTACACCATGTCCTACCCAACTAAGTCGTATCAGAGGAATCATAGGGCATCACCCGACTCGTCAAATCAGCCTCCCGCCCGTCCTCTCCCCCTTTCCTCGTCGCTATGGTATCAGCCCAAGTTACATTCGTTCGTTCGTTCATGATGAATTCGAGAAACCCCCCTCCACATTTTTGCTTCCCCTCCTAGCTTAGTCCCCAACGCCTTGCTAATTTTGAAATTCCACATTTGGATATACAGGTTTTGTGACAGTGACCGAATAAATCACGGTTCCAACAGGGCCTTACCCTCCCGTCGCTTGAGTTCCCTTAGCTCCCGCAACACGGAGAGGACGCCATTGTTCCGCAATCGTTCTAGGACGATTTTCATCCCGTCCCTTGACTTAATCATTTGGTCGTCGGTCTTGTTGGATGCGATGGACTCGATGCTGCGCTGGATCCGCTTGGCTCCCCAGCCAGAGATCCATTCGCCGAATCGCCGCGGGCTATGATCCTCGCCTTCATCGATGGATTCATCCACCGCCTTCTCATGCCTTTTACCGCCACCCAGGGTAGATCGGTAGGAAAACGTGGTCGTGACGAAGGTGTTGGGGGTCAACGATCGGGGAGTTTTGTGGGACACTGCCAACGAAGGCTGGTCGGGAGGAGTCACAGAGTAATGCTGCTGCTCCACTACACTCAATACTCCCGTATAGTTCAGGTTTTTGCTCTCAGTCTTCATCCAGCCTTCTTTAATATCTACGACGCTAGTCTCGAGGACGTAGCTTGACTTATCGCCACCTCCGCCCGTGACACTGCTTGGCAGTAATTTTACCACAGCCGACGGCAAACGAGTCTTTTTCATATGGATGCGGGTCGTGTGCAGTCGACCGGTTTTGGGGTCGACTTGCGACGAGATGGTGTCGGTGGAGAGGACATGGCTCGAGAAGGGATTCAGCTGAGGCGAGTAGTACCTTAGGAAGAAGGCGAGGGTGACGGTCGGAAATGGGTGAGAGTAGGCGTGGTTGGTGGTGTGGGTGAGGACCATTTTGATAGTGGCGAGTTTGTCTCTCTTTCAGTTCAATTCGAATATCGATAGCTTGGCCGTAATATTGAAGATTGAAGCGGGGTAGAGTAGATCAGGTAGTCAAATATGTCAAAAGGGTCTCGTCAGGTTCCGATTATAGACGTCCCTGTGTCTCGGATACTTATATCGACATGAGGCTGGTTCGCTGAGGTTTCGATGCTGTTGCCTCGAAACCGTTCACAGAATTCACTATTTTCTCTTCTTTTTTTTCCACTTCCCTTTTTAAAACAATTGAAGTATGTTTGGCCTTCAAGAGAGGCAAGTTCAATAAATATTTAAACACTCATGAGCAATTATTGAATTGTTCGAGCGACTTAGCTATGTAATAAAGAAAAGGGGAAGAGAAGTAAGAGGAGGGGGCGGAAGACGGAAGGCGGAAGATGGTGATGCCAGGTGATGCGATGATGTGTGTGTTCTGTGTGGTGGATGGTTGGTTCATGGCCTGTTGGAGCGAACTAGAGCGAGTAAAATCATCGCAGAACATTCGACCGCCGACAAATCCGTCCGAGCCCCGACGTAAAAAGTCAATTTTTAATCTACAATACATTGATCCGACTCGCCGATCGAATAGCCCACAGCGCTTTTGATTGGTTAAACTCTCTTCAGAATGCGGGGAAAGCTTAGTCCTTAAGTGGCAATGCCCAACCTGTATCATTTCAACCAATCAGAATTTAGCATATTCACACCTTACATTACCTCCATATGCAGCCTCTAGGACTTACTGTAGAGTGAGCTTCGTTCTGCTTACCCCTTCTGACAACTCGACGACGATCCGGACAAAGAATCCAATCGAGATGGGGTCCAATGCATATTTCTTATTCTTTGTTTTCTTGGTAGCAATTTCTACTTTCGAAGGAACTGGTCATATGACATTCATACCCGGCAAGACCAATGATATCAGCAACATCTTCTAGTCAGCAATAACGCACGTGGTCATATTGAACCCGTCAACTCAGACTATGAGCCATTGGTTGGATATTTGTATAACGTTAGGTAACTTCAATGTTAGTCTTCAAGGTTTCTAAGTATTGTTATATTTTTATTCTTTGTGCAACGTTTAGTATTACTAAGGAAACTTGAACCAATCTGGTCGCAACTGCATCAAGTCCGATGTACATGGCTAGTTTCAATCAAAGTGTAAAAATGAGGATTCAAATCTCCATTCGAATACAATTGCGCGTCCTCATACGACAACATTTGATGTTCAGAATCAAGTGAAACGGTATATATATATCTGAATTATATATCATTCTTTATCTTGTCCTACCTTCAATGTCTCACTATGGTATGTTTGACATTCAAGTTGACGAATGTTCGTTTACCTCATGCCACTTTACGGCTCTATCACGTGAACGAGATACACAGGATCAAGATTGAAGATTGTACGAAGTACATACATGTACAAAGTACTTTGCACTCGATTTGTAATGAAATGCGATTGAATGTTGATTGGTCAGCCGCCACTGTGGCGCGAGCTCCCCTGTAAACCCGATTAGATCCGGAACGAGCCGTTTACATCACTGATTCAACAATTCAACTTTTTCAACTGCATACGATAAACCGGTTTGAAGGAATACTATCGAGCATTGTTTGTCATAACTGGGGACAGCACATCAAGATGTTTTCACGACCTCTATTCTCGGCGGTATGCCCCACTTGAATCTCTTGAATCTATCGTCTACCATCTATGTCGAGAAATCAAGAACCCATTATGACTAATGCCTCTTTCGACGCCAGACGCTGCGACAAGCCGCTCGTCCTTTAGCTCGGCCGGCCGCATATAACCTCAGACCTGCACCATTCTTAACATCCTTCCAACAACGACTACTATCTGACCAGACGAAACAAGCGATCGAGAAAGCCGTCGCATCCGCTCCCGTAGTCTTGTTCATGAAGGGGACACCCGAGACACCCCAATGCGGTTTCTCCCGCGCCAGTATCCAGATTCTTGGTTTACAAGGCGTTGACCCTAACAAGTTCGCTGCCTTCAACGTTCTAGAAGACTCAGATCTCAGATCAGGTACGGATGACCCTTTGATATCATAAGTCGGTGGAAGTAAAATGGAAATAAAATTCGCAACTGACTTGGCGATTGTTGGAATAGGTATCAAAGAATTCTCCGACTGGCCTACGATTCCGCAACTATATATCGATAAGGAATTTGTCGGTGGATGCGATATCCTCGTTTCCATGCATCAAGATGGCTCGCTAGCCAAGATGTTAGAAGAGAAGGGCGTCCTAGCTCCAATAGAAGGGGCGTCCGATTCTAAGGAATGAAGATTTCGAAAGACAAGAACAGTAGAATAGATCATCGGATAACCAGACATGGCGTGCACAACCTGGTTGTATATTCAGATATTGAGCATATGTACTTTATGGACGAGTACTTGGCCGGATCAGCTAATGAAGTCGAACATGATATAATGACCAAGTCATGCATGGGACGTAAGGGACATACATACACGTGTGGCTATATGAGAAGACGACGCATAGAATCTTACAACACAAAACTTGAACTCATCTCAATTTAATTTTCTCGCTATACTTTGGGCCTGTATTTACTTGATTGCTAACTGCCACTTAGTTTCACGCTGAAAACCACACTCCTCTAAATAAGGATAAAAATAGGGACACCAATCCCAAACATCATAGAGGATACGCAGCGCCGTCACTCCTGGGATCGCACCCGGCAGACCAAACGCCAACACCCTCAACTGGATCCACACTCCACCGAATAATCTGCCCCCTCCCAAACATCGCCCTCTCCATATCCGCCACAACCTCGACTTGATGCCCCAAAGCCTTCAACCCCTCCACCGTCTCAAGGGGCATCCCTTCCTCCACATGCACCGTCTTATCCCCCTTCCCCTGGCTCCCACCAGGCCCGATACAAATCCTCGGCGCATCAAGCGCCTGCTGCGGACTCAACCGTCCCACAACCTGCCCAAGCAAAACCTGCACATGGCCCTGCGGCTGCATGAACCCGCCCATAACGCCATACACGCTGTGCAAACTGCCATCGTGCAAATTCGTCACCAACGCCGGGATGATCGTATGATACGGCCTCTTCCGCGGCGCCAGCACGTTCGCATGTCCGGCCTCTAAACTAAAGTTCGCCGCCCGGTTCTGCAGCGTGAATCCGCATCCGCGGGGGACTATACATGACCCGAACCCCCCGTAGTTGCTGTTGATGAAGGAGATCGCGTTCCCGGAGCTGTCGGACGCCGCGAAGTATACGGTGTCGCTGCTTTGTAGCGCGGGTGATCCGTGGGTTACTACATCTGATGCTTTTGTCGCGTCGAAGAGCGCGGCGCGGGATGCGAGGTAGGGTTGTGAGATCAGGGAGGAGGTGGGTACGACGGTTTCGTTCGGGTCCGCGACGAACCACGTCCCGTCTGCGAAACTGATGCGCAGTGCTTCGATCACGGCGTGTAGGTACGGAGCGGTGTTGAAGTCTGCGGGAGTGAAGGTTGGGATTTTGCCTTGTGCTTCGAGCTCTTGGATTATTCCTAGCGCCATTAGGGCTACGATTCCTTGCCCGTTTGGTGGGTGTTCCCAGAGCTCGAGGCCGAGGTCTGTAGACGAGGTGGAGACGCTGTCTTTGAGTAGCTCCTGTACGTTTTGGCCACGGAATTTAAGCGAGATCGGATCGACGGGCTCGGTACCCGTGGCGAGGTGGTGTGCCAGGTCGTCTAGCTCCAGGTGCCCGCCTAGGTCTTGGATTACTTTGACCAATTCGGTCGCGATCCGTCCGGAGTAAAAACCCGCTTTACCTTCCGTGGCTAGGGTTCGGAAGGTCTGTGCCAACGCGGGGTTCTTCATTATCTCCCCTGCTTTGGGGGCACGCGCGCCGTCTTTTGCGCTGGCGTCCTTTTTGAGTAGTTCGCTGCCGTTGGGAGAGGCAGTACGGATTTGCGCCTCGGATGCGTCCCACTGCAGGAGTATGAATATGAATGCCCGTGACTGGGATTAAGGGGAAAGGGAAAGGGGCTTCTGCTCACCCAATACGCGACCCCTTCGGCAACAGGGAAGCCCTTCTCACCAAGCTCAATTGCCGGTGCTAAGATCTGCTCCATCGTCACCTTACCGCTGCCGAACCGCTCGACGGTGTCGACCCATCCGGCTGCTGCTCCTGGGACAGACACGGCATGCACGCTATCCATCGGGATCTTGCCTGATTCACCGTCCTTGAGGCCTAGGGAGCCGCGGATGGTCTCAAGAGTACACTTGTTCCCCGAGCGACCTGAGCCGTTCATGGCAGACACCTTTTTTGTCTTGGCATCGTAGAACAGGCAGAACATGTCACCGCCTATGCCCGTCGAGCATGGCTCCGTCATGTTAAGACCAGCGGCTGGAAGATCTCGTTAGCATGCCGAATTTGGTTCATATCGTGTCGTATTATAAGACATACCAACAGCTACAGCCGCATCCTGAACAGATATGTGAGTATTGCTACTAGTAATCGTTTAAGGTATCATATGTATGTGAGCACGTACAGCACAGTTTCCACCCGCTTCCAGTACCTCGATGCCGCATTTCGCCGCTAGCGGTTGCGAGCATGATACGATGCCCTTGGTACTGTGGACTACGCTTCGACGGCTGGCGAATTTAGAAAACACATGCGATTCCGGGGGAAACACGGATGACGTTGTAAGAGGCATGATGATGTTTTGCTGCGTATTCGTACCGTCCAATTCGCGGGGTATCAGTCAAGCCACCAAGAAACTAGGGATTTAGTATCGTCAAAGTGAGACAATAGGGAGAGATACTTTATAGGTATATGTATTTTTTTCTAATAATGTTGAAGCTAATGTTTCGGGCAGATGGTAATCGACAACGGCGTGAATATGCGATTGACGATTGACTCTATCTTTTGCGCTTGCGCTTCTACCCGAATATCTAACCATCCTCGGTAAATAGTCAATAAATGACTGATAGATAGCCCAGCTCTGTTATAGCGTGCTCGGCGCCCCGAGTTTCGGAGCCTTCCGATTGTGACGTTTTCGGCTACTGGTTCGGGATTAAAAGTATTAGCACCAATTAAAAACAGCAAGTGATACCTTAAGAACAAGAGATATCAAGTAACTACCTACTATGTAATCTCAAACCGCGTAGTCTGTTCTTTCCATGCTATAATCATCCCCTACCCCCTTCCCCGCTCAACAATCCCGCGCCGCAGCACGCCGCTCCAGCGCACCTTCCGCCCCAAGCTCCGTTCCGGCGCAGTATATACCTCGTCAAACGCAACCAAAACACCGGAGTCAACCACCCCAGCCTCGTCCTCCCTACCTATGTAGGCACTATACATGCCGGGGATCCGGACCAGCAGTCATAAGCCATCACTATTTTCACTAACGCAGTGAGATGGTTCTCGTGTCTCACATACCCCAATGTCTCTGATCCGCGCCTCCGCCACTTTATGGCGCCAGCCCCGCCCTCTGCCGAGGAGTTACTTGTCCCCGACCACCACGGCAGGAAAGGCAAGAATCGGAATGATCGGATATTGGCTGTTGCCTAGACGAGCGCCTCAAGCCACTGTCGCTATCACGGACATCCCCAGAACCCGTTGGATTAGTGGCGGTGTTAGCGGACGTGGCGGAAGGCACGCTTGTTAGATCCTTGGGTCGCCGAAGTACTTGTATATGCTAAAGCCGATCGACGAGCCCGTGGGGATTAGGTATGTTTCTAATGGTACGATGCCGGAAATCGTGAGCGGGATGCTGCCACGAGGTGTCTACGATTTTGTCATTGGCGGTTGGCTGGCTGTAGGTCTAGTGTGCGGGGACGAGAGGCGTGGCGCTGAGGATGGCCGGTATTATGAGGACGGTTTTAGACATATTTTTCGTTTGGCTTAGTTTGAGGTGAGTATAAGTCAGGATAGGTACTAGGTAGGTAGGTACCTAGTACCTACCTAGTAGTCAAGTACGTCCAGATTAATGATCCGGATGATTGACTGCATGCCCCTATTCAGGCCTAAATACGACTATTCCATAAACACGTTTAAACTACGGGTCATATTACAATGTCATGGAATCATATACACCAGCGCAGTACATTCATATTTGACAGCTACGTAGGTGAGGTACCTACCTAGGTATCTAATACCTACGAAAATAACCTGGCAAGGAAGTAGAAGATGTAAATTCGACTTTGTTACCGGTTGCTTGGCATATACAGCTCATCCTTATGACAACACAATACAACTGCCAACGTTGGAACCTTGAGCAGATATAATCGCGTAAGGGATCTTCCAGAGGGCTTAATAGGGCTCTACCCTTGCCATTCTGCGTCGATGATCCATCTCATAGCATCTGGCGGGTGGCGGGCACCTAGATACTTGAAACGGGGATCAGCCTGGCGAAATAACTCGGGCCATTCTTTAGATCCTCGTTCCTTCGCGTTCAGGAGCTGCAGCATTCCTATATCCATGATACTTATAATCATTAGTTATGCGTAGTATAATGCGTTGCGAGAGGCTTACATTGTTCTTCGGGCATCTGCTTTGTTCACAATCGCAGTATCTGGCATCATACGGTCGTGAATCACAATCTTGGCACCGGGTTTAAGAACAGGTATGAGGTTCCGGAGAATCTGGATGCAGTACTTGTCGGCCCAGTTGTGGAAGATGCAGCGGAAATAGTACACATCGCCAACTACTGTCTGCTTGTTAAAGAAGTTGCTGGGAAGTCATTGTTAATACTATATCTTCCCTTCAGGTCAGCATTATGAGCAACTTACTGTGGCATGAATGTGACCCTGTCTTTGAGTTCGGCGGGTAATCTAGCAGCCCCTTCCTCCACATGGACCTTTAGATCTTGGACAATACACTTCATGTTAGGGAATCGCTTAGCAAGACTGATAGACATGCTGCCGTGCGACCCTCCGACGTCTACAACCGTCTCGTCGCCTTTCCAGGGATAATTATCCGGCAGTAAATTAGGCGGGTCTATGTCTGCGAAGAAATATTTTCCAAAATTTTCCGCACGAGCAGGGTCTTCAGCAAACGTCTCATACATGCTTTTATCGGTATTGTGGGCGAGGTTGAACCCCTAAGGTATTTGATTAACGTTTCTTCCATGTATACCTAGACTTCTCAATCTGAACTCACAGTTTCGGTGTTCTCTTCGGAATTCGGCCACTTTTGCAGTGCATCGGCCAGCTAACCAGGTTAGTATGTACCTAGTGGTCTCCTATATATCGTTGGTAATTACCTTGGTTGCCGCAGGCCAGAATTCGTCTAGTTCAACCAGGAGGGCGGCCCGCGCCATCTCATCACTAGCTGTAATGGCTGTAAGGATTGAGTGGGTGATCACGCCTGGCGTTTTCTCTAGAAATAAATTATGGTTGATGATGGCGTGCCTGACGATTCGCTGAATGTTGCTCACACTCAGACCGGAGAAGCTTGACATTGCTTCGAACGAGGTAGACTCGCCTATAGGAAACGACTTGTCTAGGTTGAAGCGAATAATTGTTTTAACGCTGGAATATGCAGTCCACTATAGATATCGGTCAGAACGTGCACTGGTTGGGGAAGAAGTTCCATTTACATCAGATCGCAACAAGGTCTTTGGACCAGTCACTAATGCTTTCAGCTCAGTGCAAGCTTCCATGATGGCTACCCGAGACATCTGCAAATCTTTGGCAGACTCTGGTATAGGCAGAGTCCAGAGCGCATCGGCTTCAAGAGAGGGCGTAGGCAATCCATTCTCGGTAAAGAAACTGTCAAGTTTTGCAGTCTCCCTAGCAATAGTCGAGGAAAGCTCGACAATCCTATTCGGAGAAGCCATTAGTGAGTTATTTAGAAGAAAGTACGGCGAAGTTAGTATAAAATCTTTGGTATATTCTGAAAGTCTAGTTGATACGAAAAGAGTGAGATGAGATAGGTAGTTAGGACAAAGCCTTAGGGGCCTTAATCTAACTTAAATAATGCTTACCAGGTATACATGTCTATCTATCTCGAAAGCGGTACCGAGATACATAGTGCAGGAGTGACCTACATGTATATGTAGGTCATGCTAGTCCGCGTGGCTCTGTGAGACAGAACTCGAGCAAACTGATGTCATTCAGTATACGTAAGCGCCTCGCCGGTGCGAATACGTCGAATTTAACTACATCAACTCATGATATCGGAAGAGGCCAAGCCAATGAATATGCAATTCAATTTGTAGATTTTTTTGTAAATAGGGCTGAGTACTGTTAGACATTTATTAATTATTTCGATGAATACATACTCCTATCCCGGTGGGTGCTTACATATCAGAGTTGCATCTTCACGTTCCTTGCAGGGAACGAGATAGATATATCCCTTCCTAGCTAGGCATGATCTTCCATTCGGTTAAGCGGATAGTTCCTCTAGGATCTAAGCTTTGATAAAGTGACATATCGTATGTATGTCTCACCCAGCGGAATATAATGAAAGGGATGTGATTTGCTATATTAATCGGCATATCAGACAATGTTGTAGCACTGCATCAGACTCTTGATTTGGAATTGGCTTTACCAAACCTTGCTGCATATAGGTAGATAGGTATCCATTGGATGTATAAGAAGCAAATAGCAGATTGGTCGATTTTGGAAAATTCTGTCAACGCTTTGGTGCTAGGAAACTTTGGTGGGAGTAAGGGAGAATCCACGCTCCCTTTTTAAATCTCGCCCTTCTCACGAACCCCTCGATGACGTCATGATTCCGAACAATATAAATTGCTTGTCGACGGCGAGGTTGCTAGTTTTATTGTTACGTGGAAAGATGTAAGATAAAGAACCACGAATCCAAGTAAGTCTTAATACAAATATTTCTTTTTGAAAAAAAAAAAAATCTAGAGCTTATTTAAGTCTGTCTGTACTTTGCGACCGATTCTACCAACAGCGTTAATGACAGAACACATTTACTCGATACTTCGGATTATTCAGTTAACACACTTAAAATAATGAATGATTTCTAGTTGATGTCCATATTGTGTGGGTATCTAGTGGTGTGCATGAAAGCCGGTATGCGACTTGCACCATCACTGTATGGTGAACTACTACGGATGTCGAGAACCATTGCTGATATCTCAAAGGATTGAGATCTGTGCCATGACTGAGCCTTTCGTCAACAATGTATAAAAAGGCGCTTGGGTCTCCCATCTCAAGTCAATATGTGCAAGTTACGAAGACATGATCCTCATACCTTGGGATATATGAATACCTATGGATCAACTAAGAATCCTTTACAGTGAATGAGACAAATATACCTTTTTACTTCATATCAGGTATTTAATACATATACATCTAAGATATTTGTTAATTGAGTTTAATATAGAGGAGTGATGCTGAACTTATTTGAGCGCAGTTGATTTATGAGTTGAGGGGTTCTCGGATCGATACAACCTTTTTCCGCTGGACTCAGACTGTCGCCAGTGCGAATGACGATACTGTACCAATTTGGGGATCTTGGTGATTGGCTAACGTACATTCGGGACATCTAGGTACGGATTGCATCCCGTTGACTCCGCCGATTCTGGTACTAATACCATTACGGTTAACACAATATAAAGCCTCACGTACTATTACTAATTTGAATCAGAGGTGGCGTCTTACAGCGTATGTTAGTTTGAGGGATGAGTGCCATCTCATTTCTATTATGTAATTCATATCCTTCGTAGGTAGTATTGATAGTTGTCACTAAGAAAACATCTCGTTGAATGAGATAACTCCATTCAGCCGAGATCGCAAGTTTCCAAAGTCTAACTAGGTAGGCGTTGGTATAAACACACATTTTATATCCGCCGACGGAATACTATTACTTCGGGGTTTATAGATAGGTAGGTACGTTAATATATGAAAGGATATAGGTAGGCACTAGGTAGTTATCTTTGAGATAGGGGAGAATCTTGGCAGTCACCCTTGGTTGGAAGTTGTGTGGTGTTCTCGCTGAGCCGCATAGGTTTTACACCGATTAGACTTTCCGGGTTTAAGATGCCGATACGGGCGTTAGGTAGATATATGGGTTTCTCAGAGAACAGTGATTTGATATCATTGTTACTTGACGATTGTGTGGCATTACATAGAGGAATGGAACATCTACGATGTAAAGAGATAATAGAAAGGAAATAGAATGATAGTTGGGCTTGGTTGGTGTATCGTCCTAATCCTAATCGCCTTTGATGTCTGGTGGAGATGATGCCCAGATAAAATAGCAATTTTGAATCTCCGCAAGGCTTATGATCTGCAGAAAACCTCAAAGCTCATTGGAAGCTGAGTTGGCCCCATACTCAGCGTGCTTTCTATGTATGTTAGATGGACACATCGTGGACTCATTCTCGAACGATAGAACACCACGAATCTGGAAAATGGGAATCGGTGAGTGCAGCAAGATGTTCACGGTGGAATCGCATCCATGACGTTGCAAGCTGACAGCAAGTTTCCCCAGTACCTGATAACCAAGACAGGGGTTTTCACATCTGTGACCGCCGACTTGACAACGCATCCTCGGCTAACATCTGAATGCCTCCTACCCGGTATCCATGCCGCATAACATCTGAAGAATGCAAAATCACGTGCAAATGTTACATAGAAGTCGATCTTCCTGCCCAGCCAACATCGAAGTAGATCTGATTGGTTGAGAAAAGGGATTAGGGAGACGAAATAGTAATAGGTTGCGGTTCAAGCTCTTGAAAATGCCGAAAACGTGAGACTAGTTACGAAGTAAGTAGAGATAAAATCTCACAGGTGCTTGATCAGATGTCGGTAAAGTATTGCCTTCATGCAGGTCTATATGCGGTCATCAAGCCGAAAGACGGGAATTTCCAGGGATATTATTAGGTTTTTCCAGCCTGCAGAATACGCTTCTGAACGCCCTGTAGAATTGCCAAGTATGATCGTGCGCGTTGCAGATGTACGCTGTATGTAGGACTGAGAGGTTTTAAACCTTGATGCTGCATCTTCGACCGCCATTACAGTCTGATGAAGTTTGCTTACTATGTACTGTAGAATATGGCTGTATGGTTGTCTATTTTGGTTGTTTAATATTATTTGCTTCGTCCAACTTCGACAAGCACAAACGACGAAGCGAACCGGGTTTGATAGGAGGCCTCATTCCGAATGTTTCCATTGGCTGATTGTGGAGATAATAATGGAGATCTGGAAAGAATCTGGAGATAGTAAAAGGAGATAATTTTGTTGTCCACGCATGGGAAATTTTCGCATTTCTCATCTTGATAATAAAAATGTGTGACAAGGGTCTGAAAAAAAACCCACCTAGAATTTTTTGTATGAAGCATCATTGGTCAGGATCGACAAGCATCCCGGCGCACTAAAATTTTGCAACAAGGATTGGCTCGTTTGAGTTCCTTGGATCTAAATAAGGAAACTTAGTTAGATTTGGTTTAGTAGGGCTCAAACTATAGAAGTCTGACCATCTTACGAACCGTGCTGGCATAGGCTGGTACAACAACTAGAATAGCTGGTGAAAGATGACCCGCTTTCCAAGACCCAAACCCTACAAACCCCAGGACCCCTATCATGAAATACCCATGAAATAAGAGGATCATGAGAGGACCCGGCAGAACGTTGAGGTTCTCCTCAACGAAGATTTGCGTTCCAGACCCCCACGTGTAACTCGTAAGAGATTTAGTGGAGTATCGTGAAATATCAAGCAACCCCTATTCCTCAAAGGTACCTAGGTCCTGTTACTATGTAAGTACTAGGGTCTTGTTAGGTAGCTTCGTACAGGGTTGGCGGGTAATAAAACCAGCGATAAGATTTGTCTGAGGAAAAATTTCTGCAAACATTCAAAACGAGGGCGGTGAGATCGAGAAGTTCTTTCTTTTCTCTATTTCTAGAGACTGGTGAAAGAGTGCTGGAATCGTAGTAGACGAGAACTATCGCAATTCGCTGGCCGTATTCCTGTTGATTCAGTCAGGACTGAACCTTCATCATGTCGACGATCACGCAGGTCGAAGTACCTGCCGTAAGGGCTCGCACAGGTCAATTGGTGAGTGAGGAAGACGCGTGCTAATCCAGACGAATGCCTCCGTGTATATGCTAACACGTGGCAGAAACTCAAGGCAGAGCATGCGAAGCAGGAGTTTCCGGATATCAACACCATCAGAAAGGCTATTCCTCCTCACTGCTTTCAGCCTTCGACGTTGAGGTCACTGTCCTATGTTGCTCGTGATCTCGCTATGGCCGCTGCCCTCGGGTACGCTGCTTTGACATACATCCCGTCTGTGCCTAACCAAGCCTACCGGACCCTGCTGTGGACTGCCTACGGCTTCTTGCAAGGCCTTGCCGGTGTTGGCCTTTGGATTTTGGCTCATGAGTGTGGTCATGGCGCATTCTCGGTCCATCGACACCTGAACGACTTCGTAGGTTGGGTTTTGCACTCAGCATTGGGTGTGCCGTTCTTCTCGTGGAAGTTTTCTCATGCCCGCCACCATCGCTTCACCGGCCACATGCAGAAGGACATGGCCTTCGTCCCAAGGACGAGCCCGTCGGTCTTCATGCAATCTCTAGCGAGTATCTTCAGCTTCGTCGATATGGATGTTCTAGAAGATGCACCTTTCATCAACTTGATTCGTCTGCTAGGTCAGCAATTGGGAGGATTCCAGATTTACTTCCTCCTAAACGCGACGGCTGGAGAAGACAGCATGCAGAACATGGACGCCAAATGGTGGAGACGCAGCCACTTTGATCCCTTCAGCGGCGTTTTCCGTCCCCAAGAGGCGCTTTACGTCCTGATTTCCGATCTCGGTCTTGCACTTGTTTGTGCCGCCCTTTACTACGGCTCGATGGCTCTCGATTGGCAGACGGTGTTCCTATTATACGGGGTTCCGTACATCTGGGTCAACCATTGGCTAGGTCAGTTACATATTCCGGAACGAATCCGAGTGGTTAGATGATTAACAGTGTAATAGTGGCCATCACGTACCTCCACCATACTCATAAGGATGTACCTCACTACGATGGTGAGAAGTGGTCTTTTGTCGCAGGCGCTCTTGCGACTGTTGACCGAGACTTCGGTTTCATTGGCCGTCACATTTTCCACGGCATTATCGACACCCACGTCGTTCATCACCTATTCTCGTAAGTAAATCCGATAGACGGGTGCAATGCTCTTGATTTTGCTTTTTGCTTTTGTAGCAAGCTAACAATAGTTAGACGCATTCCCTTTTATTACGCGGAAGACGCTACGCGGGCGATCAAGCCTCTTCTTGGCGACCTCTACCACAGCGACGATCACTCATTCATGGCATCTCTGTGGGAGACGTCCCGTGATTGCCAATATGTGGAAAACGACCCAGCTAACCCTGGTGTTATGAAATGGCACGAATAAATACCTGTTAGGCTTTTCAACTTCGGAGTTGTAGGGCATCATGCATATACATCGACCAGATCATTTTTCTGGCATCGGATATATATAAAAGGCGTCGGCATCGAATAGATATGGCAAATAGACGGGGCAGATAGAATAGAGTGCCATACCTAGGTACCTTGTTGCGTTAATCTGAAATATTCCACCTCGTCGTAGGCGAGAGAGTACACATCTATTATTCGTAACATGCGCCACAAGTATATAGGTATCTGTACAAGGGTGACTTGGTTGTGTACTGACGGGCAATCGATTGGATAATATGAGGAGGCGGCCTTCATTCCGTATTGGGTAGAAAAGAGTATGAAGTCCTACAGCACAATGAGCAGAGCTGAAGGCCGTTACATAGGTACTTCGGCACTTACGGACACATAGTAGGTACCGTACCAGATATACGAGAAGAATCTCAGACCCTCAGTTTCTAGATCTTTGAAGATTCGAACTTGTCTCCAACTATGACATCTTTTCTCCCTGCAACCACGGAACTTTGGTCTTCGTCATCTGGAATCATCGAACGGCCGTTTTTCGACGATACACATGTACAGCCGGTATGCACCCCATGGACCCTAAGTACCTTAGATGTGGAACCGTCGAACTTCATGTCTCACCGATTGATCTGTGTCTCACGTTGCAGCGTTGTACTATACCCGTTGATTTCTTACAGCCGTTTAGTGCAACGCGCGGCCCACTTTCAACCGTAGGATTTACGTTCCAATCGTTGCCAACCTTGAATACAATAAGGTACCTATCATACCTAGGTATGATCCTCCAAAGAAAGAGGCTGGAGCCTAGATCTTCGAAAGGTGTCGATAGTCGGGCTTCACTAGAGGCAAGCCGAATTTCAATAGGTATGAATTGTGCTGACATGCGTCCTAATCGGCGACTATGTCTAATGGTAATGCATATATCATGCATGGCGCAAGAAGAGCAAATTTCGGAAAACGACCGTAAGCGGAATGCTCTGTCTGGTTGACCTAGGTCTGGAGGAGCTGATCCCCAACGACATCATACCCTCTTTCTCATGGCAGAATCATGTTTCTCTCCATTGATCAATCAAACCAATGAACTAGAATTCCCGATTTGTATTGAGAGTAAGCACTTTGTTATGAGCTTTGTACGAGGCTGCGAGGTAGGGATGAACAGCTAACGTCGTTGAAGGGTTTGGTTACAATCGTTGCCATTTTTGGTCCACTGGGACACAAGAGGCTAGCTTCGATCGTCTGCTAGCCAGTAAATCTATCAGAATCAGATTCTGGGATCTGGGATTCCTCGATGAGACCGAACGCCGCGTATGTGCGCCACCTGCGGGATCGTGCCGTGGAAGCTCCCTTCAGGCTTCGACCTCAGCTAGCATCGTGTGCGCCACACGCTATCGCTAAGATGCCACAACGTCCAAAATAGGAAGCATCCGTGCATAGCGTAGTAACTGCACATGTATCATCGACACCATCGTAATGATTTATCATACCTACTCTCGCGTACTGGTACTCACCGGACGTGCCGCCGTCTCTAAGCCCCAGAGACATCGAGTAATCCAATGGCGCTGCATGTTTCTTTTGATACAAAATTGCCTATTGACGGATTTCAACGATGTAGCGATTCTCCCTTCATAACGGAGATTGAGTCGGTTTCCCCGATGCGGAATTCAATATTGCTGGGGGTAGCTGGGGGTAGCTGGTGATCAGCTTATATCTGATAGATGAGACGGCTTGGAAAGGCGTCGGCATATCCTCGAGGAACATTGGAAGTTAAGAGTAGGGGGAACCCCTAAAAGTCCTCAAATATCCTCAAGGAGGCCCCGTCAAAGCTCTCCAGTCCTTCATTAATAGACACCACATGTTGGGACTTCGTAAATTACCGCAAAGTAAGACATCAATGTTATATTCCTATCATACCAGGTATTCATTAATAACTCCTTAGGTCTGCGGAACCGCAGGTCTGTTTCCTCGTCACACTCGTCACAGATTTCTGCGGAAGAGCCAAAGACAGATACAAACATGCCTTCGGCCTTGAATGGTAACCATACCCCTACGGAGTCGATAAAGCAAACCATCACCTCATCTAGTGAGGTTGATGTGAGCGGCTCTACTACCGTCCGTACTACTAGTCACTCCGAATCGAGATCATCGAATCGCATTCAAGTTACACGCACCATCGAAACGACTAGGCGAGTGAGGTCAAGGTTAGTACGCGAACTGGACGACGTGGACGATGCCTACCTCAAGCAGATCGACCTCCAGGTCTACCTGGGGTACATTGCAGATGAACGCATCATCCACATGCCCAAGCGAGGGAGCCAGTGGGATCAAGTGCTGAAGGAAGCCGAATTCTTCGGTCTTCAGATTGACGAATTCACGACGGCGGTGAAAGACTTTATCACTGACAGCACGACTATACGGGATACCGCTCTAGCAAGCTGCTATCTTCTCCTTCAGGTAAGACCTTACCCTTAACCCCCCCCTTACACATAACCTCGACATATTGCTGATGATCTTAGCTCGGCTGTGAACAAGCCCAAGCCCTAGAACCAACTTTCAATACCTTGTACGAGCTAGGTCAACTTCTTGCAAATACTCTCGAGCTCCGATCTCTATTTGTGCTTAGCGAAGGCATCGCGCATGCTCTCGGAGAAGTTATCAACGGTCTCGTATCTCTTCTTGGAGATATTGCTATATTTTATCATCAACGAGTCAGCCGTCTCTCCAAGAATACAGTAATAATCGACTTTGACCGTGAGTTTGGACGCCAACTAGAGGATATATGCTCCAAGAGAGAACAGCTCATCTACACAATTTGGGCCTACAAGCTTGGGAGTAGCCATGGCGCAGGTGACGTAGCGTCGCTGCACCGAGAGCTAGGCTCGACCTACACTCACGTCAAGTCATACATATACGGCCGCACCCAAGAAAAGAAACGCCGTGTGGAGGGAACTTGCGAGTGGCTCGAGGATGACCTCATCGAGTTTCTCGAAAAGGATGAAAGCATCCTTGCTATCACTGGAAGTGCCGGGTGCGGGAAGAGCATGCTCGCATCTTGGGTACGAGATCAGTTGGAGAGACCTGTTGGCCATTTGGACCAAAAACATAGAACTCTCTCTTATACATTTAGTACGTTTGTTCCCTTCGTCAATGATCCTTTCTAACAGAATATACTTAGCTGTTGAGTATCCGGAACATGCAACTTCTGTGGCATTGTTGAGGAGTCTACTCTCCCAGCTTCTGGAGATTAGCATTGGTGATGTCCGCCTCTTCGAGCAGCTATCATCCGTTCTTGCGAAGTTCGATGGTCAGCACAATGCGAAGGAATTCGCCAGCCAACTGTGGACCGTGCTTGACGCCGGCCTAGCAACAGTCAATAGCAAGGGGGTCAATCTCACTATCATTGTTGACGGGCTCGATGAGATCGCTGGCGGGGATTCGGTTGCGCTCGAGTTATACAGGCGCATTCATCAAAGCGTCAAGAAGCTTCCCAAGATCCGCGCCGTCACATTCTCTCGCCCTCTCTCCCATCTTGGCCAACCTGACTGTAAACACCTAGTTGTTACTCCGGAGCACGTTCATGACGACATCCAGCTTTACTTAATTGACGGCCTTTCTAAACGCAGTGCCTACACATCTCAAGCGCACGCAAAGCAACAGGAATTGCTCAGTCAGTTGGTATCTCGCGCAAGGGGTTCATTCCTATTCGCATACTTATCACTGCACCTCCTTGATGCCGGCGTTGATTTTGATATATTTCACAAGTTGATCCATACCATTAAGCCCGACCCTAGCAATAATCATGACAGTCTTCTCAAGGCACTTCTCCTTAAGATCAACCTGGAAGATATTCACATCAACCGCCTATTGACCTTCATGGTGACTGCTGAGCGCCCGCTGCAGCTAGGAGAAGTAGAAGACCTGTTGAAGGTTGACCTCTCTAAGGGCACCGTGTCATCATCCCACATCAATGTCAGGAAAGTGATCTCCGCGACATGTGGGCTCCTTGTTCTACATAAGGGTTCCGTCCGATTCAAGCACTCTGTTGTTCGAAACTATATTCGTGGGCTCTGCGGATCTTCACTTTTATCCCTCAAAGATGCTCACAAGCAACTGACGATGACACTACTGTTATTTTCTAAACAAGTCCTCACACAGCCGTGCGAGCCGTCATTCGATTCTGTAAACAGCACAATCATCGACCAAGTCTATCAATCCCACCCTATCGTTCAGTACACTGTCAAATACTGGATCATGCATTTTCAGCATTCCTCTCTCATGAGCACAAAAGGCGACTTGACGGTTTCACCTGATTTCAAGAGTATTCTCCCAGAATCTACCTTCTTCGTCATGATGGAATGGGTCAGCTGGCAAAGCCAAACTACCTCGCAGTCCATTCATCGCCACGAGTTGGCTTTAAGAATTCGCTCTGCCTGTTTTGGCGAGAAGCACCACAGCGTCCTTCAAAGCCTGATCATCCTTGGTATTCTGTACCGGTCTCAATCAGAATTAGTCAAAGCTGCCGAGTTTTTCTACCATGCTTCCATCATTGGGCAAACTATTTTATATAAATTTAGCCCACTGGTAGTTACCTGCACCTCAGTGTTCTTGGCTTGCACCGAAGAGATTACTTACACCAAACGAACTACGATCGTCACCTACCGTGAAGAGATGATGCGCTTCTATATAGAAGTGTGTCAGGGACAGCACGGCGCAAACTCCGACCAGGTCATTCGATTATATGAGTCGCTAGTTCAGCTCTACCGAAATATCCAAGAGGAGCATATGGTAGCTGTCATTCTCAAGGAACTCCATGAAATCGTCGTGATCCGATTTGGACGTGGGTCTGACCGAGAACGCGGGCTCACTAAGGAGCTGGCTAAAATGAAGGTTGTCCTCAAGAAAGGAGATACCAAGGAAGATAAAGATCAATATGAAGATCTTCTCTTTGAAGCCAGCGAAGAAATGGAGCTCACTGATGAACTACGGTTGACCATCATCCTTCGTCTTGCCGAGACCTATGAGAATCAGCATCAATTCCTCCTCGCGGAGAAGTTGTATGTTGCTCTCTGGAGCCGCATCTGTACAGCCTGTCGGCAGAAGACAACTGCCGAACTTCAGATGGCACAACTCAACATCGCTCTGAAGTATGTCGAATTCTTGCGCCGTCATAAGCGTGACAGTGAAGCCTGTAACATTATGGTTTGTGTCTGGGCCGAATATGAGCACCGTTCGTTTGAGTCCAAGGAAATTGTTCTTCAGCTGAAGAAGCTTTCGGTACTGTTCAGATCATTCGGCATGCTTGTCGTGTCTGTATCGATCCTTAATAGAGCCTGGGGTTGGTTCAAGGAGCATAAGATGACTGAGACTGAAGAAGCCGCCGAGACCACGACTATCATCACTGAAGTAGTTGAGGAGATCACAGAGACTACTACCGAAGTCACTACCACAACAACGGAGACCGAGTCCATTACCCGCGATGTTTACGAGACGACCTACACGCGAGCTAAGTCCGGAAAGGTGGATCGCCACTTCTTCAAAGCCTCTTTGGCTCTGGTCAGCCTTCACATAAAACAGGAAAAATGGTCTGAGGCCGAAGTCATTCTTCGACAGTCGCTGGAACTTGTGTGGAAAGGTGTTTTCTCTGTAGACGAGAAGCTTACACTCGAAGGAAGCTACATATCTGAGACAGTAGGAACAGCATCACGTCTTGCTCTTTGCTATCATAAGCAGAGGAAGTTCGACAAGGCGGAGCAAATCTATGTCCGTGTCTGGAAGACATGCCTTACTTCATTGAAGGCTGAAGATCTTCTTCTCACGGATATCACTACTAAGATCCTCCTGTTCTATGAGGAGTATCGGCGGTATGAGAAGATCGTCGAGATCCACACCCATCTTCTTCAGCACTACCGTAAGCATCTCGGCGTCACACACAAGCTCACCATCAACACTCTCTACCACCTGGCATCCACCTACAACCTTCTTGGGCGCAAAGAGGCATATGACTACTATGCCGAGATTGTGACAGCCTATACTCAGAACGGCATCGTCCACGCCGAGGCCTTCAATGCCGCGTCTATTGTGTTGAAGCACTACCGGGAAGAAAGCCGCTGGACGGAACTTCAGAAGCTTTCCGCTACGCTATGGGAAACCATTACGAAGCACCACCACGAGCATAAAGCGTCGGAGGAGTTCATACAACTTGTGTACGAGCAGTACCGGTACGTCCTCGAGTTCCATTCGAAGGTGGAGTTTTCGGTTCTCTACAAGATCACCGTCGAGTACCGCGAGACTGTCAAGAAGGTCTTTGGAGTGTCGGTTGCTATTTTCCTAACTGCCTCAATTGCCCTTGCAGAGGTCTGCGAGAAGAGTGAGGAGCATCAACTCGAGTCGGTTACGCTCTACGAGGAGGTTATCACGAAGACAAAGACTATCACAACCTTCACCGAGACCAAGATCCGCACTCTTAAGAAGCGACTTTCTACCCTCTATGTCACCGTCATCACAGGTGGCAAGAAGACTGAGACGAAAACTGTTGAGCGAGCTATTACTGTGTGCTCTGAGACATACGAGCACTTCAAGATTCAATATGGATGGTGGCATGAGACGACGCTCCTCAAGCTCAAGGAGCTAGTTTTGATCTACAGCAAACATAGCTCCGAGAAGTCTCACTCCATCATGGTCAGCCTACTGCAAGAAAGTGTCATTAAGATCTTATCCACAGCGACCGTCGCAATTGAGCTGTACCAAGCCGCGTTGACACTTTCGTCCATTTACAAGACCGTCAAGCTTGAGCGCGAGGGCCATGAATTACTCCGCCAACTTCGCGTGCTGATCCTCTTCCCGGGCTTCGATATTTCCGAGCAGAAGATCAGCATCAAGCTCGAAATGAAGGTCACCAAGGTCTCGCTCATTTTCCTCATCGCTCTTGAAGAGGGTCTGTTCCACGCCGACGGGAAGCCGGGCCACAATCACTTCTCGCAAATCATGGCAGACCTTCTCCTCGAGACGCTCCTGTACGAGCAGTACGTCCAGGTGACAACTCACATGACCGAGAAGACTAGCATCGAGATCGTGCTCGAGCACACTGCCCGCCTTCGCAGCCTCTGGGTTGCCCGCGGCCGCACCAGCTTCGTCTCCGTTTTGGATAAGAAGCTATTCGCCGTCTTTATCGAGCGATACTCCAAGGTCCTCGGTACATACGCCAACGACCGAAACGCGTCGTACGATCTATTCGTCGCCCTCCTCACCGAGATCGGAGACGGCAGCGCGACCGAACGCACCACGGTCGACTTCGCCATGGCAACGGTCAAAGCAATCAACACCATCGTGCAGAAATACGCCGTCGAAAGCAAGGATCTACCCCGCGCCCACGCCGTCGCCAAATGCGGATTCCAATTCGCTAGCGCGCAGCACTTCTACCACAACCGTCGCCGCGGCGTACTAGGCTACAAGCTCGCAGAGCTATTAGCCGGCCACGGGGTCCCGACCTGGAACACCGCCAACGCGCCACTAAAGGAGTCGATGCTACTCACCAGCCGCACCGTGCTGCAGACAGTATTCGCCGCGTTCCGCGAAGCCAACGTCGACTTCGTCAGCTTGCGATTCGAAGACCTATCCAGCCTAATCACCCTCCTCGGCGACCAGAAGAACTACGGCGAGCTCGAGGTAAGTCCCTTCCCTTCCCCTTACATATCTTTGCCAACTTACCTAACTAACCCTTCCCTCCTACCGCAGAACCTCCTAACAGCCCTCTGGCGCTCCCGCGAAGTCCAACGCAGCTGGTCCCCCGCCGTGGTCCTGCACATAGGCCAACTGCTAATCGACGCGCACGTATCGGCTTCCCACATCGACAGCGCGATCGCACTCGCCGACATCCTGTATTACAACGTCCGACAATCGCGGGGCGGCCTCGACGCGCACGCGCTCACGTACGCGAACAAGTTGTCTGTCCTCCTTACGCGTGCGGGACGGACCCGCGATGCAGCGCGTGTGCATGCGGAGGTGTTGCGGGATTTGGACGAGTCGCGATCGACGATGGCACATATGGACGTAGGTGAAAAAGAACGGTTGCGTAGCGCGGCGGACGCGCATTTAGAGGGGTTGCGACGGTGCGGGTGGGGCACGCGGCCTGAGGGAGCGAGGATGGCGGCGGGGTTGTATGAGAGGTTGGGGCGGCGGTACGGGGGATTGAGCGTGCAGGCTGTGGAGAAGTGGGGGGCCGTGGATGCGAAGAAGGAGCGCGAGGTTATGTATTCCGGACCGACGGTTTGGAGTTTGGTGGTGCAGAAGGAGGGGGTTAGGGGAGATTTAATTGTTCCTGCTAAGGAGCGTTGGGGGTGGTTTTCTAGGGGGAAGGCGGTGGGGTTGGGGGAGGTTAGTGTTGCGTAGGTACAGTACCTACGTGGATGACGTCGTTAATAGGACTGTAAGATTCTACGATAGGGGTAATGAAAAAGGGGACGAGTTAATGGATGGGGAGATGCCGATACGAGGCAGGTAATGCGGTAATGAGGCGGAGGATATATCACTCTTTGGCATCACGGATTTCTTTCTGTCGCTTCACTTTGGACATACTCCTATTCCCTACCTATCTGTACTTTCTCTTCTCTCTTGTCGTTTGAGGACTGGTTCCTACATGTACCTAACTACCTACTATCAACGGATACTCCAAAATTTCATAGCAATAGTTTCAAGATTCATTTCAGACTTTAGGTCAGTTCAATACGAGTAAGGTGATGTTGTTTTTTCATAGGTGCTGCTATATGACCCTAATAACTCCATTGAATGCGCCATCCCCCAGTACTACTCCCCACCTATGCCCTACATTTTAATTCCGTTAAATATACAGATTCTTCAAACCTAAACCGGTAGTCTTGTTGCTGTCTTTCGCTAGATGCATCGGATAAGGGCGATTTCCTTGGTATAAGCTCCTACATCCCTATCCCTGATATTGCTTTCGCCTCAACTTGTTTCTATATGTGATCGGATTGGCAACGATGATGTGCAGCCGTTCTCCTTCTCCCCCTTGTCGCCGCATCCGGTACAGGCTTCGGCTTTTTCCACGGCAGACAGTCCTGAGAAGGGGCAGGTTGGCGACGAAGGTAGCCCTTCTTCAATATCATCCAGTATCTTCTTTCCGTGCAGGAAGCCTTCCGGCTCCACCTGCTGCTTCTCCATCTCTTCGGCAAACTCGTCACCATCTCGGACGTACCACTTCGCAAATAGGTCGTTTTGAACCCAGATCACCTTACCGATAGCCTTGACTAGAGCAATCTTCTTATCCATCCGTAATCGGGGATGAGAGAGAAGAGCTTCCGTGAGAGTGTCCTGGATGAAAGCGAGGCATGCGCCTATGTGAACGTATTCCACGTGGAGGGGGTGCTCACGCCCACGCCCCGTATGCATCATGCTGGTATTCGTTAGACCACTTCAAGCAACCTTGAACTTATGAGATGGCGTGAATAAAGCTTACCCGACTTTATCTAGATATTCCCAGAATTCCAAAGTACTGGGGTCGGAGCATAGTTTGGCCAGATACGCCCTCAGGAACATCTTACGATGCAGGATCTGAGGGCTATTCTCGTCGAGGTTGTCGTCCACGGGTCCATCGTAACTCGTGCTTCTGGTTTGGAGCGCGCGTGCTGTGATGTCGTACTGCAACAATTTTTGATATACAATATTGACGATGGCTGGGATAAGTTGCTTTATGTATTTGGACCCTGTCATCAAAGCTTCGATATCATCTTAAATCCTGTTAGCTTCGGGCTTTCCATCAGACCGATACCAGGTACACTGAAGGTCTCATACTTGAACTGAAGTCGATGAAGGAGTGAAGATATTGAATCCGGGCTTCGAGGTTGGTGTACAGATCTTTTCGATCAATATGTTGCCTGGGTCGTGCTAATGGTCCCATCGTGAGATTGGTAAATACCTAGGTAAACTACGGTATGGAAATAGAAGCCCTTGTAATCCAACTGGATTATACTAGGTACGTGATGGACAAAATGGTATTTAATAATCGATAATTTTCAATTGGCATTCTAAAAATATTTCCTACTGCAGAATGGAGTTTTATATATGTATGTACTAGGTATGTCCATGTACAATGATGTAGAAGGCCGACTTGTGTTGCAGGAGTGAAGCGATGATGGCGTGATATCGTGTGGGACCATCGAACCATCCCGTCGGGCGCTTTTTTACTTCTGGGCTGACCGGGGACGTTAGGGACGTTGACGATGCCAGGGATGAGAAATTGAGGAATTAGGACATCGCCCATTCGCGGGCTTGTGTTTTGTCATCTCCAGAATCTGAGCTATATCAGGCCAACATGATGTCACTTTTGATCTATCATCCGACTCTCTCAGCCCTTTAGTCGTGGACTTCAAATGTTGTTTGAAGGGTAAAAGTTCTTGTATTTCTTACGTTCTAAAGTTCAAACCGAGACCGAGGGGAAGATGACGTAATCTCAACGCTTACGTAACACTCCGAAGTCATGACGTTTAGATGAATATTGCCATTATACACTTATGCATATGATTGAATAATCACATAAACCTGGAAGGTCATCCTCCTGAGTCACTTCAAACCTGATTAGGTACCTAGGTACTTAAGAAATACAAAGTTCAACAATTATTTATTGTCCAACAGTAAAACCCTATCGTAAAATTCGGATTTCTATGTAATTAAATTAAAATAAATATTCGCTCAGCGAAAATTAGAAGGATATTATGTTGTCTTGTATAACGTAGTTATCTGGTGCCTGATCTCTCGCATTATGAAAGGTATGATTTATTAAGGAAAAGGGAGCTTCGCTCCCAGAAGCGATCTGGTCTAATATATCCACCCTTAGCTGACATAATCAGGGAGCTCTTCCCGGGGGCAATCAGGTGACCTCAAGCAGTATTACCTAATTGCCCTGTCACATCTTGAAATTATCCCAGTCGAAAAAATTAGGGTCGTCGTCGTCGGCAGATGGATCGTCATCATCGTCATCATCGTCTTCAAGAGGATTACCAGGGTCACCGCTGAAGTGGACGATATCATGCCAGAGCTTCTCAATGAATGCATCTTGTTCCTCTGGATCGTCCTCATAGAATGCTGCATCTCTCTCGCGTACAGCAGCCGATATCTCAAGGTCGAGGTCCCTCAAACTCGGGAGGTTTTTATCCGTTCGCAAACACTTACAAACAAGCAACTTTAAATCCGGGTCAAGCCACGGCTGTTCATCTTCATCCCCAGAGAGCGGAACAAGTTCGATCGCTTGAGTCTCTACTTCATCCTCATTGGGGCTCGGCTGAAACATAGCAACGTTATGCTCTCCATGCTCGAGAATAGGCAGCGAAATGAGAAGAATTAGACTTAACATCAACTATCAATCATGTCAGTATATTATAAAAGATCGAATAAGTCTTTAAGTGGAACGCATACCTCTCCCACGGCTGCAAGGTCTCTCCAAGAGCGTGTACGGTTTGATGAGTTGACTCTTATAGACGCACCAAAGTCGATTACTTTCAACCGTGGTGTGATTCTATGCTCGTCATCAACAAGAACATCCCCAAGCATAACTTTGTTTGAGTCAGTATTTTTTATTTTCAAACATATGTAACATGTGTAGTACTCACTGTTATCTTCATGTAGGTCGTTATGCAGAATCCACCAATCTCCCCTGCCATCTGCTGGTATTGTCTCGCTAACCTGTTCCGATGCATTGATGTTCTCAGGCCACTATATTCAATGTATAATTAGTATAAAATAATTCGGTAGGAGACTTCAGCATTCCAAGTGTCTTAATAAAAACTATGGTGACAGAGCCGGACAAGCGGGTGGTGTTACTTACGGACATAGCTATAAGGGATTTTATCACTAAAAATTCATTAGCTCAACGGATATCTCGAGATGAATATCGTTTCTACATTAGGTACCTACTAGGTAGGTAGGTATATAGAACCGATGAAGTAGTAGGCAGGCTTGGGGTATGGGGATATGTAGAACTTACTACACATGAAAAATCTCCAAAGTAAACGATTCGGTAGATTAATTAATTTCATTTCCGCCGCGTTGTTAATAAATCTTCCAACACCCCCATTCTCTAAATATTCTAATATTATCCAGGATCTTTCGACTCTAGGTAACTGCGTGTTACCCTCCAGAGGGTTGTTTTGGAAAGCGAGAACCTGCACTATATGCATGGCACCGGCCATAGACTAGATACGCAGCAAATAAAGTTAGTTTACACCTCATCTATTTCAATTCCTCATGATTATTCACAACGTACCCTAATATGTTGCTCTTCTGCCTGTAAGGCTCTCTGATCAAGTCCACGTGCGGATGCTCTTTTTACTATGAAATTGTTGAATGACTGGTTATCCGGGTCGTTGTACTTCACGCGTGAAGCTCCGCCTGAGGCTCCAGTTCCCAACAGACCTACAAATTCGAATCGTGGGTCAGTATCGAAATAGTTCTTGAGGTACGGACCCTCTTCTCTAAAGTCTCGGTTATTCATTGTGTGTTTCGTTCAAAAGTTGATTACTTATTGATAGTGAGGTATTTATATGACACCAACTTCGCCAAGACAGTTAATATTTATTATCCTGAATGGGTATTATATATTCTGATATGACTAAGTGTTGCTGAAGTAGTGTAGATACTAATCAACTCATTCTGGCTATTTTAAGTACTAAGTTAAAGAACTCGACATGAAAGATATTTCTAATAAAGATGACTTCTCTTTGTATAATATACAAAAAAACTTGAAGAGCCATGGCGACCTAAATTTATCACGCGCCACTACAAATGACTTTCACAGGAACATAAATGCTATTGATCCATTGTTATGAATAACAATACTTCTGAATCATAGTCTTTTGACTATCTAGGTATATATATTTATCGAAACCTGGTCCTTTTAAATTGTAATAACATCTATTGAGTGACGTGGTTTAGTATCGGCTTCCAAGTATGTCTAGGATCGGAGTCGCCGTAAGCTAGATATAGACGACCGAAGAGCCGGGTCCTCTATTAGTCGTTAATTATATTCCGAGCGCCACCTCCCTATGGCTCTTCTGCGGCTCTCCTAGATCAACATACCTCACTGCATTATGTATGGGGACTTCTCGTAGTTGCTGTACTGCTGAGAGCTTGTGGGGATCTAATAGGACGAACCGACTACTTACCTAGTACTTACATACCTTCATTATCTATGTACCTAGTAGGTACATATACCAGTAAGCTCTACCCAATGCGCTCTTGCAGACCACGTAGCCCATCTGTAGCGTGGTAGATATCGTCGAAAGAGTTTACTGATTATGTGCCATCGGCAGGAACTTGATAATATGCATCAAAGTAAGGGTCAGTGGTTCTCCTCCGAATTATAATATATGGTCTATTGAAACAAGGAAAGCTGGAATATGTTGAAAACGGAAATGCTTTGTTATCTGTAAGGTCTCACAGTCGGGTTAATATTGATCCGATGCGGATACTAGTTGCCGAGGCTTATTCTTAGTAATGATTATTAGTGGACCCATGAGAAGATATTAAGTAATCCAACTTAATTTCTTACTATTATTTCGCACCACCACGCGGATTTGATCCCAATCTTCCTGGCTTTTTTAACGTAATTTCCTGAGGTTAATAGCTCAATTTCGATAGCTCAAAGCCTCTTCTTCAGTTTATCCCAGGCAGAGTATAAATCTATCGGATTTGTACCTACATGCCCCAATATGTACACATTTAGCGGGGTATGGATTGGAACCTCCCGTTTCGCTACCCAGCTTCCTAGGCTTCTTTAACTAGGTACCTAGTGCCTATCTAGGCACAAGATTATTACGCGATGTCACTTCACAGCTACGACGATCAGATTTCAGGTACGGTAATAACTCCGCATTTTGCGAAGTATGTGTGGATCGTTTCCCCAGATTCTTCCATTAGCAGTTAACTTGCGTAAAATTTTGCGTACACTATGCATCTAGACCCCTGGCTAAGGACCTTTGACCAAGTTTTTCTATATTTGGAGGCAATGATGGGTTGTGTATCCTATCTTCAACTATTCTTCTCTGGTTTGGGGTCGTCGAAGAAGCTTCACGATATTCCAATTCTCAGCAATGGCTTCTCGATTAGTCATTCACGATGACTCAGCCTTCCCGGCTCCGAATGAGGTGTACAATTGGAAGATATACATCTTGGCCATATGTGCCTCGATGGGATCAGCAATGTTCGGTTATGACTCCGGCTTCATAGGCGGAGCAATCACGTTGCCCTCCTTTGTGTCGAGGTTCGGACTGGGTACTTCTTCGTCAGAGCAATCGGCCGCACTGTCCGCCAACATCATCAGCACTTTTCAAGCGGGATGTTTCTTTGGTGCTATTTTCATGTCCTTCCTGGCTGAAAAGTATGGCCGCAAATTTCCCCTCATCGCCTGTGGGGTTGTCTTCAATGTTGGAACTATTGTCCAAGTGGCCTCTACCGGCTCTCTTGGCATGATATACGCCGGTCGAGCTCTGACAGGTAAGACATGCATCATATATATACTAACCTTGTAATCAATCTGAACTTTTCTAGGACTTGGTGTCGGGGCAGCAACTCTTGTTGTTCCGCAGTATATATCTGAATGTTCGCCCCCCGCGATTCGAGGCCGCCTCGTAGGCATCTTCGAGACCTCCGTACAGTTTTCTCAAATTATAGGATTCTGGATAAACTACGGCGTCAATGAGAACATATCCAGCACGTCGGATACGCAGTGGAGAATCCCTTTCGCGCTGCAGCTTGCTCCAGGAACTTTGCTTATCGTGCTCATGCTTCTCCAACCCGAGTCACCGCGTTGGCTCATTAAGACTGGAGATACGGATAAAGCAATAAGAGTCCTTGGCCAGATACGCTGTTTAACACAGGATGACGGATATATCGCCTGGGAAGTTGGTGCTATCAAGCAGCAGCTTCATGACGAATCTGAGTTAGGCGCAACTCGTCCACTAGGTGCTAAGTTGAAAGAGATCCTACAGAGGGGTAATCGCATACGACTAATATTAGGAATGAGCATCATGATGTTGCAGAATTTGAGCGGAATCAATGCACTTAATTATTATTCCCCGAAGATTTTTAAATCAATCGGCTTTTCGGGAACCAGTGTCGGTCTTTTAGCTACGGGAGTCTTCGGCATTGTCAAGGCTATGACGACCTTGATATTCATGTGTTTCGGGATCGATACCTTAGGACGCCGGAAACCCCTTCTGATTGGATCTATTGGCGCAATAATTGCCATGTTCTACCTCGGCGCGTACTCGAAAGTGTCAGGTTCTTTCCAGCACACTGTTGTGCAAGATGGTGGTGCCTACGTCGCGATCGTTATGATCTATATATTCGCCGTGTTCTATGCTTTATCTTGGAATGGTATCCCTTGGGTATTCTGGTGAGCTAGAGTTATCCATGTTTTTCCTTTGGATTTAGCTAACTTGTATAAGCGCTGAGATTTTCCCAACGGGGATCCGATCCTTGTGTCTTCTCTTCACTACTTGTACGCAATGGCTAGGCCAATTCATCATTGTGTACTCTACTCCGTACATGATGACGAATATAACCTATGGAACCTTCTTTTTCTTTGGAAGTTTTTTGGTTGTTGGCGCTTTGGTGATTTTCTTCTTTATGCCGGAGACGAAAGGACTTTCTCTGGAGGAGATGAGCGTCTTATTCAATGTTAAAGGGCTCGCTATCACCCAGCGGAAGAAAGCCGACGAAATAATTGCATCGCAGCGGGTTGCGGAGAATGTTGCCGATCTGAAGGATGAGACGGAATATTCTAATGTCGAGGGAGTTTAGGTTGATCGTTACCTACTTACCGTAGGTATTAGGCAGGTAGCTTTCTGTCATGGAACATTATTCCGCAAGGCATGATCAAGGCATGATCAAGGCATGATCGATGAATATGGAATAGTGTTGCAAAATTCATCGGTGAAGAGAGTTATTCCCTGGCATTATTCCCTACGACCGTTAAAATACAAGTAAACTATGCGTTTACCTAAACGTTTCTATATTTTACAATTGCCAAGCTCGTAGACTGCGATGCAGCTTCAATTTGCGACCCTGTTGCTAGGCACTAAAGGCGGGGGCGGGGTCTTGTGGTCTTATTCCACTACTTCGACTTCGACGCCTTCAGCTGAAAGTATTTCCAGCGCCTCCCCATCCGATGCGTACCAGTCGCAGGGCATTAGCTCTTCTATCCTCCCCCAACGCCACGGAGTAATCCTGGCATTTTGGCACGCGCGGATTAGATACTGCTTTCCAGGCTCTAGCCAGTGCATGCCCGGGCTTAGAAATTTGTATTTCTGGTACGTGTCGCTAGGATCTGTTGGCGCTGCTGTTCTTTGAGTGCTTATTCTTTCTTGACCGAGTGGCCGAAAACTAATTTTGAAGACCTCATATGGGATGTCTGGATCTAGAGTTAAGAACTTGTCGAGGTGCTCTGAGTCAAGCCGCGGAGGCGGTCCAACCCGTTTGCATATGTCGACGAAAACTGTGTTGATTGCTTGGCCGCTAGGTACTTCGGTGATTGTAAAGGCGTTGGTCGGTGTAAACACATTATAATTTTCCTTGGAGATGATCACTGGATTCTGGGAGCCCACCAATGTGAGTGTTAACTTGAGTTCGGGTTCAGACTCAGATGTAAATGAAAGAGTTGTCGGTAGATGTATTTCTGCGACGATGTGCGGGCTAGAAGACATAGCTGATATGGGTTGGGATAACGAAGGCTTTCTAGATTTGATCCGAGCGCGAGCATCTACTGCAAGTTGATAGAAGTGCAAGGTAAAGGGGAAAAAGAGAGAGTAAGAGAACGCAAGAACAAGGCGACGATAAGGAATTACATCAGGGACTTGAACAGCGCCTGTCGTTAAAGACCAGACGTGAGATGTTGCGGCGCTTAGAATCCTCCCGCTAACTAGAAAGCTTACTTCTAAGGATGCAATGACGTACAGGGGTGGGATAGGGGATAGGTACCTATTAATATCAATTTCAAGCTTTCAGCCATGGGAACTTCGCCGCGGCAGTGCCAAACAAGCTTTGCACCAACTGCATCGGTGCAGCTGCCACGCGGGATGTTGGTTCGTGCGTGAGAGGTTCAAGTAGGGTTTTCTTACCACACTTCTAAAATATAGTTCACTTAAACTTCTCATCCTCATAACACAAATCATATTTTCAGCCTTTTCTCTACTCATTGATCCATCCTTCGCCCCCAGGAAACGGCATGAGTCAACGGCTTTATTTTCAACCTAACCAACGGCTCAACCAACAGCTCGCACGCCGACCCCAGATCTGGAGGGGAAACCAGTTATTGGGTGTTCAGGTTCGATTCCCATCAGCACTATCGGTATCGCTCTGGTGACCCTCGTCTTCTGCCAGTTTATGACCTGTGTGTATATTGCCTCCGGGGTGCATATATGTAGGCGCTCATGTATTGGTTCCCCTGTACGATTAACAAGGAATCACCTCATCTGACAACATGCTGCTCGGTCCATTGCGACTGTTGGGTGGCTTCATGTTGACAATTAGCTGACTACTTAGGTAGCTATTCCGCTTGAGATGCGAGATAAGCGAGTTTCACCTTAACGCCCTGTGCCTGTGCCTATGGAATTTGTCATACAGTTGCTAAGGTAGGTAGGTAGATAGGTACCTAGGTACCCAAGGTTACCGCCAACACCGCAATAGTTTCCCATCTAAGGACAGGGGAGCGCTATAAATTGTAGCGTATTTAGCGCTTCATCCCCTTATACTCATAGTAATGAAATAGCATGGCGTCAATGGATTGCGGTCCTAGGTATCTAGGTGAGTGAAGCTTTAGCCTTGGAAAGTCACAATACTTCAATTTGAGTTTAAAAAATATACCAATTAAATTCTCTAGGTATTTCCAATAACATAAATTGTTATTCCATGTAGAAGGGCGTCCGCTGTTACTCATTCGAACTTAGAATAGTCACAGTGGGCTATAGCGCTATAGGCCCTGTAGTTTACAGCGCGCCTATGTCTAAAAATGGATCATATCATCATGGTGTTGGTAGATAGTGCTTAGGTCATATACCTCAATAGGTTGGATAGAACAAAACATCCAACATCAATACAGCTAGAGACCTAGCAGTGGTGTTGGTGAAAAATCATTTCCTGCTGAGGCTCAGGGACATCAAGCTGAATGTCAGAATCTCAGGATTCTCATGGAAGCCTCATTGCGTCTCATTAGGTATGAAAATAGGACTATACACGCATTGGGTATCTCTTCTGTCGCCGAATATAAAAAGCCTAGGGAAAGATCTTAATGAATATGGCTTCAGACCAAGGTCACTTCTCTCTATTCAAGGAATCATTCCACCCATCTACAATACGTTTTATCAATCCTCGTTCTCTCACCGTGATTGAATTTATCTACCCCGAAATCAGGCCTGAGCCTAGTCACCTTTCGACATGTGGACTCAAGCTATAATTCCCCTCTGGCTCTTGAGTTCAGCCATGGGATACCCGCAATTGGGTAGAAGAGCATTTCCCTTATTCATAGATACGGAAGCGTTTCAGCCCAATCAGGAGGACCAACTCAAAGCAGCCCTCCCGGACGCCATCGACCTTGTCACCCAAGTTCTGACTGGCTACGACGTGTACAAGGATATCTGGTTGAAGTATTTCCCAGAAAGCGACCACGCAAAAGTCCAGAATGTCTTCAAGAGGATCGTTTCCGACCCTTCCAATCCAGGTGAAGGAGAGGACCGAGTGTCGCTCTGCAGAATTAGTGGGTTCGACATGTCTAACGTAAACCCAAGCATCAACCCGTGCGGCGAGGAGGACGTTGCCTACACATTCAACTGGCCCGCGAGCGCGATATCTCGAGAGATGCCTGAGGGTTCTTCATTTACTTACTTCTGTCCTGGGGCGTACAAGCAGACGCCCAAGTACAACCAGATTGACTGCAATGGTTTTGACGATACGCTAAACGACAATATGGACTTCCTCGGCGCTACAATTTTGCATGAATGGCTACATAACGACCAGATCGGCCAAGCTGCTACTGGAACCCACATCACGGATGTCGATGGAAGGGACGGATATGGTATGGTGGCCTCCAATAACCTCCTTTACTCACCATAGCATAACATTATATGAGAACTAACATATGCGGATAGGTCCCTACAACACGCGCCAGATGCTAATAAATCAGCCCAGCCAATGTGTAAACAATGCAGATAGCTACACCTGGCTGGCACTTGAGGTCTTCTGGACATCTCGCCAATGCTTTACCGGAACTCAGGGCAACCGGTTTAAGGACCCCGTAGCCCCATCCTGCAGCAAGGCGAAGCGTGATGCGGGTGAATGCTCTGGCTCGACATCAGCCATTCCTGATACCTTGGATGTACCATCTACGGTCACTATCACAACAGAGGGGTCAAGCATGATCACCCCTCCGCCAGCAACTATACACTGCGATACAGTAGGCCCATCGCCTGGCACGGGGGTAGACGAACCTTACTGTGACTGCGTAGTAGATGGCAGCAGCAGCACCATCACTCTCAGCATCATCAGCGGCGCCAGTGCATACACGGAAAGCTGCGCATACTCCACGCTACCCGGTTCCACCGCCGTGGATAGTGTGAAGACCGACACGGCGACTTGGACATCCAACTGCGAGGCCTGCACGCTCGTCGGTGGCGTTGGCGGAGGACAAGAGACTTGCACGACCGTATCCGGCTGCACACCGACGGCGGCGCCAGCCAAGCCGACCATCATATCCTGGGTAGCCAATGTAGGAACGATCGACATTGGCAACGCAGACGACGGTATCGACGGCAACCACAAGCTAGCCACGGAGATGTTCGGCAAACTATCAAAGATGTGCGACAGCAACGGCTGCAAAGGTGACCACCAAGAGATGGACAATGTCGAGGCTGTAATTGCTGACGGCGAGGAACCCCTGAAGCCGGCGATGTACATCGACGCCTTCCAGTATTCGAACCTAGACACGTTCAAGCAGATGCTCTCAGTCGGAATCGGATCTTGGATTTCGGCGCTTAATAATTCTGGCCTGAATTTGTGCCACGATGTTGAGTACGAAGCCGATGCAGATGAGACGGGCTCAGGGTGCGGCTCAGGGCCCATCCCGACTCGACGCATCCGCCGCAAAGTGCGCCGGGACGACGGGGCCGTCCTCTGGGAGCGCGACGGCTTGGCGCAGGAGGAGAAACGTGCCTTGGATGAGCGCTGCTTGGATAACTGCGACCATCCTATGGTCTGCCACTACTCAGCCCGCATGTGCAATGCGCCGGATTCAATCACAGTGATCGCCGGCACTAAGAGCGACCCCTACGCCGGTCACCTGAACATCGGTGTGACTCTTGACAAGACTGACAATGGATTCGACTGCGCGGCGATAGCCGGAGGACTAACTGCCTTGACCGCACTCATCGCACCGGAATTGCTCGAGGCAGACGCGCTTGAGGGAGTGGAGCTCGAATCGCTATGTGGTATCGTCGAGGACCCTCTCTCCGCTCTTGACCTGAGTCCTACTGGGGAGAGACTCACTATATCTCGCCGACATGGCCCTAGACTCGCGAGCGGTTGAAACTATAGATGTATCTGGGGTTGCTGCGAGAGCTGAGCGAGGAGTAATTTAGAGACGGCGTTGTTACGGTATTGTGTATTATAGTTAAGGGTTAGATTAGTATTTTTGGTTATATTAGGACTTTTAGATATATTAGAACGGTAGATGTAGTAATAGACCTGTTAGTATTATTCGTGTAATGACCGCAGCCGATTTGACGACAAACACTCCAGGGCTGGTGCGATCGGGGTTCTTACACGCTATATTCCGCCGCTAAAACACTTGTAATTTAGTGCTGCTCAGGGCTTACTATTCAACAATAGCTCAGCAATGGCTTCCAGGTTCGCAACGATTGATACTCGATCAATACCTATCCATTCAATTTATCCGAATCATCCAATTACTCATTTAAAGCGCCCTGATACAGGCCCGATTAAGTTTTATCAAGTTTATCATGAGTGCAATTGCAATACCTGTTTTAAGCTGTTGTTAAACTGCTGTTGAAAATAGAGGGCTTTTGAGATAGCTCACTATAATTAGTCACTAACCCCCTATAATTATAACACTGAGCAGCGCTGAGACCCTTATTTCTATTAGTGATTGAGCGAAAGAAAAATGGCCCCGGTGAGCCCTGAAAAGATTCAGATATATTTTAAAGCTTTAGCACAGGGGGTTACTAGGTTCCAAGCCCGTTAGCATTGCACAATTAGCGCTTATGGGAATTGAATTTACGCCTAATAATTGGTCTCCACGCACCCTCCAAATCCTTCGGCACTTTATCGCTAGAGCTTGCCGGATGGACCACACAACCCCCGCCCCCGCCATCGTGTAAGGATGATGAAGAAATCTAACAAGATCTTAACCTACTATGAGGTATGAACAACAACCATAACATATCTCAGTATCTCCCTACAAAATTCTATACATAATGTTCGGCGACGATGGGCCAGCGGATATCCTCAAATCATCCTACCAATATGGAACGTCCGCACTCAATCAATCAAGTCGTTCACAACCGCTAAGAACTTTCCTTTTCGGCTATCCACTCCACAATTCGTTAGCCCCTCTGCTACACGCGAAAATTTTCGAGGGGCTCTCTATACCATGGACGTACTCGCCCATGGAAACCCAAGATGCATCGAGATTTATCCCTGCACTTAAAGCACCCGATGTAATCGGCTGTGCCGTTACGATGCCTTATAAGGTATCCATGATGTCGGTTGTTGACGAGGTCACTGCTGAGGGTAAGATAATCGGGGCCATCAACACTGTGTTTATCCGCAAGGCGCATGACGGAAGCCCTAGGTATATCGGAACCAATACGGATTGCATTGGCGTGAGAGAATCCTTCCTGCAGAACTTCCCGGACGTGCTGGAGCACTCTACGGGGAAACCGGGCCTCGTGATAGGGGGAGGAGGGGCTTGCAGATCTGCGATTTACGCACTGTGGAAATGGCTTGGGGCAAGTAAGATATATCTAGTAAACAGAATCGAAAGCGAAGTAACGGACATGATTCAGTCGCTAAAGACGGCTGGGTTTGACGGTGAACTCATCTACGTGTCGTCGGTAGAAATGGCTGAGGGTCTAGAAGCCCCGGTTCTAGTCGTTGGCACTGTTCCCGACTTTGCGCCGAGAGAAGAGGGGGAGATCACTGCGAGAAATATCATCACCACATTCTTATCAAAGGAGAGGAAAGGCTACGTTTTAGAAATGTGTTATCACCCTAAACCTAGGACTGAGTTCTTCGAAATGGCTGTGGCGGCTGGGTGGAAAGTTCTGTATGGGACCGAGCCGATGATCTACCAGGGGGTTGCGCAACAGGTGCTATGGACGGAGTTGTCGCAAGAGAATTTTAGTTTGGATGAAGTGAAGAAGGTAATTTCTGAGAAATTGGAGAAGATATAGAGTTGAAGGAAAGCTAGGAATTAATCATATGCGCTTAGTTGTAGGCACAAAAGCGGTATCCTACGAGCATTGTCCGTAATAAAAGAGTGTCTTAGTTGGATAAGCTTATATCTAAATGAGCGTGCATGCGAGCGATGTAGTAGTTTCAACCAAGAACCCTTTAGGTCCGACAACCCAGATATGCAGCACAATCACAGCCACGGAGACCGAAATACGTTGACCACCCGAGAAGTGGTGGAATAAGATGCCATGGCTAGAGACTCGGTAGCCGACTCTGATATCATCCAGCTGCGTCTCATCACCAAATTCGGCATCAATATAGCCCAACCACGATGTCACCGCGGACCCTAGCCGTGGCGTGGATCTCAGCCTCAAGATCAAGCTTGATCCCGACCAACAGCGCGGCGTCCTTGAGTCTACCACTGTCGTCGACGGGGCCCTTGAGTAAATTACCTGGTCCGCTAGAGTTAGTGCGATTACCAACAAGCTATCTCGTGTAAAGGTCATCGGGTCAAGATTTACCGATTGGTCCATTGGCATTCCCAGACAACCCCGGCATGGGGAGGCTGTGCTTCGCAGTTGTGGTAGCCTGTCGGTCTCGATCAGGACCAGTCAAGGTAGTTCCGCCAGTCGTGGCGGTGGGTCCACCCCTGTTAATTTGTCAATTGGCGACTCATAGAAAAGGGGTAGATGCCGCCACTAACGGTGAAGACATTTTCTCCTTTTCTTCAACTTCAGCTACTAATGGGTGAGGGTCTTGCGTCAGGAGAGAGTCAACCTGTGATCTAAGAGACGGCCACTTTAAAGTTCTCCTTAGTCGATGTTTGGGTAACTCGGGTGGGGTGGTGGTACGCTTTTCTTTGGAGACGCGCTGAGAGAAACCCCAAGATGATCTTCTTAGTGGAGGTGCGGGCGGATGCGAACGTTTAGAAGAGTTCGCTATGTCGATGGAGGATGAATCACTGGCTGCCCGTGGTCTCCTCGAAACACCTGAGAATCTCTTGTATGAGTCTTCAGTGTCTGATTCTCCGACGAAGAAAGGGCTCATGTTTAGGGGGTTGATTGGAGTCTTTATGCAATTCATCCATCTTTATGACAAGCTAGCTATGTATAGCATCACGATGTGAAAATCTAGTAGTGGGACACGAATGCGTGATCTTCCGGGTACGTTCCAGAGCATAGGAAAGCATTGTGTAAGCTCATATATGTGAAATCACCCGCACCTCATAAGATCCTAACGTGTTCGCTATTAGTCTGCAAGGCGTGCATTCGTAATATCTATAGCTGCATTGGATCGTCTTGGAAAAGGAGAAGACCGAGAATGCCAACTAATCGTATGATTAGATGAAAGAGAAACCTAGGAAGTTACACCTCGGCAACTTTAATGCACGACAATTCACTGCCGAGACCATTCTATAATAGCTATTGCTAGCCAGAGATGACCCTGTGGCAGGGAGAATAAGGACCGAAATACCAGGAGGAAACCCGCGACTAGGCTCTATGATCATGCCTCTGTCCCTTTTAATGCAAGGCACAGCTTCGAGCTTAGAGTTCAATGCATACGCAACTAGGTAATGTTACCCCGAATACTAGTAATTGTCAGGTATGAACACTTTAGAAAACGGGCGGGAGATTATCAGTAGATCCGGTGTATCACAGCATACAGATACTCTACTGACGCAGATGGTATAATTAGTCACTTAGGTACCTACCTACCTATGGGTACATGTGTAAGCTCAAAGAAAAAATAAGAGCTCTTTGCCCAGTCAATTCATATCGACTTGGTGGAACAACTTTCCAGAGAAGCAGCTATGTCCCAGCCTCTGACCTTTCTTGTCGCTTTTTCTGCCGTCGTCGGCACCTCTGAAGCTATTCGACAGATTCAATCGGATTCTAGAAGAAAGGAACATAGGAGTCGAAAGAATCACCTAATAGTACGATGTCCTAAGTCTTCGCAGTATAGCCCAAGCCTCGAAGGTCGACGTGTAGTGCTTTCAGGGGATAAGGTGGGCACTCCGATATTCCAATTCTATTTGAGTTTATGTGGATTAAAAGGTGTATATTATAGCTTTACATCGATACCGGGGGCGACCATGAGCAAGTCTTTGGTCATCCCTTCACAGGGTATTTTCTACCTTATCCCGATACGAAGTACTCCGGTCTTGTATCAACGATATGCGATGAGCCCCCTATCATGAACTGGATCTATATCGATCGGAATACGTACGAACTGAAGTTTGGTACACGCCCATCTGCGCAGCCCAATTGGCCCGGACCATTTGACTGTTCTCGGCAAGATCGCAGGCTGACATTTGCTGGTTGGGAGGGGTTCTTCGCCGTTAGAGATGGCGAATTTTGGGCTCTATTTTTCGACGTTGACCAGAACAATTTAAAGTCAAAAGTAAAGGAAGGAACCCCAGTGCTTGAAATAGAGCTTCTAAGGACGGAGATGCGAGTTAAACCGGTCAAAAATGAAGAGACATTAGGGAATAATTGTAAAGAACCTGACGGAAAAACTACTACCACGAACCCAGAAGGAAAACAGGATAAAAATGAAACAGACGCCAAGACAGATAGGAGGGAAGAGGAGTTACTGTCTCCAGATGTAGACTAGAAACCTTCAAGTCGTCAAATCTGAAGGCAGATCCACCAGCAAATTGCAGCCCTACCGCCCTGGCTTCAAAGCAGTCGCCTTTCATTTTGTCATACGGGCACACTCTTAAACCAAGTTCAATCAAAATAGAATTCGATACACGAAATTTTACATTTATATCATTGCGTTCATTCCCAGTTATCCCAGCATGAAATGTTAGGGTGCAGTAACCTCTACAGCCAAAAAGCCAAAACCACTTTTATTATCGGATGAATGAAAGTACTGGATAGTACTTACCTTAGAAACTTAGTTACTAGGTATTAGGTAGGTAACTATCTACTCTTGCGCACATTTTAGTTGGGTTAATTGGTATAGGCACGACATATGTCATACAACATATCACCAGCACGCAGAATTAAAATTCGGCGATGACCGCTAGACACAGAGTCCGTAGAAGTTATTGCGGTCATGTTATCAAGATTTGTAGCGGTGGCCACCTACCCGCTAGGTGCTCAAATACGCTATTATACTACAAACATCGTTCGATTTTTAAGTTAGGAAACGTCCGGCATTCTCCAAACCATCAATATTCGAGGGTCATCTTTCGTAATTATATGGAGACAAAAGTGGCATTGAACGAAAACGCTTCACCCGTGTGACTAAGGACAAGCTTTCGTAGTACGACGTTTCGTGTAGCCACCAGGCATTAATTAGGGAGAACAGCTAGGCATATTAACTAGATCTCTCTCGTGAGAGTTCCTGTTTTCCTAGGTAGGTATTTTTCTCAAGATTTTTTAGCTTTCGACACCTACATATAGTGTAAACACTATTAGACGTAGGTGGGTAGGTGTCTGAACGATATATGGAAAGTTTCATGATTACCTACCTTAGGTAGATACCTATATCGGATTATACCGTTGATACACACGTCGGATAGCATTCGCAACTAATACGAGATTTCCATATTAAGTGACCATGGTTAATTACCGAGCTTTGCAGTCAGCTTCACGGGCTACCCTTGGAAATATTGTAGAGTCATCTAAACATTACCACTTGAAAATGCCAGCAATGGGTGATTATAATGGATGTTTGCGATTTTTATAATCGTGCGTCGTTATTCGTTACTAATCTAAAATATCCTCTATATATCTGAGCTATGATACAGCAAGTTCTATCAATATTGATAGTCACACAGATGTACGCTTTATACAATTGAGGCTTCAACACTCTGCCACTTGTTGCTTTATGTGAAATCAATTCCCCTCAATCAAAAAGCTATATATGAATAAGTAGGTGCCCATGAATGGAAACCTGCCATATCTGGGTCCTAGGAGAGAGCATACGCACCTAGTATCTGTGATACTAGTTTATTCAATCAGACTCAACGGTGTTGATCCGCTTAGTCATCATTCATTATAGGGGTTGAACCCCTGAATATGGGCTCCACAATACCTCCTACTGAATAACCCGCAAAGATGCTGCCTGGATTATATCTCGATAACATGATAATATAACTACAACTTGGAAGACTGTAGAAAGAACCAAGATGGACGCGCGTCTCTTGATCTCAATTGGATTTAGGGCAGGTGACAGGCAAAGACATAGGTTACCTGGTAGGTAGAATAATTGCGTAATAATTAGGCACCCTAATTACAGAACTTATATAAATAACTCGCCCCTACAAGGCTAATAGCTCATATTAACCATCATATTCAATTGAATTCAATCGATGATCCTTATAACTTGAAAGAAATGTCGTCTATACCTACCGTCCAAAAGGCTACATTCGCCGATAGCAAGGAGACTTTCCAGGCCACGCTAATGAGTCTCTTCTCAGGCAAGCCTGAGGATACCGAGGCGGATATATCAAAGATATTTACACCGACGGCGACACTGCGGGATGACAATACGACACTCGACTTCTCCGGCCTTGTTGAACATTTTACTTTCCTTCGGAGAATTTTGCCCCGAGTTACTCTGACAGTAGAACAATTTGTACGTGACGGTGTACAGTTGGCCGACCGACATAGCTCCTCCACAGTGATGCAGGATGGGACGGTTAAGAGGGCGGAGACGTTCATGTTCGTGGTGCTTGGGATGGACGGGCGCATTGAATCTATTATAGAAACTGTTCGGCAATTAGTCTAGATCTGATAACGGTTTCAAGGAATGCCTCAACTTGTCATTTAGGTATTCTCGAGACATTAAGATCTATTATGCTCGGCAACTCCATCAGGTATCAAGATGTGTTACACAAATAAAAGCCACTTCTGCCATTCTCCGACAGTCGGATGTACAGTTGATTTATGCATGAAATCACAAGTGCTCACATAAGATGAGACAAGTTGATATTTGGAGGCGTAATATTGAAACTAGGTAGGTAGGCACCTAATTTCAAAGGAAGACCTGCGTGAACATGCATAAGACAATACTAATATTGAATTATTGTAGCCTAGGCCTTCTTCTCATTGACCTGAACCTTATCTGTATCATTCTCTTGTAAGACCTCCAATTCAATACAATGAACTCGATTGTTAATTATGGCCATGATACTAAATAAATTGAGGTAGTAATTAATTAGTCACAAAGGTATAAGTCAAACACCCCTTTCGCGTTTCACCTTAATAAGGATTACTTATTTTCCATATAAAATCGCTTAACTTCGATAGTTATATTTAATTAAATAAAATACTTAAAAATATAAGATTTTAATTTTTAAGTTTTATAATATAATTTATATAAGCTTATTTAATTTTATAATTTTTACATTTTTATATTATTATAAAATTCGTTATTTTTTTCGTTTTAATAATTATTTATATAAATTATACGTAAAATTATTAAAACATTAAAAACGAGTATAATTTTACGAATTTTATATATAAAATTTTTATTTTTATTTTTTTAAATTTATTAAGAAAATTAAAATTAATAAAGTTACGTTTTAAAACGATAAAATAAAACGACGATAAAAATTAATGTTAAAAAGTTTAAGTTTAAAAATATATATAAATAACGGGGTAAACGTAATTTTATAAATAAAATTACGTATAAGTTATATACGTTACGTAATTTACTTATAATTAATATTTTAATATTAATAAATTTTTTTTTTTTTTTATGTTTTATTATAACGTATTTAATTTTAATATTAATTTTTTTTATTTTTAATTTTTTAATTTTTTAATTTTTTAATTTAATTATTTAATTTAAATTTTTATTTTAATTTTAATTTATATTTTATAATTTTAATTAATTTTATTAATAGATTTTTTTTTATTTAATTAATTATTAATTATATTATATTATACGATTAAAGTAAAAAGTTAATTTTATATGTAAATTTATTAATTTATACGAAAATTTATTAATTTATACGATGGTTTAATGGTTCGTACGAGTTTAATGGTTCGTATATACGTAAAATTTTTAAATTATATATGGTATTTTCGGATTATATATAAATAAAATTTTATCGGATTCGTTTAATTATTAAAATGTTTTTTAAGTTTATTTTTTATTTTTTTATTTTTACGCGTAATAAACGCGGTTAAATGTATTTACATTTTTATTATTAATAAATTAATTAAAATAAATCGTGATTATTTTATTAATAAATTAATTAAAATAAATTATAATTATTTTATTATAATAAAAGTTTAATTTATATATTACGAATCGTATAATTTTATTATTTTATTATATTATAAAAAATTTCGGTTTATATATTACGAATTAATATAATTTCGTAATTTATTATTTTTTTTAATCGAAAAAATTTTAATTATTTTTATTTAAATTAAAAAACGATGTATTTTTAATAAATGTTAATAAAATTATATAAATTTATAAACGATGTATTTTTAACGAAAATCGTTAAAATCGTATAAGTTTAAAAACGATGTAATTTTAACGAAATTAATTAAAATTATATAAATTTATTTTTTTTTTATTATTATTATTAAAATTTTTTTTTTTTTATTTATAATTTAATTAACATAATTTAATTAATTATTAATTAATGTTAAAAAAATTAAAATTAATAAAACTACGTTTTAAAATAATAAAATAAAACGACGATAAAAATTAATATTAAAAAATTTAAGTTCGAAAATATATATATATAATAAAATAAACGTAATTTTATAAATAAAATTACGTATAAATTACACGTTACGTAATTTACTTATAATTAATATTTTAACATTAATAAATTTTTTTTTTTTATTTAAAAAAATTAAAATTAATAAAACTACGTTTTAAAACGATAAAATAAAATGACGATAAAAATTAATGTTAAAAAATTTAAGTTCGAAAATGTATATAAATAACGGGGTAAACGTAACTTTATAAATAAAACTACGTATAAGTTACACACGTTACGTAATTTACTTATAATTAATATTTTAATAAAATTTATTAAAATGTAATTATCGTTTTATATTTAAAATAAATTTATTATATATTATATTAAAATTAATATAATTAAAATAAATTTTTTTATATTAATTTTTATTAATTTTTATTTAAAAAACGTAAAAAAATAACGTTATTTAATTATATAAATTTATTACGTAATATTATTAAATATATTATTTATTTCGATTAATAATTAATTTTTATTTTAAATTATAAAATTAAAATTATTACGTAATATAAAAAAATTATAAAGTTATATATTTTAATAATTTTTTATATATTTTATATAAAAAAATATTAACGATTTTTATTTTTATTATTATTTACGTTTATTTTTTAAAAAAAAATTAAAAAATTACGAAATTACGTATATATAATAAGTAAATAATTATTATAATTAAAATTAAAATCGTATATTTTTAAATATTTTATTTAATTAAATATAAATATTAAAATTAAACGATTTTATATAAAAAATAAATAATTTTTATTAAAATAAAACGCGAAAAAAATGTTTAATTTAAAATATAATATTATTCGTTATATAAAAAATGTTATAATATTACGAAATTAAAACTTCGTAAATTATAAATTAATTACGTAATTATATTCGTGTACGATTTATATTAATTAATAATTTACGGTTATTAATTATTTTATTTTTTCGATATTATTATAATTATTTTTTTCGAATATATTTTTTTAATTATTTAATTTTTAATTTTCCGATTAATACGATTTTTTATATTTTAAGTTTTTTTTTTTAATATAAATAATTACGCCGTTTATATAATATTTTATTTTAATATAAACGTATTATTTCGTTATAATAATAATATAAAACTTTTTAATTTAAAATATTTATTATAAAAATTTTATATAATTTTTATATATTTCGGTTATATTTTTTTATTATTATTAAATGTTAAAAATAAATAAAAATTTAATTAATATTTTATTTATAATATAAATTAAATAAATATTAAAATATATACTTAATATTTATTAAAAAAAACGTATATTTATTAAAATATTAAATTTATTTTAAATATATTATAAAAAAACTAAAACTTTTTTATTTTATATATTAATTACGTAACGTATTACGTGTATAATAATTAAGAGTAATACTAGCCGCGCAGTACGAAAGCCGGATTTTTCCCGCGCAGTACCCCGCCAGAATCAAAGGTACTTCTCCCCGCATACAAATCGCGTACAAAATACTTGTACTCGCGATGACTCAATTGACACAAGACAGAAACCTTATTTCGCCTGTACACCCTCAACTTCGACCGGTTCTCTTACAATCCATTAATTCGAAGAAAATATGAACCTGATATCAATCGAAAGAGATTTCAAAGGAGATTAGATTGATATAGGGTGCACTCATGCTAGTCGCAAATTGAAGGAGATATAAGTGGTTGAAGTCAAAGGCATACTTCGGCAATAGGGCCAGGATTTCCCTTAGAACTGAAAGCTATCAGATCCACCACTGAAGTATACATTTCAGTTCAACCTATCATTCCGCAATCAGTTTGAATCGCAGATCTTTGAAACTAGGCTTATATGAAAGCCCGTTTGGAGCTGAATCGATTAGTTTAGGTTGCACGTTGCTGGCAGCTCTATTGAACTGGATAATCGGGCGAAGGATGATTGATGTACTTGATATATGAGACCAGGAGCTTCGATTGAAAGCTCACCAAATAGCCAATGTATCGCCTTGACTTCAACCACTCACAAGTCAATCAATTGTTAATACCAAATGGTGCAACCTATTCCGATCGAATCTCCTTTAAAAGCCCTTTCGATTGAAGTCAGGCCTGTATTTCTATCGATTTATTTCATGAAGAGGAAACACGTTAAAGTCAGGGGTGTACAAGTGTAGTGGGGTACGATTAAAGTTTCTAAAGTTGACAATTGAGTCATCGCGAGTACAAGTAGTTGTACGGCGATTTGTATGCGGGGAAAAGTACCTTTGATTCTTAGCGGGGTACTGCGCGGAAAAATCCGGCTTTCGTACTGCGCGGCTAATATTACTCATAATTAAATATTTTAATTTTTTTATATAATTTATATATATTATAAAATTAAATTTAATAAAATTAATAAAAATTTCGTAATTATTTACGATAATTAATTTTTTTAATATATTAAATTTTTTTTAATTAACGATTTTTTAATTAATATTTATATATTTTAAATTTTTATTTTAAATAATTAAAATAATTAATATTTTAATACGAAATTTTAATTTTATAATAATTAACGATTAATTTAATTCGAAATAACGTAATTTTAATTTTAAATATTTTAAAAAAATTATATTTAAATAATTACCGTAACGGGAACTTTTAAATCGCGAAAATGATTTTAAACCTTATAAAAACATTACATGTATAAAATTAATAAAAATTAAAAAAAATCATTCTCGATCGTAAAATAATTTCTTTTAATTTTTATCGATTTTATACATATAATCATTTTATAAAGTATAAAATCATTTTATTAAATTAAATGTTTTTAATATAAAAAATGGTTTTTTTTAATTTTTATCGATTTTATACATGTAATGCTTTTATAAGGTTTAAAATTATTTTATTAAATGTATAATTTTAATATAAAAAATAATTTCTTTTAATTTTTATCGATTTTATGCATGTAATACTTTTATAAAGTTTAAAATTATTTTTACGATTTAAGATAAATCGATTTAAAGTAATTAAGTTAAC